ATTGGTAATGGTAATGGTAATGGTAATGGTATTGGTAATGGTAATGGTAATCGTAATCGTAATCGTAATGGTAATGGTAATGGTAATGGTATTGGTAATGGTATTGGTAATGGTAATAGTAATGGTAATGGTAATTGTAATGGTAATGGTAATGGTAATGGTAATGGTAATAGTATTGGTAATGGTAATGGTATTGGTAATGGTAATGGTAATGGTAATGGTAATGATAATGGTAGTCGTAATGGTAATGGTAATGGTAATGGTAATGGTATTGGTATTGGTAATGGTAATGGTAATGGTAATCGCAATGGTAATGGTATTGATAATGGTAATAGTATTGGTTTTGGCATTGGTAATGGTAATGGTAATGGTAGTAATAATGGTAATGGTAATGACAGTTGCAATGGCAATAGTAATGGTAATGGTAATGGCAATGGTAATGGTAATGGTAATGGTAGTGGTAATAGTATTGGTAATGGTACTGGTAGTAGTAATGGTAATATTAATGACAGTTGCAATGGCAATGGCAATGGTAATGGTAATGGCAATGGTAATGGTAATGGTAATGGTATTGGTAATGGTAATGACAATGGTCATGGTAATGGTAATGCTAATGGAAATGGTAATGGTATTGGTAATGGTAATGGTAATGGTATTGGTAATGGTAATGACAATGGTAATGGTATTGGTATTAGTAATGGTAATGCTAATGGTAATGGTAATGGTAATGGTAATGATATTGGTAATGGTAATGGTAAAGGTATTGGTAATGGTAATGGTATTGGTATTGGTAATGGTAATGGTAATGGTAGTAGTAATGATAATGGTATTGACAGTTGCAATGGCAATGGTAATGATAATGGAAATGGTAATGGTAATGGTATTGGTAGTGGTAATGGTAATGACAGTTGCAATGGCAATGATAATGATACTGGTAATGGTGCTGGTACTGGTACTGGTATTGGTAATGGTAATGGTAATGGTATTGGTAATGGTAATAGTAATGGTATTGGTAATAGTAATGGTAATGGTAATGGTAATGGTAATGGTAATGGTAATCGTAATGGTAATGGTATTAGTATTGGAATTGGTATTGGTAATGGTAATGGTAAGGGTAATGATAATGGTAATGGTAATGGTAATCGTAATTTAAAGCAAATGGGAATACATATGGTATTCACTGTATTTTTACAGAGAGAATAATGCGTCGGCTGGTAAGGTCAGTATGCACGCTTGTGGGTAGGTACAAGGCAAAACTAGAACTCTGAAATTTCCCAAATTATATGGATCAGAAGGTTATAACCAAGTGTTGTTGAAGTAGAAGGCCTAATCAGTTTGGTCGGTATGCGCGCCTGTAGTGCAGGTACCATGTACGACTAGAATGTCTATATCTGCCAAATCACATAGATCCGATAGGTTAAAACATGGTAGGGGGTGGGAATTGTATAATTTAGAAGAAATGGGAATACATACGTTTTTTACTGTGTTTGTACAGAAAAAATAGTGCGTCGTCCGGTAAGGTCAGTATGCACGCTTGTGTGTAGGTACAAGGCGGAACTGGAACTCTGAATTCTCCCAAACTATGTGGACCGTAAAGTTTATAACCAGGTGTTGTTGAAATAGATGGCCTAATCTAGTGGACTGGCAAGAATATGGCACTAACTGCATCTCTACAAAGATACGTATTGCGCTGGTCAGTTTGGTCGGTATACGCGCCCGTAGTGCAGGTACCATGTACGACTGGAGTGTTTTTATCTGCCAAATTACATAAATCCGATTTTATGTGTGCTGGGTTGTATCGAATGGGTGGTAGGTGGGTGAGTGTGAGTGGTGGTTAGGTGCTCAAGGTGGGTGGTTGGGTTGGGCGGGTGCTGGGCGTCTTGGGATAGGTGGTGGATTTGTGGGTCAGTGGTGATGGTGGGTGGGTGGGTGAGTGAGTAAGAGGGAGATGGCTGACTTGGCTTTGATGGCTGAGTGGGAGAGAGGGATTGGGGGGGTTGAAACCCATACCGTATTACCCTGGATATAAGCGCAGGTGCGCTTACAATAAATCAGTATTTTTTGGGGGGGTGCGCTTATAAATGAGTCACGGGCATAAGCGCATGCGCTTATAAAATGACAAATACATGAATATGTTTTAAACGCACCAGATTGTTCATCTTAGTCTTACAATTCCAATCGAATCGAAATGTTAGTGCGTCTAGATCAGAATCGCGGAAGGGCAATTGATTTCCCGTTCATCCCCCCCCCCCCAACCCCCCACCCCCCACCCCCCACCCCACCCCACCCCACAACGTGCGTGCTGTCAGTCAGCTTCGTGTCGTTTCGCGCGAGGGCGATCGTTTGCCCGTTCACACCCCCCCCCCCCCCCCCCCCCCCCCCCCCACGTGCGTGCTGTCAGTCAGGTTCGTGCCGATTTTCCCGCCCGAACCAGTATGTTGGCCGACTTGTCGAGCGTGTCACAGCAAAGGACGTAGACTCGCTGCGAAACGGAAAATCGTTACGATGCCTAATCAGGAAAAAAATTTATGCATGCGCTTATAATAAGTAATGTTTTCACAGGGGGTGCGCTTATAATTGAGGATCGGGCATAAGCGCATTGCTGCAGATATAAGCGCATGCGCATTTAATAGGCATGTGGTTATATCCGGGGCGATACGGTAAGGTGGATATGCGCACCATGCGTAAGTGCATGTGTGCGTGTGCCTGCACAGTTATGATGTGCTGCCAATCTCAAGACTTGTGAAGTCTGTGAGGAAGTGACCTCCAACCCAAGCACAACACACTGTATAATTTTTTGACGTATATTCTTGCAATTGACAATTGTATCTGGGCGTTAGTGGAGGATATATATACCCCTATTTTCGATTGACAATGTGTACCATTAAAATGTCTTTATGCATTAGTTTTATTTTAGGGAAGATGTGTATTGGTGTTTTTGTCTCTGTAATGAGGCATGCATGGTGGTTGTTCTCAAACAATCTGTTAGACTTTTCAATCAGATATTGAATAAGAAACTTACAGCGTCGCCACTTGATCGATTGTTATCGAGGAATTCTGAATTCTGGCAATTCCTGCCTGAAGGGTTTTGAGCCGTTGGATCAGTAAGACTACTGAACCACCAAACAAGATGTGCCCCTCCTCCCACGAGGACCCCAGCCCAGATTCTTGCAGGTCCCGACTCCCGACAAACGTCGCGGAAGCTCGAGAAGAGAAACCTCCCCAATTGCCGCAGCTCCCTGTGATGTGTCAGGCAATTTTGGGGATCGTTTCCGCCGTGTTACGGGTTTCCCAGCCAACCGTTGGGCTTGACGGAGTTGGCGACGTTCGCGATCGTCTCCAAGACGCAGACCAGACAGCAGTAACAAGATGCACGACTGCGATCACGTCGCAAATCGTGAACGTTGGGGGTCGGTCCGCTTTTGGCGCAACGAACGCGATTTTGCGGCCAGTCGCGTTGCGCCAACCTTGTCGGTGAGCCTTTGTTTTCCGCCGGCATTCCAGCCTCAGGATTGGTCGAAATTCCTTTGGGTCTGTGCTGAGCTGAACCCCTCCTGCGGTGGGGAGGAGGGGAGAGACTACACGCACAAAACACCAAAACCTTTCCGAAACCATTGCAACCGAGCTCACAAGAATTCCTCTTATGCTGCCTGAAAGGGAAACCTTTCCTAACACGTTGCAACCGAGCTGAACCATTTCAAGCCCCCGAGCCCAACCATGTTTTCTCAACCCGGGCAGGAGAAGCAGAGCAGCGTTGTAGCAAGGAGAGTCTAGCCCATTCTCAGCTTCTCCTTTCTGCTCCACCTTCCTCCTCCACCCCATTTCCCTTCGCCTTGCTCCTTTCCTTTCCGTCTCACCCGCAATATCGTCAGAAGCACTTTCAGCTTGTATTGCTGGTTCTTCGTAGTTCGACGATGCATTAGCTTCGCCATCAGGAACGACATTCGCCTGTCAGAAACCACGTCAGGACGACATTGACCGTCAGAAACGACGTCAGGAACGACGCCGTCAGAAACGACGTCAGGAATGACATTCGCCGTCAGAATCGACGTTAGGAACGACATTCGCCGTCAGAATCGGTCGCTCGGTGTTCGACAGCAACAACTAATCTCCCCGTCGTCAGAATCGCGTAACGTCGTCAGAAGCTATTTCTTCTGTTAGCAGCAACGATTGCTTTTTCGGCTACGACGATGTTCGCCTTCGGAGTTACCGATTTACGCCATCAGCAGCGATCCCCGCCGTTCTTACGGAGTGCTTCGAAATCGAGCAGCAGTTTCCATCGTCCATGCCGGTACGAAATATGTCCAGACACCCGTTTACCGATCTTTGTTCTACCTGTCTTCCGTTTTGTCTCCGCCGATTTATTCTCTACTCGTCGTCTCCGTTTCGTTAACGCCGTTTTATCCTCAAGTCGTTGGTTCCCGCCAGTTTAATATCTACATGTCGATTTTCTTCGTGTGTGTCCGATATAGTCGCGTTTTCTGCTCGTTGAGCTGACTCGGGTCGTTTCTCGCCGTGCAGATAACCATGACTCGCCCCTGAAGAATCGCTGCCTGCTCGTCATGACGCACCGAGATTCGCACTCCACGGCTGGCAGCCGCGGAAAGCACGACGGCCTCTTGCGCCAAGCAGCCGCGGAAAGCGCGACGGCCTCTTGCGCCAAGCAGCCGCGGAAGGCGCGACGGCCTCTTGCGCCAAGCAGCATGCGCGCGCGTGGCTGCTGTCGAAGTCGACCTTGACGGTACGCTCATCCGCTGTGCCTCTCCACCCTTCCGTTTCCACCAATTGTATCTCTCCTCGTCCACTTCCGCCGTTTCGTTCCGCCAATTTATCCACTCGTCCACTTCATTAGTTCGATTCCGCCGTCCTATATCATTCCCGCCCATTTCCGGCGTGTTGTGTTTGATGATCGTGTTTCTGGTCTTTAAGCTGACTCGCTTCGTTTCACTCCCTGCAGGAGATGGTGTCGCATGATGAAAGCCACCTGTTCGCCATCCAGCATGGAAAACCGTTCAATCGTCTCAGAAACCGCCAACGCCTCTTGCACCAACGCCTCTTGCGCCAACGCCTCTTGCGCCAACGCCTCTTGCGCCAACGCCTCTTGCGCCAACGCCTCTTGCGCCAACGCCTCTTGCGCCAACGCCTCTTGCGCCAACGCCTCTTGCGCCAACGCCTCTTGCGCCAAGGCCTCTTGCGCCAAGCACCATGCGAGCGCGCGCGTGACAACATACATGGCAAGCCGGTTTCACCTCTTTCCTGCAGCGACCACCAACATCTCGACCTCGAAACGCCGTCTCTGAAGGTAAGTGCGCGCTGGTGTCCCCCCATTCGTTGTCCCCTTTCTCTCAAACCGGGGCCACTGGTGGCACCACAGGGTACATCCCGCAGACCCCCCTCACTGCAGGTAAAGCCCCCCCCAGGTGAAGCCTTCAGGTGAAGCCTTACAGCAGGTAAACTTAGCCCGTGGGTGTGTGGCTTGTGACTGTGCGTCCACCAGCGGCCCTTCTTCCGCTCTTCCTCCATCTCCTCTCGCATGCATGCTTGCATCCCCTTCCGTGCTGCTCTGCTGCGTCCCTCCCCCTCGCTCCCCCTCCATGCGCACCCCTTCCCCCCCTCTCCCTCCCGCCCTCCCCTCTCCCTGAGCAGGTGCGCAAGCAGCAAGGGAGCAGCGCCAGGCGACTGACTGCAAGGGAGGAGGTTGGAGCAGCGCTGTGGGAGCAGCGCCAAGGCAGCTGATCACCTCCTGATGAAGGGTGAAGGTTAGAGTATCACCTCCTCCTACCGCCTCACTCCACAGTAGCCACCTTCCCCCCCCGGTCCAGGTTCAGGTCCAGGTTCCCCCTCAGGTGTTTTCTTTGGTTCAGGTGACCCCTCAGGTGTTTTCTTTGGTGCTCCTGTGCTGCTGTGGTCGGTTCATTTTCTTGTTCCAGCATGCTTTAGCATCATCTGTCGTTTCATTGTGCCATGCGCTCACTGACTCTCTCCCCTGCTTCGCCTGCAGGTTCTTTTCCCCACGGCAACACCAAGGCGAGGCGCTTACGCTCACCGGAGCTCCCAAGGCGGGCGTGCGGAGGAGCGCAGAGGAGCAGCTTGGGTGCTCAGCAGCGGAGGAGCACAGAGGAGTGCAGCCTCGAATCACCCGCTGTGGAGACCGTGGAAGGTTGAAAGTATCACCCCCTGCCTCCGCACATCACAAGAGCCCCCCCCCCATGGTTCAAGGTTCAGGTGGTTCAGGTGTGGTTCAGGTCAGGTTCAGGTGCCCCCTCAGGTGTTTTCTTGCTGCATGGCTCTTGTGGCGCTGTGCTGGGCTCACATGCACTTTTACATGCACGTGTTGTTACATGGTTGATTCCTGCTGCTGCCTTGCCTTGCACTTACTCACTGCCTTCCTTCTTGTTTCCCTGGCAGGTTCTCTCTCCCCTGAAGCGCCTCTGTTCTGCACGGGGAGCAGCGAGTGCCACACTCACTCCGCCTGCCTCGGATCATCTCTGCACCAACCTCTTGCGAAGCTAAGTCCTCTACCTTCAAGGTTCTCACTTCCGCCTCCTGTCTTGCATTCTCATGCGCCCATGGCTGCTCTTGCTGCAAGGGGACACGCCCAGGAGATGAACCACCTCCCCAGGTAACAGGTGGCAGGTTCAGCCTAAGGTAGCAGGTGCAGGTCGCCTCAGGTACTCACAGCCCCAGGTGTGGTACCACGTGGTTCAGTTCACATCCTCGCTGTCCCCCTTGCAGCCAGCTCTCTCACGTTTTCTTCTCTTCACCAAGTTCTGTTTTTGCTGCACCTTGCTTCCCTGCACTCACTTGCTCCGTGTCTGCCTCTCCCTCCCTTCCTGCAGCTCGCATGGCAGCATGGGGAGGGGAGGCATGGGCGACTGAGGCAGCAGGAGAGGCAGAGAGGCTGCAGCGCCCTTGGAGCAGCAGCTTATCACCTCCTGATGAAGGGTGAAGGTTGGAGTATCACCTCCTGCTGCCACACTCCACTAGAGCCACCCCCCTGGTCCAGGTCAAGGTTTGAATCAGGTCCAGGTGCCCCCTCAGGTGTTTTCTTTGGTTCAGGTGTTCCCTCACGTATTTTCCTTGGTACTTGGCTCCTGTGGTTCTGTGGTCGGTTCACATCCCGTTTCCCGCCTTATTCCAGCATTCTTTAGCATCTGTCGTGCCTTGTGCCGTGCGCTCGCTAATTCTCTCTCTCTCTCCTGCCTTGGCCTGCAGGTTTTTCTTCCCACGGCAACGCCAAGGCCTTTTGTGCTCACCGGAGCTCCCAAGGCCCGCGTGCGGAGGAGTGCAGAGGAGTGCAGAGGAGCACAGAGGAGCAGCTGCACTGCTCAGCAGCAGAGGAGGAGAAGCACAGCCTCGAATGCACTGAAGCCAGCCGCTGTGGAAGGTTGCAAGTATCACCCCCTGCCTCCACACGCCACAAGAGCCCCCCCCTGGTTCAGGTCAAGGTTAAGGTTCAGGTGTGGTTCAGGTCAGGTTCAGGTTCCCCCTCAGGTGTTTTCTTGCTGCATGGCTCCTGTGGCGCTGTGGTGGGCTCACATTCACTTTCACAATCAAGTTTTCCTGCATGGATTATTCCTGCTGCTGCCTCGCGTTACACTCACTGCCCTCCTTCTCCTTCTCCTTCACTGCTCCTTCTCATGGCACACTCACTCCACTGCCTCAAATTATCTCTGCACCAACCCTCTGCCAAGTTAAGTGCTCACCTCCACCTCCTGCCGTTCCTTGCTGCACGTTGTCTTGCATTCTCATCGCATGCGCCCATTGGCTGCTCTTGCTGCAAGGGGACACTTCCAGGGAATGAACCACCTCCTCAGGTAACAGGTGGTAGGTTCAGCCTAAGGTAGCAAGTGCACTTCTCCTCAGGTAATTCCAGCCCCAGGTGTGGTATCACGTGGTACAAACCCTAGAGCGTGTCCCTCTTGCAGCCAGTGCCAGTGCCACTTCTTCTCTTCATCACGTTCTGTTTTTGCTGCATATTCATCTGTCTTCCCTGCACTCACTTGCTCCGTATCTTCCTGCCCCTCCCTCCCTGCATCTTGCACGGCAGCATGGGGAGGGGAGGCATGGACGACTGACGCAGCGGGAGAGGCAGAGAGGCAGCAGCACTACCATCTGCAATGGTGGAGTATTGGAGTGTGTCGACCAGCTGCTCTGCACCCAACCCACCCACCCACAGATAAGTACCCCGCCCTGCCTCTCCTCTCCCAACCCTCCCACGCGTGCTACTATCATGTCTCACTTGCGCCATGCATCACATCCGCTCTTTCCTGCCCTGTGCCACACCCAAGAGACCTCCTCCCCCCAAGGTAGCAGGTGCAAAACGTTTTGGTACAGCCCCAGGTATTTGGTACAGCCCCAGGTATTTGGTACAGCCCCAGGTATTTGGTACAGCCCCAGGTATTTGGTACAGCCCCAGGTATTTGGTACGGCCCCAGGTATTTGGTACAGCCCCAGGTATGTGGTCTTGTCTTGTTCAGTTGGTATGGTCTCTCTTGGGTGTGCCACTGCATCACATCATTCGTGCAAGCATCACTTGCACTTGCTGCACCTTGCGCTCTCACTTCACTCTTCTTTGCTTCCTTCCTCACTGCCCTTTCCGCTCCCCCTTCACACCCTTGACCTCTCCTCCCCCTCCTCCTTGCTCTCTCTGTTCCGTTCTGCCCCTCTCGACCCTGCAGGTCGCTCACACGAGAGTGGCAGTGGCGGGGGACATGGAGTGCACAGGCAGCAGCTGCTCTCCACCCAACCAAACCAAAGATACGTACCCTGCCCTTCCTATTCTCTCCCAGCCCTGCACATGTGCTGCTTTCATGCCTTGCTTGCACCATGCATCACATCCCGTCCCCACTGCTCTGTGCCACACCCACGAGGCCTCCCTCCCCCAAGGTAGCAGGTTAAGGTATTTGGTATAGTCTGGTTCAGCTGGTATGAGGTCTCTTGGGTGTGTCACTGCAGCAGTCAATTCATGCATGCATAATTTCAGCACTTGCTGCTCTCTTTGCTCCCAATCGTCTTGCAGCAGTCAATTCATGCACGCATCCCATCCCACCCACTTCAGGTTCTCCTCTCACATTTCTACCGCTAGCCACTTACCCACTTGGCTTCTGTTTTTGCCTTGCTCCTCCGCTCCCCTCCCCTTGTGGCAGTGCAAGTAACCACGGGGATGGGAAGGAGGCAGCACTGCAGCGGACTGTGACTGCTGTTGCTAGGGAGAGTATGGGGTTGGGCTTGGCTCCTCAAGGTATGTTATCTCACGCCTTGGCCTCACCTCTCCCCCCCTCAGTTTCACTTGCTGCAGCAGCTTTTTCTTCAATTCTGCATTTCCTGTTTTGTCCCTTCAAGTGTTGTTCTGGTCATGCCAACTCACCTGTTCCTCCTGCCCCCCTCTCCTTTCTCTTTCCCCCCGTTTCTCCCCGCTACCAGGTCATCTGGCGTCAAGAGAAGATTGCAGCAGAGGAAGCAGAGTAGCAGATCGACAGCAGCAGTTGCAGCAGCAGAAGCAGTGGCGGAAGCAGCAGTAGCAGCAGTGGGGGCTGGGGGGCTAGAGGGCAGGCTAGGCTAGGTGTAGCTGTAGGTGAGGTGAGGTATGGTACAGGTGTGGTGTGGTATGGTAACAGGTGAGGTATGGTGATCTGATCCCCTCTCCTCTCTCTCAACCGCATCCCCCCTACAGGCAGTGTGGGAGCACTGGAGCAAGGGGAGGAAAGTGGAGTCCACCCTCTCACACACCTCCCCCTCTCTCCCTTTTTCCTTCCCTCCCAGCAGCTCTTTTCCTGGACCACAGTGGATTCCCGCCCTCCCCTAATCCCCCCCCCTTCCACTTCCCAGCAGCCTCAGAATCATGGCGCTCTGCATGGGGGTGAGTGTAGGGGGGGTTGGGTGGGGGGGAGCATGCATTCAGGTCACTGCCTTAGGAGCAGCATTCTCTGGAGTTGTGTCTTGTGGGTGGGGTGTGGTGGGTAATCTACGCGGCACGGCACTCGGTGCTCAAGTAACCGAACCGGCGTTCAAAGCTTAATGGACACCGTCAGAGCCGACCGGCCGGCGGCTCTGGTTCGCGTCAGCTCTAGCTACGTCGGGGGTGGGATTTGAGTCTTGGGCTGGAAGCGATTTTTCACTACCACTCCTCGCCCCACAAGGCGCAGCCCCTGAGGGTGCTGTTTCCTATGGGAAGTGGGCTGTCTGCTGCTCCTACTGCTGGCAAGTGAAGGTGAGGAGGGGCTGAAGCCCCTTTGGAGGGTGAGTGAGAGAGAAGGGACTGAAACCCCTTGGGTGCGTGAGTGAAAGAGAAGGGGCTGAAACCCCTTGGGTGGGTGAGTGAAAGAGAAGGGGCTGAAACCCCCTGGGTGGGTGAGTGAAAGAGGAGGGGCTGAAACTCCTTGGGAGGGTGAGTGAGAGAGAAGGGGCTGAAACCCCTTGGGAGGGTGAGTGAGAGAAAAGGGGCTGAAACCCCTTGGGTGGGTGAGTGAAAGAGAAGGGGTTGAAACCCCCTGGGAGGGTAATTGGAAGGGGAAGTTCTAAATCCCCCAGGACTATGGTAAGTGGAGTGAGCGGGCGAGGAGAAAGGGGGCTTAATTCCAGAGTTAGTTGAGGGAGGGGCAATGGTGGGGGCCTGTACCCCCCAGGGTAAGCGGAGTGAGAGGGCGAGGAGAAAGGGGTGCTGAAACCCCAGAGTGGAGTGAGAGGGCGGGGAGGAGAAAGGGGTGTTGAAACCCAGGGTGAGTAGAGTGAGGGGGGATGGTGGGGATCTGAGTCCTTCAGGGTAAGTGAGAGGGCGAGAAGAAAGGCGGTTGAAACCTCAGCGTGAGTTGAGTGAGGGGCAATGGTGGGGGCCTGAATCCCCACGGTAAGTGGAGTGAGAGGGCAGGGAGAAAGGGGTGCTGAAACCCCTTTGAGTTGAGTGAGGGGCAATGGTGGGGGACTGAATCCCTTGGTCAGTGGAGTGAGAGGGCAGGGAGAAAGGGGTGCTGAAACCCCTTTGAGTTGAGTGAGGGGCAATGGTGGGGGACTGAATCCCTTGGTCAGTGGAGTGAGAGGGCAGGGAGAAAGGGGTGCTGAAACCCCTTTGAGTTGAGTGAGGGGCAATGGTGGGGGACTGAATCCCTTGGTCAGTGGAGTGAGAGGGCAGGGAGAAAGGGGTGCTGAAACCCCTTTGAGTTGAGTGAGGGGCAATGGTGGGGGACTGAATCCCTTGGTCAGTGGAGTGAGAGGGCAGGGAGAAAGGGGTGCTGAAACCCCTTTGAGTTGAGTGAGGGGCAATGGTGGGGGACTGAATCCCTTGGTCAGTGGAGTGAGAGGGCAGGGAGAAAGGGGTGCTGAAACCCCTTTGAGTTGAGTGAGGGGCAATGGTGGGGGACTGAATCCCTTGGTCAGTGGAGTGAGAGGGCAGGGAGAAAGGGGTGCTGAAACCCCTTTGAGTTGAGTGAGGGGCAATGGTGGGGGACTGAATCCCTTGCTCAGTGGAGTGAGAGGGCAGGGAGAAAGGGGTGCTGAAACCCCTAAGGCGGTAGAGAGTGATGGACCTGAAATCCCTTCTTTGGTTAGTCAAGTGAGGGATGGGGGTTGAAACCCCCAAGGCGGTTGAGTGGGAGAGAGGATGCGGGGTGAATACCCTAAGGTGGGCGAGTGGGATGGAAAAAGGGGGGGGGGAGGGGGGCGGGGGGAATCCAGTAGGTTGGGTGAGAGTGAGAGAGGGGTGGGGGCTGAAACCCCTAACCTAAGGTGGGTTGGTAAGTGGGAGAGAGGATTCCGGGCTGAATCCCCGAAGGTGGTTGAGAGGGAGAGGGATGGGGCCTGACTGTCCTAGGGTGGGTGAGTGTGACTGGGAGATGGGAGCTGAATCCCTTAAGGTGGGTGAGTGGGAGAGAGGGATGGGGACTGAAATCTTTTAAGGTGTTAAGGTGTGGAAGAGAGGAGGATGGGGGGGCTGAAATTCCCTAAGGTGTGGAAGAGAGGATGATGGGGGCTGGAATCCTCTAGGTGGGTGGGTGGAAGGTAGGATTGGGGACTGACTCCACTAAGGTGGGTGAGTGGGAAAGTGAGATTGGTGCTGAATCCCGAAGGGTTGATTCTCCTAGGGTTGGTGATTGAGTGGGAGGGAGGGGTCGAGGCTGAATCCCCTAAGGTTGTGAGTGGGAGTGAGATGGAGGCTGAATTGTCTCAGGTGGGCGGGGTGGGAGAGAAAAATGGAGGTCGAATCCGCTAAGGTGGGTAAGTGAAGAGAGACTGGGGCTGAAACCCCCTATAGTGGGTGGGAGAGTGGGATGGGTGGTGAGTGTTTGGGAAGTTGAAGGTTGGTGGCTGGTTGGGTGTTAGTGGGTAGATGGGTAGGTGGTTTGCTGGTCATGAGTGATTGGGTGGAGGGTAGTTGCTGCTGGTGGGTGGTGGTGTTATTGGGTGTGTCGTGTGGGTTGGTTGGGTGGTAGAAGGAGGGATGGAGGGTGGGTGTCTGGGTTGGGTGGGTGTTGGGTGGTTTCGGATGGGTGTGGGTGGGTCGGTGGTAGTGGCAGGGCGCTGTGTGTGGGTGGTTGTGTGTAGGTGGGTCGGTTCGTGGGTGTGGGTTGGTGGAGGGATGAAGGGTGTTAATTGTTGGGTTGGGTGAGTGATTCGGTGTGGTTAGGTAGCTGGGTTGTTGGGTGTGGGTGGTAAAATCTGGTAGGCTTAGGAGAACGGGAGGATATCATGTTGGGTGGTGGTGTCAAACCTGTATTGGATGCACTGCACACGTGTTGGTGCGTGGATATAGTGGAGTAATTGTGCCACACTTTTTGCTAGACCTAAAATAAGGCAATGACGATAGGCAATTACTTACAACGACTTGTATTTCAGAATTCTACTATACTCTGTATTGATTATCATCTGTAATAATGTACAAATCGTCAAAGTTCGTTAGCTTCTAGAAAGTTAATCAAATATATATCTCTATTTCGATATTAGCTTCTTCATCCGTCATGTCATGAGCGATGGCGTATAACATGACATGATGGCGTTGTGTCAGGGGCATGCGCTTCTGACACACAATTCCCGCGTAAACGGTAAGCTCCGGGACCGCCATGCTCTTTTCAATCCACGGGCACGCGAGTCGAATGCTCCGCTTACGAAATGGGTATCCCCGTCATCAACACTCTCACGAAACTGCCACTTTCTGCCGACGGTGCGGCGGCCTGCACAAGAGCAGGGAGAATGGATCCTCCATTCTGTGAATCCTTCTTCACCACTCTGTATCCGTCTAGATTCCCTGGATTTCACCACTGAAACTGACGTTTCTTGCTGATGGACACCTTTCTCCTTCCTGAAAGTCCATTCTCCACTCCACCTTCCCTGAATGCGATTCCTTCTAACCATGATCACCGATAGAGTACTCGAGGATAAGATCGCTAAGCTGAAATCTATGGCTGTCGCCAATATGTTACAAACCATTAATGGTCCTCATTAGTAGTTTTAGTCTTCGTAACCTTCATATCTGTTTACCTCAAGGTCGTCAAGACGGAGATCATTGATCGTTTCAATCCATGGCTGTGTCTCGTGACGCGAACCAGTAACCTTTTAGGGTAAATCTTAGTCGTAGTCATCGTTAAGAAGGAAACCGAGCTTTGCGCATGATCTAGTCGGACAGAGACATTCTAAGCTTTGAAGTTGTAGTCATTCGGAGCAGTTTCGTTTCCGGCATCCAGCAGTTACTCACTTGACTGCAGTTCTGATTGCTACTCCAGTTTTCAGAACAACTTAGTTTTAAGCATTCTAGACATCTGACGAGCGCGGAACAGAGGCGGTTTGCCGAAATGGGTCATGAATCTTCTTCCGATCTCCATACCCTCCTTCGAGTACCGAGGCGACGCCCCTCTCCAGCAGCGCTGTCGATTTGCTGATGACCGAGGCCGATATCCTGCCGGCCACAGCTGTTTCACACGGCGAAGGTAACGCCGAATGGCTTTACGGGGTTAGCGATGAGTTCCTCTGTCTCCGCGTAGCGAGACGTCGCCATCTAGCGGTTGTGATGGAGAGGGTGTTTCCCGACGGTGACGAACGATACGGAAACTATTTACGGTGATGGTTAAGACGGTCAGCGACGGCCGCTTCTGACGGTGACGATTAAGCGTTCGACTACTGATGCTGACTGCCGAACCGGCGATTTCTGACGTTGACGATCGAGATGATGACTTCTAACGGCGACGAGACGCTTTCCGACGGTGACGAGCAGGACGGCGATTTTCCACGGTGACGAAACAAGCGACTCTTTCCGAAGGTGACGACTAGGATTGCGATTTCCCACAGTGATTACCAAAGCGGCGCTTACCGACGGTGACGATCGAGACGGTGGCGACTGAAGCGAAGCTAACCGACGGTGACGATTGAGACGGTGACGATCGAGATGGTGACGACTGAAGCGAAGCTTACCGACGGTGACGATTGAGACGGTGACGATCGAGATGGTGACGACTGAAGCGAAGCTTACCGACGGTGACGATTGAGACGGTGACGATCGAGATGGTGACGACTGACGCGAAGCTTACCGACGGTGACGATCGGTTACGATCTAAACGCTGGCCGTAACAGAGGCGAATACGATGGCGGCCGAAGTCACACCAACAAAACGAGTAACGCTCATTCGGAGTCGCGACGTGGGAAGAGTGGATCCTTCTGCTGGACTGCTGCCTCGCTGCTTCTGCCGCTTGCAAGCAATCCCCATACGGCTAAGCCTCCTCTCTTTTTCCCCTTGTCATCTTTACCGTTCTGATTCCTGTTTATCAGCACCCCATTTTGTACGCGTTTTTTTCTCATAGCATGCTTCGAAAAAAATGTTGAGTGAGAGATGAGCGGCGATTGGCGATGGTAGCGCATGGCACTAGGACGGCTTGAGCTCACACTAGAGTCCTAGGGGGATAGATTAGAATGCACTCACACTCATGCTCGCGTCTCTTTCTTACCTCGTCCCCCTTGCCTGCTACTAGCTCGCCGCACTAGTGCTGTGTGCTACCATCGCCCCCTTTTTCACAGCGTCACAGTGCAATATGCTTTCTATCTTCAGTCTTTGTTTCCATTACTCCTTCGTTCTTGTTACTTCTCCTTCCTTGCATGCATTTCACTACCGTTTCGCTTCCACTAACTACCTGGGTTCCTTTTCCCTGCTCTGTCTTCTCTCGCTCTCCTGTGCTCCACGCCTGTCGTCCGGTGCTATGGCAGCATGGTGCGAGGAGAGGGAGGGCGGTGGGATGACGCACAGCAGGCAGTTATGGGAGTGCTCTGCGTGCCCTGCTGACCACGCTGCTCCTTCACGCGCCCTATGATCTGGAGGGCCGCTGCTGGGAGTGTTGCTGGTAGGTGCTGCTGGGAGAGCAACAGTCTACAAGCGCCACTCCAACACGGCAGTGACTCACCCAACTGGTGTGCGTACGCGTTTCGCATTCGTGCACTTTTTTTTCATTCTCCCAAAACTCCTGCTCTCGCTTTGTGCCCCCTGCTGACTCCCTCACTCACTCCCCTGCTGATTTCACCTTTCCCTGCCCCCCACTCCCTCTGCCCATCTTATCCCAGCAGCACCCACGTAGTGGCTGTGGGAGGGTGCGATGGCGCTGGTGCTGCTGGTGATGGCGCTGGTGCTGCTGGTGATGGGGCTGGTGCTGCTGGTGATGGCGCTGGTGCTGCTGGTGATGGGGCTGCTACTGCTGGTGAGGGTGATGGCGACACGACTGTAGCCCATCCATTCGGTGCTTTGCTGGTGTTGGTGCTCCAAGCGCAACACTCCAAGAGCGCCATCTCAGACAGCAATGGCCCATCCAACCCAACCAGTGCTTTGCACACCCGCTCCCCACTCATGCACTCATCAATGTTTGTTGCTTCGTACAGTTGCTGTCTGGTTGTGCCCGGCATTGGCTCACTCAATCCCTCTCTGCGCCTCACCCGCCCTCTTGCCCCCCCTTTCCACGCGCCCATCCCATCCCAGCAGCACGAACTCGAAGGGTGTGGGATCATGCTGCTGGTCGGACCAACGGTTGCTTCTGTCGCTTGCAAGCACTCCCCATACGGCTAAGTCCCCCCTTACCTCGCCCTTGTCATCCTTACCGCTTCTTGCTTCCTGTTTATCATTCCCCACTTTGTACTGCGTTTTTTCCTCACTGTATGCTCGAAACAAGCGAGGTCACTTTCGAATGCGAGCGATCAAAAGTTGAGTGAGAGATGAGCGGCAATTGGCGATGGTAGCGCATGGCACTGGGGCGGCTTGAGCTCACACTAGGGTCCTAGGTGGATAGATTAGAATGCACTCACACTCATGCTCGCGTCTCTTTCTTACCTCGTCCCCCTTGCCTGCTAGCTCGCCGCACTAGTGCTGTGTGCTACCATCGCCTCTTTGTTTCCGTTACTCGTTCGTTCTTGTTAGCTGCCTCCTTGCATTCATTCCACAACTTCCTTTCCTCTACTAGATTGGATTGGGTTCCTTTCCCCCACTCGCTCCTCTCTCGCTCTCCTGTGCTCCACGCCTGTCGTCCGGTGCTATGGCAGCATGGTGCGAGGAGAGGGAGGGCGGTGGGATGACGCACAGCAGGCAGTTATGGGAGTGCTCTGCGTGCCCTGCTGACCACGCTGCTCCTTCACGCGCCCTATGATCTGGAGGGCCGCTGCTGGGAGTGTTGCTGGTAGGTGCTGCTGGGAGAGCAACAGTCTACAAGCGCCACTCCAACACGGCAGTGACTCACCCAACTGGTGTGCGTACGCGTTTCGCATTCGTGCACTTTCAGACAGCAATGGCCCATCCAATCCAACCACTGCTTTCCACACCCGTTTCCCACTCATGCACTCATTATTGTTGCTTCGTACAGTTGCTGTCTGATTGTGCCCGGCATTGGCTCACTCAATCCCTCTCTGCGCCTCACCCGCCCTCTTGCCCCCCATTTCCATGCGCCCATCCCATCCCAGCAGCACGAACTCGAAGGGTGTGGGATCATGCTGCTGGTCGGACCAACGGTTGCTTCCGTCGCTTGCAAGCACTCCCCATACGGCTAAGTCCCCCCTTCCCTCGCCCTTGCCAACCGTACCGCTTCTGATTCGTGTATATCATTGCCCACTTTTGTACCGCATGCTTTCGTCACCGCGTACTCGAAACAAACGAGGTCACTTTCGAATGCGAGCGATCAAAAGTTGAGTGAGAGATGAGCGGCGATTGGCGATGGTAGCGCATGGCACTGGGGCGGCTTGAGCTCACACTAGGGTCCTAGGTGGATAGATTAGAATGCACTCACACTCATGCTCGCGTCTCTTTCTTACCTCGTCCCCCTTGCCTGCTAGCTCGCCGCACTAGTGCTGTGTGCTACCATCGCCTCCTTTTTCGCAGCGTCACAGTGCAATATGCTTTCTATCTTCAGTCTTTGTTTCCATTACTCCTTCGTTCTTGTTACTTCTCCTTCCTTGCATGCATTTCACTACCGTTTCGCTTCCACTAACTACCTGGGTTCCTTTCCCCCGCTCTGTCCTCTCTGCGCCTCACCCGCCCTCTTGCACCCCCTTTGCATCTGCCCATCCCATCTCAGCAGCACAATCGCGGTGGGTGTGGTGGGATAATGCTGCTGGCGGGTGGGACCAACGGTTGCTTCTGTTGCTTGCAAGCACCCCCATACGGCTAAGTTCCCTCTCTCTTCGCCCTTGCCATCCTTACCGCTTCTGCTTCGTGTTTATCATTGCCCACTCTTGTACCGCATTCTTCCGTCACCACGTGCTCGAAACAAATGGGCCCATTTTCGAATGGGATCGATCAAAAGTTGAGTGAGAGATGAGCGGCGTTTGGCGATGGTAGCGCATGGCACTGGGGCGGCTTGAGCTCATACTAGAGTCGTAGGGGGTTAGAGTGAAATGCATTCATAATCATGCTGCGTCCAGTCCTTATAAGCCTGCTTGCTCGGAGCCCTAGTGCTGTGTGCTACCATCGCCTCCCCTTTCACAGCGTCACAGTGCCACGTGCTTTTTATCTTCAACTTTCGTTTCCTCTACTCATCGTTCTTGTTATCTCTGCCTCCTTGCATGCATTTCACTACTTTCATGCTTCTACTGACTACTTGGGTTCCTTTCCCCTGCTCTGTTTTCTTTCTCTCCTTCCCATCTTGTCCGGTGCTATGGCAGCGTGGTGCGGGGAGGGAGGGCGGTGGGATGACGCACGGCAGGCAGTCACAGCGGTGTGCGAGCCTCCTGGAAGCCTGACGCCACTGTCCTGCAAGCACCCTCATACGGCTAAGTTTCCTCTCCCGTCGCCCTTGCCATCCTTACCGCTTCTGCTTCGTGTTTATCATTGCCCACTTTTGTACCGCATTCTTCCGTCACCGCATGCTCGAAACAAATGAGCCCATTTTCGAATGGGAGCGATCAAAAGTTGAGTGAGAGATGAGCGGCGTTTGGCGATGGTAGCGCATGGCACTGGGGCGGCTTGAGCTCATACTAGAGTCGTAGGGGGTTAGAGTAGAATGCATTCATAATCATGCTGCGTCCCTTCCTAATTTGCCTGCTAGCTCGGCGCCCTAGTGCTGTGTGCTACCATCGCCTCCCCTTTCACAGCGTCACAGTGCCACGTGCTTTTTATCTTCAATTTCGTTTCCTCCACTCATCGTTCTTGTTATCTCTGCGACCACCCTGCCTTCCTCCCAGTCACTCACTCTCTGTTCTCTCTCTCCCGCCGCCTCCCGTTCCTCACCAGGTGCCGGATTTTAACATGGGAGCCATGGAGAATAAGAGCCTCAACGTGAGTGCCAGCCATCTGCCATCCGCTCCACATGGCGTTTCATCTGCCACTAGCGTTTCATGTGCCAGTACCGTTTGCACTTGCATCTGCCACGGACCGTTTGTGCACCCTCTGAGGCTGCTATTCATGTGCCCTGTGTGCTGCCTTCTCCTCAATCCGCCCTTCGTCCATGCCATTCCTCCGCCTCCCCCCTGCCCCTGTCCCCCCTTGTGCCCGTGTCGGCCCTGTCCCCCATCTCGCCCCTGCCCCTCTGCTTGCACCTCGCCCGTGGCAGATCGTCAACTCGCGCATGGTGCTGGCCTCGCCAGAGACGGCTACGGATGCCCACTATGTGCCTATGGAGGGGTTCATTGCCCACGAGGTGCGCCCTGCACGCCTTGCCTTGCCTGCCGCCCTTCCATTGCTGCTTTTCCTTTCCATTGCAGCTTTGCCTCTCCCACTCCCCTCCCCCTCCTACACCCGCTCCCCATCTCCTCCCCCTCCCCGTCCCCCTCGCCCTCCCCCTCCCTCCCCTTCCCCCTCGCCCTCCCGCTCCCCTTCTACTCCCTTCTCGAACCTCGAATTCTGCTATTTCGTTTACCCTTCCAGTTTTCGCTTTTGCCGCTTTACCCCGCCTCTTGCTCTTGTATGCTCCAGCTATTCTGCCCCTCCCCCCCCTTCCCCTTCTCCTTCGCCCGCCCCCTCCCCTCCCTCCCCTGCTCCAACCTCGAATCTTGCTGTTTCGTTTACCCTTCCAGTTTTCACTTTCGCCTCTCTACCCCGCCTCTTGCTCTTGTATGCTCCAGCTATTCTGTGTGTTTCGTTTAGCAACTTCAGTGGTTCATCCAGCCTCCTTGTTGCGTGCATGTGTTTTGTGTGTGTACGCGTGTGTGGGGTTGGTCATGGTGTGCGTATGTGGAAGGCGGGAAGGGGGGGGGGGGGGGGAGGGGGGGGGAGGGAGGGGGGAGGAGGTCTGTGTGTGTGTGTGATGCGGGTTGGTGTGTGAGGGGGTGGGGCATGGTGTGGCGTGTGCTGTGTCTCCATTGCCCGCTGCTGCTCCACTCTGCCCCTTCAAACGCGGATCTCATGGTCTCCACTCCCTCCTCCTCGCCAGTACTTCCACAACTGGACGGGCAACAGGTGAGACTCTTGCCACACTGCAGGCCTTGCCTTGTGACCGGCCTTTGTCCTCACATGATCACACTTCCCGTGCTCTCTGCCTTCGTGCCTGGTCTCCTTGTCTGCCTCTGCCTCGTGCCCCGTGTCCCCTCCCCGCTCCCCCTCGTCCCCTCTCCCCATCGCTCGCTCTCTCGCTCTTGCTCTTTCCCCCTCTCCCCTCTTTCCCTCGTATTCTCTCCCTCATTCCCTCTCCCCTTCTCCCCTTCGTCCCCTCTCTCCGTCACTCCCTCCGCCGCTCTCCCCCTGTCCCTCCCCCTCTTTCCCTCCCCCTCTTTCCCTCCCCCTCTTTCCCTCCCGCTCTTCCCCCCCCCTCTTTCCCTCTCCCTCTTTCCCTCCTCCCCCACTGGCAGAGTGACGTGTCGTGACTGGTTCCAGCTAACACTCAAGGAGGGGCTCACAGTGTTCCGCGACCAGGTGGGGCACGGTGGGGAACGGTGGGGCGAGGTGGGGCACGGTGGGGCACGGTGGGAAAGGTGGTTCTGCTCCGTGTTTATCATTGCCCACTATTGTTCCACATTCTTCCGTCACCGCGTGCTCGAATCAAATGAGCCCATTTTCGAATGGGAGCGATCAAAAGTTGAGTGAGAGATGAGCGGCGTTTGGCGATGGTAGCGCATGGCACTGGGGCGGCTTGAGCTCATATAGAGTCGTAGGGGGTTAGAGTAGAATGCATTCATAATCATGCTGCGTCCCTTCCTTATTTGCCTGCTAGCTCGGCGCCCTAGTGCTGTGTGCTACCATCGCCTCCCCTTTTAGAAGCCACATGCTTTTTATCGTCAGTATTTGTTTCCTTGACTCGTTCATTCTTGTTATCTCTGCCTCCTTGCATGCATGTGAGTACCTATTTGCTTCTACCTGACTGGTTGGGTTCCTTACCGCTCTGGGTCCTCTTGCTCTCCTTTGCTCCACCCCCCTCGTCCGGTGCTTTGACAGCGTGGTGCGGGGAGCGGGAGGTCGGTGGGAGGGCGGTGCGAGGTTCACTCCACGAGCGACACTCCACGAGGGTCAGCAGTGGACCATCCAACCACTGGTTTGCATGCTCGTTCCGCATTTCTGCAACTATCATGATATGCTCCAAAGTTCTTGCTCTCGCATTCTGCCCTGCGTTTGCCGGTTCGCTTTCTCTCCCTGCCTCTTTCACCCATCTCGGCGCCTCACCTCTTTCTGTCCATCCCATCCCAGCAGCAATACTCCAAGGAATTTGGTGCGATGGCGTGGGCGGGTGCTGCTGTTGATGGTGCGCGGGCGGGTGCTTCAGCTATTCGTCTTGCTTTTGGGATGGGCTGCAGAAGAGGAGAGGGTGCAGAGGACGATGCACGCGGAGGAAAAGAGGGTACTAAGGCGGAGGAGAGGGGGCAGAGGAGGACAAGAGGTAATATCTGTGTTTTACCGTTGTTCTGTCATCCTCCTTGTCTAAACTTGTTCGTATTTGCCTAATCTCTTGGCCTTAGCTTCTTTCCTGTTGCCACCCCTACATTGCTTGGCCTTTGTTATACCACTGTTTCAGATGATCCCTCTCTCTTTCCCTCTTGAACATCATCGCTGCTCCTCTCTCTCATATCCTCTTTATCCCCTCCTATCCTGCCTTTCATCCCACTGTCGTGCACAGCACGGGCATGGCAGCAGCAGCGGTATCAGCAAGGGACAACAAGCAAGGGCGGATCATCGGAGCCCTCATTTCCTGGTACGTTCCTCATCTCCTCCTTGCTCCCATCTCCTCAATGCACGGTGATGTTCCTCTCCACTCTCACCCTCCTCTTCTTCACGCCTCCTCCCTTGTGTTTCCGCTGACAAACAGGCATGGCAATGGCAGCAACAGGCGGAAACAACATGGTCTACCGGCCTTCCAATGCTTCTCGCTCGAGCCTCTTTGTCTCTGCCTCCAATTTCCCTTTCTCAGCTTCCCTGTCAGCATCCCCTCTACCTTCAGATGCCTTATTTCTCGGCTCTTCCTCTCCTCTCTCTTCATGTTCCTTTTAACATGCCTTCCCCACTTGTGTTTCCTCCTTCAGCAGCAGTGGGCGGAGCAACAGCTTGGCAGCAGCATTGGAGCACGCCGGTACACAAGAATAGCACGTGCTGTCTGGCTATTACTTGTGGTGGGTTTCCGCACCACCCTTGCATTGTGCATCAATACCCCTTTCCAGCCACTCTTCTTTTCGTTGTCTCTCAGGCCATTGCCTTCCATGCCCCTTCTCTCTCTGCCCTTCAACGCAATTCTGCTATGGCTGATTTTTCTACAAGAGTGGGACAATTAGCTTCATCCTTGGCCTTCCACATGCTCAGTTCTCTTTCTTGTCCTCATATCTTCTCTTTGTCTCTCGTGTGCCCCTCTCTTTCTCTCTGCTTCTATTTTGGTGTGTTGTTGACATGACGGGATCGGACTGGTGAGGCAGGGAGTGCGATTGCCAAGTGTAGCCAACTGGAGTGGCCATCTCGTGAAGAGCTCGTCGTTGTTTCTGAAGGTGAGCAATACGCAACCCAACACCAGGAACAGCATATCATCATATCATGTCATAGCATATCATATCATATCATATCATGTACGTTGTGTAGGTATCTAAACCACGTAAATCATGTGCCCAAATCGGACAACACCCATCATTTCGAATTATCTCTGTTTCTATCATGCTGAGAAGCTCAGCTCTTGTCTGCATTACCTCCTCCTCTCGTCTGCTTGCAGGGCAACCAAAGCCGATCCGTTTGGAAGTCAAGACTGAGGATGAAGACCGTTTGGTAGAGCTGAAGTAGATAGAATGTGATAAGATAGGTTCCTTCCTGCCCCGCTCCCTCCCCTCCCCCTGCATAGGAATCCCCTGTCCCTACCCCCCCTCCCCCCTCCTCCACGCGTTCCTCCCCCTGCAACCCACCTCCTTGTGCGACCCGCCTCCCCTCGAGACCCACCCACCTCAGCAACCCCCTGCGTAGGCTCTAACCACCCGGCTAACCACAGAGGGTTATCCACAGGGCTAACCACAGGGCTAACCACAGGGCTAACCACAGGGCTAACCACAGGGCTAACCACAGGGCTAACCACAGGGCTAACCACAGGGCTAACCGCAGGGCTAACCACAGGGCTAACCACAGGGCTAACCACAGGGCTAACCACAGGGCTAACCACAGGGCTAACCACAGGGCTAACCACAGGGCTAACCATAGGGCTAACCACAGGGCTAACTACAGGGTTAACCACAGGGCTAACCACCGGGGTAACCACAGGGCTAACCACAGGGCTAACCACCGGGATAACCACAGGGCTAACTACAGGGTTAACCACAGGGCTAACCACCGGGATAACCACAGGGCTAACCACAGGGCTAACCACAGGGCTAACCACAGGGCTAACCACAGGGCTAACCACAGGGCTAACTACAGGGTTAACCACAGGGCTAACCACCGGGATAACCACAGGGCTAACCACAGGGCTAACCACAGGGCTAACCACCGGGATAACCACAGGGCTAACCACAGGGCTAACCACAGGGCTAACCACAGGGCTAACCACAGGGCTAACCACAGGGCTAACCACCGGGATAACCACAGGGCTAACCACAGGGCTAACCACAGGGCTAACCACAGGGCAAACCACAGGGCTAACCACAGGGCTAACCACAGGGCTAACCACAGGGCTAACCACAGGGCTAACCACAGGGCTAACTACAGGGTTAACCACAGGGCTAACCACCGGGATAACCACAGGGCTAACCACAGGGCTAACCACAGGGCTAACCACCGGGATAACCACAGGGCTAACCACAGGGCTAACCACAGGGCTAACCACAGGGCTAACCACTGGGTTAATCTAAGCACTTGTGCACGAGAGCACGCGGATTACAGGGATGTGCACTGGGAATACTAACCACAGAGTCTGTGCTTCAGAGCGCACTAACCATAGGTTTCTGCTTGTGAGCACGCTAACTACAGGGATAAGCATTGGGCCCAGGGCTTGAACGTCGAGGGGAAATAATGACAGCGCTTATGCATCACGGCAGGCTAGCTACAGGGATGGTGCACTAGGCTAGCACTGGGCTGTGCATTGGAGTCACCAAGTGGGGGATATGCACACAGGACTGTGCATCCGAGCAGTTTAACCACAGGTCTTGATTAATCCAGTTACAGGAAAGTGCCTAGAACGACTATATCACCGATGTCGTAGATCTAATGCACAGATGTAAGTAGATCCCTGAATATTATTTTGTGGTAGTCAATCAGTGTCGTCTTGACTCTCTCATCTGCATCCGTTTCCAGTTAGAGCCCACCATTTTTTGCGACAGAGGAGGAGGTGGAGCTGCAGAGGAGGCGAGAGGAGGTGGAGCAGCAGAGGTGGCGAGCAAGCGCCGCCCTAAGCCGCGCACCAGTTGCACATGGATACGGTACATTCCTTCAGGTAAATCATTAATGGGGACTTTGGTCCCACTTGGTTGGTTCAGTAAGTGCCAACACCAAATGCATATATTAGATATTTATCAGAAGCCTAACATTGCGCACGCCCAACTCATGCGGATACCAGGTGAGCACATGCGTGCAACTTGAGGCGGCTAGAACAGAGTACTCGCAACTAATGGGTTCACCAAGTGCATGTATGTATGCGTGCTACTTAGCACTGAACGTTTTCAACGGATCGTTTGATCTGCCTCTGCCTCCTCGCCCCCCTCTTCCTCTCCCTCCTCCTCCCCGTCCCCGTCCCCCACCCCTCCCCCTGTGCCCTCTGTTGACCCCCCCTCCCCCTCTCCCTCCTCTCCCTCCTTTCCCCCCATCCCGGCTGTCTTGCTCTGCAGGAGGCAGCTCGGTTAGGAACTTGCGCCGAGCCTCCGTGACAGCTTCGGCACGAAGGTACGTTGGGAGGACCTTGAGGTGCGGGGAGGGGGCCACCTTGGCCAGCACCTTGTCATGCTTCAGGAGGTCTGGTGGGGGCGATGGGGGAACAATGGGGTGAAAGACGGTGAGGGTGTGCGGGTATGTGAGAGTGAAATGACGGGGCCACCTTGGGTAGCACCTTATCGTGCTTCAGGAGGTCTGGTGGGGGGCGATGCAGCAAACAGGGGGTGACCGAAGGTGAGTGGGTGTGAAATGAGGAGGCAAATGGGTGTGCAATTGGGACCTTGGCTGGCAAGCACTTTGTGCTTGAGGAGGCCTGGCGTGCAACAATAGAGAAAAAAGCAGGTGGAACAGGCACGGTAGGACCAAAGACCTTGTAGTGGGGGAGGTGGGGAGAGAGGGGGGCGGGTGTCGTGAGGTTGAAACAAGAATAAGGAGACACTCTTTGTGGTGTTTCAGGGAAGCTGGTGAGGAGATAAAGAGCGGTCCTTGAGCTTCTCCGAATGGAGAATCTCCCACCCCCTCCCGAATGACCACGTGCATGTGCCAAAGGAAGAAGCGGAGGGCGGGTGCAGAAGGGAGAATGAGTGGAAGGAAGGGAGAGGCAGGGGGAAGGGCACGCACCTCTGTCCTTGGGGTTCAGATCGAAGTGATCCTTAAGCTTCTCCGAGTTGAGAATCTCCCACCGCAGCTCTTTGGCTCTTGCCTCGCGGATAGCCACGCGGGTGATCTTCGCCGCCACGTCCTCCCCACGGTACCGCAGTGCCTCCACTCCTTCTTTCGGCAGGTATGGGTACGGCACTATCGCCCTGCACTCGTATGGCTTCGGCTTTGCTGGTAATTCCTCCTCTTCTTCCTCTTCCTCTTCCTCTGAATCTTCTTCCTCTGACTCATCTGAGTCCTCTTCGTCCTCTGTATCCTCCTGTTCCTCCTCGTCGTCCTCCTCTTCCTCATCTGTTCCTTCCTCCTCACCCTCTTCCTCGTCATCCTCCACTTCTCCCTCCTCTTCATTCTCCTCACCCTCCTCATCCTCTGCTTCCCGTGCTCGTTTCCTACTGCTACCACTCTCCCCTTTGACCCCATGCTCCACGCCGACATGCTTGCCGCCCTTCTTGCCATCCTCGCCGCCCTTCTCGCCGCCCACAATTGCCATGGACTGGGCAATCTTCCTGTCAAGAGCCTCCAATAGCGGCGCCTCTTTAGGGGACACCTGGCACGCACCGATTCGCCAGGGAACAACAATCAGCGAGGGTGCGGAAAGGGATTAAGGAATTGAGAGTGCGATACGTGTGTGTTCCAAAACCAAGAGACGGAAAGATGTGGCACATGAGAGATGGAAGCACTGCCGTACCAGGGTTATTGCCATGCCAACGCTGCTGGCTCGGCCGGTCCTCCCCACCCGATGGACGTACGGCGCAAGCTGGTTCGGCACACTATAGTTGATAACCGTCCTCACATTCTTGAAGTCTATACCCCTCACCACTCCATACTCCCCTGTATCCCTCTCCACCTCCTCCTCTCCCTCCTCCCGCCCTCCCTCCCCTCCCTCTGCTATCCTTACTCTACGCCGCTTCGAGTCTCGACCAGAATCCCCCCTTCCATTATTGTTCCCCCCTTTCCCCCCATCTTTCGCAGAGAGCCCCCCATTGTCGTCGTCTGTGGCAATGAGGAAGAAAAACTTTCCGGCGTTGAAATCGTGCAGAATGTGCAGCCGAGACGCGACGGGCAGCTCGGAATTTAGCACGGCTGCCCGGATGCCAAACTGCTCGAGAAAAAGTTTCACGCGGAAACCGGCTTCGACAGTGGAGGTGAAAATGAGAACCTTTTTCTGCAGCAGCTGCAGGCGAATCAGCGCGAGCAGGTGGAGTAGTTTGTCCTTTTCCTCGCAGCGGACGGCAAACTGGCGGATATTGGGCGGCAGGAGAGACTGGTTCTGGTTACTCTGACCGCCTGCACCTGCTTCTGCTGCCTCCCCTGCAGCAGCTGCCTCTGCTGCTGTCTGTCCTTCCACTCCCAAACCCGCACCCCCAGCACCCCCCTGGGCATCCTCAAGGAGACCTGAGCTGTCTCCTAGTCGCACGACCACTGGATTATGCAGCACCAGCTTTTGCAATCGCTCTATGTCGTCACTGGTGGATGGGGGACGACGGGGTGGGGGGGAGAAGAATCGGAACATAAACAGGCAGGCGGGCACAAAAAAATGAGGGGGGGAGACGGAGCTGACTTTAAGCGAAGAGGGGGAGTGAAAGGGTGAGGGGAATGGGAAGGGAGCTGATCAGAAGGGGAGAAGAGAGCGAGGGCTGACCTGAAGGTGGCGGTGAGGAGCAGGCACTGGCAGCTGACAGGCACGTGGCGCGCTATGGCCTGCACCTCACTGTAGTAGCCGTGCGATAAAAGCACGTCCGCCTGTTGGCATGGCACACATGGGATGGCAAGAACGATGCATTGAAATGCTGAGTTGTCGGGTTTGGCATCTGCCAAAGACCATGCATGCCATGCGAACACAGATGGCAGCACCACACACATGGCATGGCAGCACAGTATACTGTCCCAAACTCGTGCCCCCCTCATGCAGCACTCAACTCATGCATCCCTCTCCCCACCTCGTCCAGCACCATGACAGCCAGGTGTGTCTTGAGCGCCGAGGGCGACAGCACCCCCTCCGCCACACACGCCGCCATGCGCGCCGGCGTCGCCACCACCACGTCTGGCCGCCTCTCCATGGCCGCTCGCTGCGTGGGGCCGATAAATCAGGGGAGGGGAATGGGAAATTGCATGGGGGATAAAGGAGAGCATGAGGGCATGGCGTTGGGATGGTGGAGGACATGAGAGCATGGCACGGGGGATGCAGGAATTGAAATTAGCTAGACAGGCAAGACGTATGGAATTTAACCGAGTGGTTTATACTTCTTGGGGTTGTCTAACCTAAAAAAGGTGGGGAGATTCGACTCACCATGGCGCTGTTGTTCATGCCGGTGGTGAGGCGCTGCACGGTGATGGCGCCCCCACAGTACTGCGCCATGGCTGTCACCTCCTCTGCCACCTGGATCATGCGGGAACAGAGCAGTGGGTGGCTCGGTAAGAACAGACCCGTACTGACGCGTCTCAAGGCATGCATACTCCCCGGCCCAAATCTTTATCCCCCTCTCCCTCCCCGCTCACCCTTTTCCCAAGTCACCTCTCGCCCTCCTTCCCCCTGTGCCCTTCCCCAGCCATCCCTCCTCCGCGCACCTGCTGGCAGAGCTCCCGCGTGGGCACCAGCACCACTGCGCGCGGACAGGTCCCCCCCGCGCCAGGGGCGGCGGGCGCGGAGTCCTTGTCGGCGAGCACGCGGTGCAGCAGCGGCAGCAGGTACGCGAGGGTCTTGCCCGACCCCGTGTGCGCCATCGCCACCACGTCGCGCCCCTCCTGCAGCCATGGCGCGGAGACGAAACGAGGAGATTGAAGAAGGGAGGTGATGGAGGGAGGAGACGGAAGGAGGAAATGGAGAAGGGTAGTTGAGAGTGAGAGATGGATGGTGGACTGTCGGTTGTTGTGGTGAGGAGGGAGGAGGTCGGAAGGGGTTTTGGGAGGGTTCAGGGTCTTTGCGAGGCGCTACAATGGTTAACGAGGAGAGGCACGCACCATGGCGAGCGGCACGCAGTACTGCTGCACGGGGGTGGGATTCAGCAGACGCCGCTTCACCAGCCCGCGCAGCAGACGCGGATCCAGCCCCATTTCGTCGAAGCTTCTGACCGGGTTCAACGCGGACGCTGAACTAAGTTGAATCCCCGGATTTGAAACAGCGGGGACATTCTTAGACGGCTTTTCAGGACCTAGTATACTAAACCCTTGGCTTTCTTCTCCCTCCTCTGCTTCCTCTTCGTCACTGTCTTCTCCATCCTCCTCATCCTCTCCCACCTCCCCTTCTTCCTCCCCCGTATCTCCCTTGCCCTCCCCTTCCTCCTCAATTTCCTCCTCTCCGCTTTCGCTCTCGTCGGCGGAATCTGTTCCTTCCTCATCAGTGTCTGTTGACTCTTCCTCACCCTCCACATCCTCTTCCTCCCGACTAGAGAGTAATTTCAGAGCACTTGCTTCTTCTATCCCCTTCGCCGCTTTCCCGTTCGAACCGGCTTTCCTGCCTGACATTTTCTTCGCCATGGTTGTTGTTCCAGGCCGTCTGTCGGTCTAAGAAGTACGACTAAGTTGTAAGGATGTCTTGTTCCCTTTTGCCCGTGTCTGCGTGTCCATTGGTGCTAAATTTTAGCGATTCACGACAGTCTAGAAATGTCGCGAAGCTGCAGCATTGGGCAGAACCTCGTAACTTCGCACCCTGCAAAATATCCTGGCACTCGGGTGTCCATCTCCCCTTTTCGCAACTTTCGCAGACAGATCCACTTCTTCCAACCAAGCTGCTCAACTTTCCACCAATAAAAACCCGCCACCTCTCCCAACCCTCCGCGAAACCCCGTCACGGAAAGTCGCAAAACCCAGACTCGCGACAGTCACGTTGTTGGACGAGGAGGAGCGTAGCAATCGTCTCATTTTCGCCAAGGTTGCGTGCGTTTGCGACACTCCCCTAGGCCCTTGAGATCTGTTCGCGTGAACTTTTTCAGGTGGACGCAAGAATGGCTTGGCTCGGGTTGGACAGCTGCAGCAGCTCCAGCGTGTTCATGCTTCGTCAGGTTCTCTCAACCGAATTTCGCCGTCTATAGAACATGCTAAACGCTTCCCACCGTGCTTTCTTTGAAAGATGACCATTGGATATCAGTCCCTCTGACCTTCACTTGTCTCATTTTTGCCTTGCCTATTAGATTCCGCCTCTCAGGGCGTGTCCCACGAGTTCGCTTACAGTTCATGTTCATGTTTGTTACCCTATTTCGCGCTTGTAACCCTCTACTGTATACATGCGTCTTAAATGACGCACGACAATTGACGCATCTCCCACGTCGACCTGTTCGTTTTGAACGCGTTTAGAAAGAGAACCTACGTACGTGCGATCACCTCGAACGGGTCCCCGTGAGGGGTTACCGTAAACTCCGAATTCGCCCAAACCATGGTCTCGCGAAAAAAACAAACGTCGCCAGGGGTACCGAGTCGCGCCCCAGCACCAAAATTCCACGCGCATCACATCCGCCATACTCAACAATCGATTCGCAACTGGGGCGGGTTACCGCTCGCGGATTCTGTCAATTCTGAATCGCATGACGTTTTTTGTGTGGGCGGGACTATGCGTCCGCCTGGTGCAATTCCGTTTTGCTCGGTGCTGACACATTCCGTTTTTTTACGCGAGTCGAGTATTCTGTAAAGCATCCTCGCATCTCCGAGCGAGCTCTCCGCCATGGCTCCGCCATGGTTTCTCCAGACATCGAGTTACCCAGCATCCTCGTTATCATGCTTCCGCTCGGCATCTGTCAAGTCATGTGGCTCTGATTTCTTTTTAAACGGAAGCTTTGTCACTTCCATTGACACTGACATTCCGCGTTATCAGGCGACAGTCTCAGATCCGATCCAGGCAATACCAAGGTTTCGGCTTCGGGAACTCCAAAGAGATCTACGCTTTAATCTTAACGATGCTGTACATCTCCTATCGACTATTACATCTATTTGAGAAGAAACAAGGAATGAATGAACTATGAATGAATTGGGTACAAGTACTAACCCTAATTGGGTTGTACCCCTTATGGGCTACCCCACTATAGCCTACACAATATGCATGAGCTATAATGTTCTGACACACCCCCATAGGCAAAGTGGGGGAGAACAAGGGGTCACAAGACCAGTCAAGTAAAGCAAAGCAAAGCAAGCTCAGGGTGGATCACAAAGTCACCACACATTCCGAGCACAAGTTCAAGGCCACAAGGCCAGTTCACATGCAGGAGTACATATATATAAAAAGGCTAGACAAACAAGAGCAGGTATATATATATGTAACAGTACAAGCACGGTCAAGAGGTGAGCAAGTGAGGCAAGGTAGGCACAAGGCCCAGCTGAGTACAGAAGCGCTGATGGTCACAAGGCGCAAGCGCCTTGGTGAAGATATCAGCAGTGTTGGCCTCAGAGGCCACGTACGCAAGACGCAGCTGACCACGCTGCTGCAGCTCACGAGCAAGAAAGTAGCGGAGAGCAATGTGCTTCGTTCTGTGCTCCAGTCGCTGCTCCCGACACAAGGCCAGCATGGCCTTGTTGTCTACGTACAGCACTGGAGGAGAACGAGGCGGCTCTCCGAGGTCAGTCAGCAGGTAGGTGAGCCAGCGAAGCTCCTGTGCAGCCATGGCTCCTGCGTAGATCTCAGCCTCACAACTGGAGCCGAGAACAGAAGACGAGCGAGTAGCCCGCCACGAAACAGAGCCGGAACCAAGGCTGAAGGTGTAACCCTGTGACGACCGCTGCGTAGCCTGGTCGTCAGCCCAAGAAGCGTCTGCGTGTCCAGTAAGGACCACTGGACTCTGCCCTCCAAGCACAAGCCCCATGCCCGACGTACTGCACAAGTAGCGCAACACCCTCTTCGCTACAGCCATGTGCTCCGGTCTGTGTCTCCCAGGAGCAACATAGCGTGCGAGAATGCTAAGAGGGTATGCAAGGTCAGGTCGTGTGCAGGTCATCAGGTACATGAGGCAGCCAACAAGCTCTGGGTACGGGCCACTCGACTCTACGGACTCATCCGAAGGCAGAGCTGAGAGCGAGTGGCGAGTAGGCAGAGGAGTGGCCTGAGGCGAGGAGTACGTGAAGCCGAAGCGCTGAAGGACCTGCTGCACCATGTGTGACTGAGTCAGGGTAATGGTGCGGCGTGCTCTGTCCCGAGTGATCTGCAAGCCAAGGTAGCTGCGCAGTTCACCCAGGTCAGTGCACGTGTGTCTCTTCTGCAGCTCGGACTTCACGTGGGCGAGTCCAGCAGTGTCAGCTGTGGCAAAGACCAAGTCGTCGACGTACACGAGGATGTAGAACGGCGGCAAAGAAGTGTCGGTGCGCAGAAACAGCGACGGGTCGGCAGTAGAGGGAGCAAACCCAAGAGCCGCAAGTGTAGTCCTCAGTGTGTCGTGCCACTCACGTGGTGCCTGGCGGAGACCGTAGACTGGCCGCCGTAGGCTCCACTGGGTGCCAGGAGGAAAAGACCCAGTGAAACCAGGTGGGCGACGCAGCCAGATCTCCTCGTGCAGGCTGCCCTGCAAGAAAGCAGTGCTGAAGTCAAGAGAGTGTAGCTCGTAGTCACGGTGAGCAGCTACGTGTAGCAGTACCCGAAGAGTGGTCATCTTCGGGGTGGGAGAGAAGGTCTGAAAGTAGTCAACTCCCTGCCGCTGACTGAAGCCTCGAGCCACGTAACGCGCCTTGAAGACAGGCGGAGAACCCGGCGGCCGCTTCACCCTGAAAATCCACATGCCACTGACGATGTTCGCCCCAGGAGGGGGAACAGCGTCAACGTAGGTGCCTGTGGACTTCCAGGAAGCCATCTCTGCGTCCATAGCTGCCTGCCACTGAGAGGAGTAGGGACCCTCTATCGCCTCCGCGTAAGAGCGCGGAGTCGGGATGTCAAGTGCATCCGGGTCTCCCTCAGGGGTAAGCAGTACGGACACGAGATGAGGTGAAGCAGCGGCCAAGCACTGGAACTCCTCCTGCCTGTCCTCAAGGACGTCCGTGCCAAGGGCACACTCACCCCCGACGGACGGAGGACAGACAGACTCAGACTCAGCAACAAGACTGGCGACGTAGTCTAGGCGACAGCGAGCAGCAAAGTCGACGAGCTCAGCAACTAGGGCAGACGCAGCAGTGGACTCAAAGGAAGGGTCAGTGACAACAGTAGCAAGGAGACGTGTGACAGTAGGACTGGCAGCACGAAGAGAGTCCGACTCCGGGTCGGCAAGAGCAGGAAGAGAAGACTCAGGAGGAGAAGGCAAAGGGGCACGCAGAGGAGCAGTGGACGGACGCAGAGACATCCGGTGCGTGCCAGGGACAGGAGGAGGACGCGGACGCGAACCACGACCACTAGTGCGAGCAGCACGGACAGGCGACGCAGGGCGAGACGCAGGCTCACGACGCTCAGCAAGACCTCCAGTAGGACCAGTGTAGGGAGACGGAGCAGGCAGTGGGGAGGCCGGCTGTAACTGTAACTGCGACGGGACAGGCTGTGGACACTCTAAGGGAGGAGGAGGACCAGTAGAAGACGGGAGACCAAGAACCTGCTGAAGGAGCGGAACGAAGTACGGCCGAGGCCGCGCGGCGACTCCAGACACAGTAGGGACAGCACCAGCACCCCCTGTGGCAGCACCAGCACCAGTAGCAGCTCCAGCTCCAGTACCCCCAGCAGCACCAGTAGTACCCCCAGCAGGACCGCCTCCAGGACCGACAGCAGTAGCCTCCGCGCCAACACCCGCAGCAGCTCCAGCTCCAGAAGTACCCGCAGGTCCAGCAGCTCCAGTACGCCCAGTACGAGCACCTCCGGGACCCGTGGCACCAGCTCCCTCAGCAGCAACAGAAACTCCAGTACCCGCAGCTCCTCCAGCTCCAGCAGCTCGCCTCCAGCGCCGGGCAAACCACTCATGCAGCTCCTGTGGAGAGAGTGGCTCCCGGCGAGAAGAAGCACCCGAAGAACCGCCAGGCACAGCACCAGCAGGCCCAGCTCCCTCAGGCTCCGCACCCCCAGGCTCAGCACCTCCAGGCGGAGCACCCCCAGGCTCAGCACCCCCAGTCTCAGCACCCCCAGTCGTAGTACCCTCAGGCTCAGCACCCCCAGGCGTAGCACCCACACGCTCAGCACCCCTAGAGTCAGCACTCCCAGGCTCAGCACCCTCAGCAGCACCAGAGTCACCAGCGACCTCGACAGGCTCAACAGCGTCTACCTGGGACACACCTGAAGGGGCAGGACCCTGAGGGGGGAGGGGGTCTACCGGGGGGGGACCTGGTACCAGGAAGAGCGGTGGCGGGGGGAGGGACGGAGTGCGGTAGGGGAAGAGGCGGTAGTAGGGGACCGACTCGTCGAACGTGACGTCCTGGGAGGACAGAACACGGCGAGAGGTGGGGTGGTAGAACTGCCACCCTGGGGCGTCAGGGGGGAAACCCAGGAAGACGCAAGGAGCAGCACGAGGGGACAGCTTGTCCGCAGACAAGTCGCGGACAAACGCCCGAGATCCCCAGACACGGAACGCAGACGCATCGCCAACCTTCCCCGTCCACAGCAAGGCTGGGGAGGTCTCCGGCATGGAGACCCTGGGCTGAAGGTTGATCTGATGCGCCGCGTACCGAACCGCAAACGGCCACAGAAAATGGGGGGCAGCCGCATGCATCATGGACGTACGGGCGACGTCCATGACCATGCCAATGCGGCGCTCAGCAATCCCATTTTGCCGTGGAGAGTCCGGAAGCGTGAAGGTCTGGCGGATGCCTCGTGCACGACAGTAGGCTCGCAGAAGGCCAGAGGAGAACTCTCCGCCTCTGTCAGAGTGCAGACGCAGAACAGGAAAGTCCGAGCCGAAGCTCCGCCTGAGCTGGAGACGAGCTGCGCGGATCCAGTCGATCAACACCTCAGTGACATCACCCTTGCTGCGCAAGGGGAAGACTGTGGTGTAACGCGAGTAGTCGTCAACCACCAGCAGGAAGTAGCGCTCGTGACCCTGTCCACGGACGCGGGCCGGGCCCCACACGTCCATGTGAAGCGTCTGCAGCGGGGCCTCTGTCGGAGGAAACTGGGTGGAGTGAGGGGTAGCCCGCTGTCGTCCCTCGACACAGGGGACGCAGGTAGGGCCAGGCCCCGGAGGAAGTGGAGGGAGGGACCGGGGAAGACCAGAGACAAGGACGCGGGAGGCCATGCTCCGGAGACGAAGCAGGGAGGGGTGACCAAGGCGGTGGTGCCAAAGGAGAGTCTCGTGAGACAGGGGCAGACTCAGGACCAGACCTGGACGCTGCAGCAAACACCTGACCCGACGCAGCTACCTGATCAGACGCAAGGACCGGAGGAGACGCAGTGGTCAGTGTGTACAGGCTCGACCCCGGCCGACGTGTAAACGTGGCCAGGTGTCGGCCTGTCCGAGCGTCCGTGCAGTGGGTCACCCGCTGACTCGCAGGAGTGAACTGGTGAACCCCCGCATCCTGTAGGTCAGCACCACTCACCAAGTTCGTAGAGAACGAGGGGAGGTAAAGACCAGACAGGGTGCCAGAGGGGGCCGCCGGACACGGGAGGACAGTGGAGAAGTGAGCAAGGACAGGACCCCCAGAGGGGTCTGCCAGAGAGACCGCAACTGGCCGGCCAAGCGGCGTGAGTGTGGTGCGGTCTCGAAAGAAGGAGCGAGAAGCCCCCGAGTCAAGGGTAAAGGTGTGGGAGGCCGAAGCCGACGCCGAACCTGAGAGAGCAGACTCACCAGTACCTGAGGGAGCAGACGCACCTAGAGCAGCAGCCTCGCTAGCACCTAGAGCAGCAGTCTCACCAGGACCTAGAGCAGCAGTCTCAATGCCCGGGTCGGGCGGAAAACACCGGTAACAGTCACCCTCATCACTAATAGTCACAGTATACATGGCAGCAAGAATAGCATCAAAGTCAAGGTCAAAGACAGCCACACCCGCCCTAGACAGCTCACCCCAGCGGGGGATCTCAGTGGCCTCAGGGAACTGGTGACGCCAAGCGTCCGTCAGGCGGCCAAAGCAGCGCTGGGTGGAGTGCGCCCCCCCGCACTGCTCACCCGCGCGGTCGCCGGTGCGCAGGACGTAGGTGCACGGACCAGTACCCCAACCCCTCTGGCGTGCAGAGTACCACTCACGGAGCTGCTGAGGGGAGGGGACGTCACGAGTGCGCTGCTGCTGCTGCTGCTGCTGCTGCTGCTGCTGGCGCTGACCACCACCGGAGCTGACCCTCTGCGCTGCGCCACCCCGACCAGCTCCACCTCCTCCGCCGCCTCCTCCTCCACCGCCGCCACCTCCGCTCCCTCCGCCACCGCCGCTGCCGCCTGCGCCTCCACCGCCGCCACCTACACCTCCACCCCCGCCACCACCCCCACCGCCACCCCCACCTCCTCCACCGCCTCCACCGCCGCCTCCACCGCCCCCGCTAGCTCCTCCAGCGCCCCTGCCCCCCTTGCCCCTGCCAGGGCGGCGTCTCCCGCTGGGGGTAGACGCTGCCCCAACCGACTCCAAACCAGCGAGGTCGGCCGCAGCAGCAGAGGCAACAGAGGGCAAAAGAGGGGAGGGGGAACACCCCTCAAAGATGGGGGTGCGAGGGTCACCACGAGAGGCTCCTACAGCGACTATGCTCTTTTCTGCTGCTAGGAGTGCCTTCTCGAGGAGGTCAACGGTGAGAGTGGTGGGACAAACCGAGAGGAAGTGGTCCCTGACTACGCGAAGGGAGTCAGGGAGACGGGTGACTATGTAGTAGAGGGTGATGTACATGGGGGGGGGGTTCTTGGCGCAGAACTCAGCAGGAAGCGCAGCGCGGTAGCGAGTGTCACTAGTGCGGAGGTGCGTAATGAGGTCAGCGACTGTGGGAAAGGCAGCAAGGTCAGGGAAGAGGTACGGTAGCATGAGGCGGCTCAGTGCAGCAGTGGCAGGGGAGGAGTAGCGTGCAACTACAGCGTCGTACAAGGTCTGAGCACTCTTGTACTGGCTAAAGTGCGCACGCTCAGAGGTAGGTAGGTGGCGACGCACAGCAAGACGTGCAGCAGCATCGCGCGTGGCCCACTGTGAGCGAACAGTGGCGTCAGCATCAGCAGCGGGGGAAGGAGAGGCACCAGAAGTGAGGTCAAAGAGGGAGAGGCCGTCTGCTCTGTCGCACTGTAAGAAAAGCTGCAGGTCATCTATCCAGACGTCAAAGTCAATGGCCCGACCCTCAGCGTCAAAAGCGAGGACACTAGGGGTAGCCATGACAGCAGTAGACTAGCAGTGCAAACAGTAGGGTGAGGGCAGTGCTGTGAGAGAGGCGCTGCTCTTACCGGACAGGGCGGTTCGGGCGGCTCGGCTGCAGGGCGGCTCGGCTGCTGGGCGGCTGGGCGGCTCGGCTGCTGGGCGGCTCGGCTGCTGGGCGGCTCGGCGGCTGGGCGGCTGGGCGGCTGGGCGGCTCGGCGGCTGGGCGGCTCGGCTGCTGGGCGGCTCGGCTGCTGGGCGTATCGGCGGTAGGGCGGCTCGGCTGCTGGGCGGCTCGGCTGCTGGGCGGCTCAGCGGCTGGGCGGCTCGGTTGCTGGGCGGCTCGGCGGGTGGGCTGCTCGTAGGAGTAGGAGCGGGGGGGCCGTAGGAGCAGACGCCGGGGCCGTAGGAGCAGGGGCCGGAGGCCGCTAGGGCGGCGGATCGGGGCCGCGAGGGCGGCGGATCGGGGCCGCGAGGGCGGCGGAGTAGGGGCCGCGAGTGCGGCGGAGTAGGGGCCGCGAGGGCGGCAGATCGGGGCCGCGAGGGCGGCGAATCGGGGCCGCGAGGGCGGCAGAGTAGGGGCCGCGAGGGCGGCGGATCGGGGCCGCGAAGGGCGGCGGATCGAGGGCCGCGAGAGCGGCTGAGCGGGGCCGCGAGGGCGGCGGATCGGGGCCGCGAAGGGCGGCGGATCAGGGGCCGCGAGGGCGGCGGAGCGGGGCCGCGAGGGCGGCGGATCGGGGCCGCGAGGGCGGCGGATCGGGGCCGCGAGGGCGGCGGAGTAGGGGCCGCGAAGGGCGGCGGATAGAGCCGCGAGGGCGGCTCGAAGGGGGGGGGGGGGGCGCGAGGGCGGCACGAAGGGGGGCCGCTAGGGCGGCGCGAGAGAGGGGAGCGCGACTCGGGCAGGGGCTGAGTGCGCTCCGGGCAGGAAAAAAAAAACGGTGGGCCCTAGGAACAGTTCCCACGGGGGAACCTGCTCGATACCATGAGAAGAAACAAGGAATGAATGAACTATGAATGAATTGGGTACAAGTACTAACCCTAATTGGGTTGTACCCCTTATGGGCTACCCCACTATAGCCTACATAATATGCATGAGCTATAATGTTCTGACACTATTGATGGAACCTTTCTCAAGGTTCAAGCTTCGGGAACATACAGTACATGGATGCATTGGCTGGATCCAGGCATTCCGAAATTACTACTTAAAGAAGTGCTCAGATCAATGGCAGAACACCTGGTCACCAGTGCTCAGCACTTCTTCCGTCTGCCTTATTGTCATCATTGCACAATGGCTCCTGCGAAAGGTCCCCGCTCCAAGACGGTGGTTGACCCGCCTGTCATGGATCCGCCTGCTACTGATCCGCCTGCCATTGATCTTCCTGCTGCGGATGGTGCAAAGGGTGTCGCTGCTGATGCTCCTACCCTTCCCTCTGACAAGCTGTCAAAACCTGCTGGAGACAACGCAACAAACGGATCAGGCACTGCGGAGTCAGTCTCCAACATCAACGCCGCTGGCTCATCCGGCCTAACCGTCAACGACAAGGCGAACGACACGCAGTCGCCGATTATTGACAACGACGGCTTCATCGAAGATGACTCAGATGAGGAAATGGAGGTGGATTTGGACTTGGAAGCCACGATCCAGCTGCGGACAACACTTATCTTGCTTTTTCCCATTAACCTGGTCGTTGCTAAGGAAACTGCTTCCATCATTGATGCTGTCAAGATGCTGATCAAACGTGGCTGGAATGCAGAGTTATCCGCAGAAGCTCAGACCTCGACAAAGTTCCAGGTGCTTTCGCCCGATTACGTCGCCAAGACTCGCTTCGGCCGGCTGCTGGTCTCTTTCACCTTGCAAAGCGACGCCGAGACTGTTAAGACCAAGGAGGTGTTGTACCAGAGGATCAATGGTGGTGCGTTGGTGAAGCTCCATTGGCAACATACCGAGAACCCGGATTACCTGAGGGAGAAGGCGCAGAACCCGCATGCGATCGAAGTTGTCCTTCGCGGAGTATCTGCAGTTGTTGAGCTGGACCGGATTGAAGCCAGGCTTGTCAGATACAAGCTGTCGAGCCGGAAGCACCCCGCCTTTCGGAGCTGCTCCTGTCTTCACCGCGTTCTTCATCCTGTTACTGGCGCGGACACTGAAGTGGTTAAGGGGTTGGTTTACATTTTCCCGGGAGACAAGCACCGCTGGCTGCACGCAATGCCCGACCCCCCTGATCGGTCAAAGACGCTGATGATTCACTACCCTGCACTCACCTGCTCGCTTTGCGGCGGACAGCACTATGATAAGTTTCATGATGCTTTCGTCGTAGAGCGTCAGGGTAATGTTGGGAATTGGAACCTGACTGTGGGGAATGCACATCGGCTGAACGGTAAAAGCTTCAAGCGCATGCATCGCAAAGTCTTTCTTACCATTAACTTCTCGCTTACTAACCTCCTCTCTCGACCTCGCAGCATCATCCCTGAAAGCCACCGCGTTAATCCTCCCCCTTCTGCAAGACCCCACTCTGGCACTTATCTCAATGGGATGCAGCCGGGAGGAGTGGCTGTGCACGCAAAGCGGCTGCAACAAAGCACACGAGAAATGTTTCATGACAGCGAAAGCCCATATCACCTCAGCTGCACACCTCATCAATCTGGAGACCCCGGGTACTGCCACCAAAGCATCCCTCAACAAGCTCCGCCTGAAGGCAATCATGAAGCAGTACGGGATCTGAACAGGAGAATCCTCACAGCAGCAGGAGTTTGTCTGGTAGTCAGTGTTGTCAGTTCTTTCACCTTTCTCAGCCTGTGGATGCGTAGAGGCTGCAAGTCAGTGGTTAAATGATTAACAAGAAGAATCTCATCACCTGTGCGGGCCTCAATGTCAACGGCCTGGGAGACAAAGTAAAACAAGACAGAGTTATCACCTGGTTGAAAGACGCAGCGGACATTGCAATCCTATCAGACACTAGATTAGCGAGCTCTCATACCTTTTGGACATCGACAAGTTTCACCACAGTAGCTGCCGCCTCACCCAGAGCAAAAGCCGGCGGAGTAGCGATCATTAGCAAGAACCCTTCCTTACGCTTTTCTGACATTAAACCGCACCCCTCCGGTAGAATCATCAGCACGTTAGTAGACGGTTCCGGCATCCAACTTACCCTGATAGCCGCATACTTTCCATCAAGCCCCACAGCCAGAACACCTTTCATTCTTAACTCTCTCGGACCGGTAGTAGACTCGATCCCGCCTGGTACTAACCTACTCATCATTGGAGACTTGAACATAATAGAGGACCCTGCCTTAGACAAAACTTCAGGACTAGGTTCCTCCTCTGAAAATGACAGACTCTACAGTAGATGCACGGCCTTTCAACTATCAGACGCTTACCGCACGCTTTACCCTAGAGATCGGGAATACACCTTTTACTCCACAGCTCAGAGGGAGAGCTCCAGAATCGACAGAGCCTTACTATCCATGTCCCTTCTACCATACCTAGTAGACTCCGAACATGTCTCTCCGAAAGAACAGATCTCCGACCACGGCTTCGCCATCCATGTGACCCTTAAAGTAGACGACAAAGCCCGCCTCGGTCCAGGAATCTGGAGATTAGATGCAGCCCTTTCAAACAGGCCGGGAGTGAGACGAATAATAGAAGAGACGCTGGGAAAGTTGACAGTTACCGACGGACGGAGCTACGAGCTTCTGATCACCGGACTCAACACAAGGCTTCGCGGCTATACGAGGCAGGAGCACAAGAGAGTGAGAGCCACTTTCACCCATCTGGTGTCGGCCGTAGCAGCCTTGAAGCAGGTAGCCATGGGGAATCCGAAGTGCAACAGGCTGAGATCGCTTTTAACGGAGAAAGAAGCGATGCTGAAGGAGTACCTCGCATGGAGGCAAGAACGCAAACATCTGTTGGCCGGCTTGGACATCGAGCTCACCAGCGAGATCTCGTCGAAGCAGTTATCGGGGCAGATAAAGGCGAGGAAGAGTCGTACGTGGATTGCGGAGGTGAACATATCTGGAAGAGTGGTGTCAGACTCACAGAGCATACTGATTGCAGCTTCAGACTTCTTCAAAGAAATCTTCGGACGGGACAGACGGACAGACTACACAGTATGGAACCCGGACCCGAACATGTTACTGCACCCTGACGCAGCGGCTCACCTCGCTGCTGACTGGACGGAGGGAGAGGTCAAGGAAGCTTTCGCCGCACTGGCAAAAAACAAATCACCCGGGAATGACGGGCTGCCGAAGGAGTTTTTTGAAACAAACTGGGATCTTCTCGGCGGGAGTTTCATGGCGATGGTCCGAGATTTCACGACCTCGGCGATGCTTCCTGGGGAGGTCAAGGAAGCTGTGACCATCCTCCTGCACAAAAAAGGCGACAGAGATCAGCTGTGCAACTACAGACCGATAACCCTGCTCAGTTTCACATACAAGATACTGGCCAAAGTCTTGGCGGACCGACTGAAAAAAGTGCTGCATCAGGTGATTTCACCAGAGCAATACGGCTTCATCCCGGGGAGAAGGCTCACCGATGCGGTAGCTCTGGTAGCGGATATAATCGACGCAGCAAAAAATGGAAATGAAGACTGGTATTTACTGCTCGTTGACTTCCAGAAAGCTTTCGATTCAGTGTCGCGGGACTTCATCTTTCATGTACTGGAGCGCATGGGCTTTCCGGCGAAGTTTTGTGTCGTGGGTCAGGGGCCTGCATGCACACACAACGACCAAAATGCTGATCAATGGCTGGCTGGGTGACGGCATAGAGGTGGTGTCTGGAGTGCGTCAAGGCTGCCCACTACCGCCATACCTCTTCCTGTGCGCTGTGGAGCCCTTGGTGCAGAAGGTGGAGAAGAGTCAGCTGGGGCTGGATATCGCTGGACAACGCCTGGCATACCTCGGGTATGCAGACGACACGACTCTAGCGCTGCAGGGGAGGGAGCAGATTAACAAGGCGGAGCAGCTGTTAGACGAGTTTCAGCAACAGTCTGGTCTCTCGACCAACAAAGCAAAATCGGTGGTCTTACCTCTGGGTTTAAACCTCGGAGCTTCGGAGAACGGCGATTTCAAGTGGGCGAAGCCCCAAGAGGCGGAAAGGCTCCTGGGGGTTTGGGTAACACCGGACGGCAGTGGGCTCCCCACCTGGGAGAAGGCATTGGGGGAGATCACCAAGCGCCTGACAAGCTGGAAGCAGAAGTTCCTCACGGAGAAGGCGCGAGGAGCGGTGGCGAATCATTATATTCAACCCGTGATGACCTTTCAAGCGCAAGTCTACCCACCACCGCCTGCAAAAACATGGAAGGAGCTGGAGAAATTATTACACAATTTCGTCTCGGGCAACAAAGCAACGCCCACAAAGGTTTTTCTGCTGTGGAGCAAGGAGCTGCTATACACCCCGAGGATGGACGGCGGGCTGGGGGTCCATGATCCAAGCGTAATGCTAGCGTGCCTGGCCGCCAGGAGAGTCGGCCTGATGATGACGGAAGTTGACCAGCTCAAAAAAGAGTTGATGGTGCGCGCGGCCGACCTTCCGTTGGGCCTAGACACCTTCACCTCACACGATCGCCTCCTGCGCAACTGGGAAGGGAGAAGCCAGCGCTGGAAGCAGACATGTGAGATTTTCATGAAATCGCCCCTTAGTGTTCGGACGGTTGAAATCACGAGGGAGGAGATCGCAAAGGAAAAGCTGGTTTTCAACCGTGCCATCATGATGGGAGTGACGGCCCCGGTGGGCGGACAAAAGTTTGCAGAGCAGCTGTGGGACTGGGTGTTGGGAGACCTGGTGAAGCAGAAACAAGACGGCAGCTGGGAGCAGAAATCTATGGCGGAGCTCACAGAGCAGCTCGGAGGGAAAGGGCCCGCCAGGCTCGCGTTGAGGGCTTTCTCAGCAGCACCAAGAGAATGGAAGGAGGTTCTCCTGACCCCCTGCACGAACCCGGCTGGAGGGGTTTCGGGAGCAGTTACAACTCTCCCGCGCATCCCAATCCTGGACAACGGGGGTGTGATTTCGCAGAAGAGAATGCGGGAGCATTGGAAGGAGGAGCATGCGCAGTCACATCGGATGCTACGCTGGGCAGGCAGATGGAGTGATTCGATAAACTGGAAAAAGATCCTGGGCATTCGGGAGTCCTTGGTTACCCCCAGCAGACCAAGGGATGTCCTAACGCGGGTGTACAATTTCAATCTTCAAGTGGGAGAGAGGATCGCCTTCCTCAGCGACAAACCCCTCTGCCCACACTGCAACAGTGAGGAGACACTGGAACACTGCCTTTTCACCTGCCCGCGGATCCAAACAGTGTTTTTTGCGCTGAAGCGAGCACTCCGCATGCTGAACCCACGGCGGGTCACGGGCTCTCTGGAGGACCTTCTGTTCCGCAAGGCTGGCACGGTTTCAGCTTTCCCAGAAGCGACTCTCATTGCAATCACGCTGCACCAGATCTGGCTGGAGCGGTGCGAAGCTGTCTTCAAGGGGCGCAGATTCAGAGCGCGCCGAGTGCTGAGGAGGATCCTGTTCGCCTTCCGATTACATGCGAGAGTGTATATGAAGGCACGCTTGACAGCGTGGCAGAAGAAAAAGAAATCGGCGCAAGATGGCAGTTTCGGCAAGGGCCTATTGGAGGAACAACGGATGATGAGCAAGATACGGCTGGCAGGAGAGAAGAAATGAACGTGGACCAGTGGTTTCGAGTCCATCTGGACTAACCCTAGGACGGTTTTCAACCCACCGTAGCCCCTCACTGGAGCAGACAGCCTCTGCTCACTCATGCACGGTTACGACCGATATTGTCTAGTATACATCTGTGTTTGCGGTGTATATTTTTCAATTAAAAAAAAAAAAACATTCCGTTTTTTTTCCGTCAGAGTGTACACTCTTTTGCTGACTCGCAGTTTACGTAAAAAATAAGGATTTTCCCCAAAACGAACTCATGGGACACGCCCTCAAGGAACCTTTCCTGAACCCAAGGTTGTGGTGGAGTCTACAAGACAAGGCAGCTGCATTCTTTGTCTACCTTACCTTGCCGGCAGCTTCGTCTGCCTATATTTCACCTTTCCGAAGTGCTGACTCTCTGTGGTCGGCGATTGCCGTAGATCGTTAGCGTGGACTGGTCATCATGGCTGCTTTAGTGCCAGCGACAGCCCTCCGTGCACCCGTAAGACTAAGCCCCTGTTTTCTGTGACCGTTTTTTCCATTCAAGAGCTCCGTGTAGTGTCCTGGCCTTTCATATATCGTTTTCTTTTTCGCGACCAATGCTTATCGGTTTTGATCTCAGCATTGTACTGGAATTGACGACGATGTTTTTCCTCGAAATCTTTTTTTGGTGACCTTGAAGCTTGCACTTTTATCTTCGCACAGCGCATGTCAAATCCGTTAGCATTTCCGCCATGGTTCTCACGGCCTTTGCGCTTCATCTCGTTCGGTCCTTTCTGTCAGGGTGCGGCGGTGCACCATGGTTCCTCGTCAACAACTTTCGCCGGAGGCGTGTCGTCGTCGCGGCTCCTTCCCGCGGCGTCGCCAGCCGTCGCCAGCCGAATGCCCGTTGCGATCCGTGCCGTCGCAGTGCCTCCTGCTCCCAGCAAGCAGAGCACCTCCGCTTCTACCGGCGCGGTAAGCCGAACGCTCACTACTGACCTCCGAGCACCATTCCTGATCGTTATTCCCCATTTGGGATCGAGTTTTTGCCTGTTTGACTCACCACCGACATGGTGATCGTTCCGCCTTCTCCCCAAGCCAGTCGCACTGACTCACAAAGGATCGGAAGCGTCGATCTGATATGATCATAGCATTGTGATGCGTCCGCACCCCCCCACGTTCCCGGAATGAGGCTACGGATGCACGGCGGAGTGTTGTTTAGCGCGAGCGTCCGTTCAACGGCGAAGCCCCCACTGCTTTCCTCTCTTCGGATCCCTTAGGGAGAAGATTCCGGCGCGCGTGCCAGAAGATTTCCCCCCCCCCCCCCTCTTGCAAATTTCCGTGCCTCACCCGTTTGCGCATTCGCTTCCCCCCTTGCCCGCTTGGCCCCTTCCCCCCTTGTCCCCCTCTCTCCGCCGGCAGGTGAAGTCCCCCATGACGATGACGGAGAAGATCCTGGCGCGCGCGGCGGAGCGGGCGCAGGTTGCGCCGGGCGAGAACGTGTGGGTGAACACGGACGTGCTCATGACGCACGACGTGTGCGGCCCCGGCACCATCGGCATCTTCAAGAAGGAGTTCGGCGCCGACGCCAAGGTGAGGCTGTGGAATCAGTTACAACAGCCCCGCTCCCTCTTCCCCATCCGCTCTCTCTTCCCCCCCTCCCCCGGCACCATCGGCATCTTCAAGAAGGAGTTCGGCGCCGACGCCAAGGTGAGGCCGCGAAAGCAATTCCAGGAGCCGCTCTCCCTCCTCTTCCTTGCCCCCCATCCTCTCTCCTCCCCGTCCCCCCTCCCTCCTCCCCGCTGACCTTCCCCTCTTTATTTCAAGCGAACGAGCGCGCAAACCACAGCACGGAGCTCAAGTTCCGCTCTTCCCGCCTGCCCTCCCCTTCCCGCCTTTCCGCCGCTCCCCCTCCACACATCTTTCTTCCCGCGCAGGTGTGGGACCGCGAGAAGATCGTAATCATCCCGGATCATTACATCTTCACGGCGGACGAGCGCGCGAACCCTAAGACACAGCTCAACCGCCCTCTTTTCCCACCCCTCGACGTTCCCCCTTCCGCCTCCTTCCCCCCTTCTAGGTATGGGACCGCGAGAAGATCGTGATCATCCCGGACCATTACATCTTCACGGCGGACGAGCGCGCGAACCGCAACGTGGACATCCTGAGGGACTTCGTGCAGGAGCAGGGCATCAAGTACTTCTATGACATCACCGACCGCTCCAACTTCCAGGTGAGCGGTGCGGTAGGTGTGGTGCAAGGTGTAGGAGCGGATGGGTGGTTGAAGCAGTCTAGCTGTCGTGCAGCAGCAGGGCATCAAGTACTTGTATGATATCACCGACCGCTCCAACTTCCAGGTGCGCGCCTTTAGTTGAGCGATTGCTAGTGGGTTCTTGAACAGGGAGTTGAGGCTTTGTGCAGGAGCAGGGCATGAAGTACTTCTATGATATCACCGACCGCTTCACCGACCGCTCCAACTTCCAGGTGCGCCTCTCCAGGTGCGCACTTCCAGGTGCGCATTTTACCTCCCAATTGCCTTGGTGCAGGGTACGCTGGTGCATTCTCGTCTTGGTACAGAATCAGGGCATCAAGTGCTTGCATCCCTTTCCGCTTCCCTTTCATCTCCGCCGTCCCTTTCCTTTTCCGGATTATGATAAAGCAGCTGATGCGCGGCACACCTGGACTACGTATGCAATGCATCTGCCACTGAACTCTTCTCGCCTTGTTCTTCGTCCATCCTCCCTGCGCGTGTCGCTCTCGCTGCGTGCAGGCCAACCCCGACTACAAGGGCGTGTGCCACGTGGCGCTCGCACAGGAGGGGCACTGCCGACCAGGCGAGGTGCGCACATGGGGGAGAAAAGACGGGGGGAAGGGGTGGGAGAGGAGAATCTACCAGAGGGTGGGGGAGGAAGGGGAGGTGCGGATGGGAGGGTGTGTGGGAAGGGGAAGGGTCAATGGAGGGGGATGGGAATGAACGTCAATGCAGAACATATCATGGGTTCGTACAAGGTTTCGTAGGCAGCAATCGGGTTTCCAGTTGGCAACCTCCTTGGTTACGCTCCATATGTGTCTTTTACATTACATCCATGTGCCCCTGTTGTTCCCAATCCTGTTGTCTTATGGCTCTTGCATTTCTTCCCCCCCCCTCCCACTCCCCCGCACTTCCCCCTCCCTCCCCACCCCTCCCCCTGTTCCCGCCCTTTCCACCTCCCCTTCCCCCTTTCTTATCCACCCCGCGAGCAGGTGCTGTTTGGCACGGACTCGCACACGTGCAACGCTGGTGCGTTTGGGCAGTTCGCGACGGGCATTGGCAACACGGACGCGGGGTTTATCCTCGGCACTGGCAAGTGCCTGCTCAAGGTGCGTGTGGCCTCACTTGAATGTGCGTCGCTCTTCATGCCTGCTCATCCTGCCCCTCCGTTGGCCCTCCATTCTTCCATATGCCTGCCACTTATCATCCACGCCTTTCCTAATCGTTTCCCCTCATCTCTCTGCGTCCCTCCTCCCTTGGATGTCTCCACGCCATCAGGTGCCGGCCACGCTCCGGTTTGTGCTGGACGGGGAGATGCCGCCCTACCTGCTCGCCAAGGATCTCATCCTGCAGGTGAACTGTCCTCCTTCCCCTCTGCCCTACCTCTTGTCTACCTCTCTCTTCAACTTCTGAGTGCTCGTCTCCTCTCTTCACCGTTTCTCACCCCCCGGTTGCTGCATCCTACTTTTTCCTGTCTCGCCTCTACTTCCCTCCCGGTTTCCCCCCCTTCCTCTTTTCTACATGTGCTCCGTTTCGACCCCCTTTCGCGTCCGCACGGCATACACATGTCTGTGTTGTCACGTGCCAGTAGCTACAGCCTAGCCAATTGTTGTCAAATGGCAGTTCCCCCCTCTCAACCCTTTCCCCTCTTCCCCCTTCTCCCTCTCCCCACCCCACTTTCCCCCCTCGCCCTCTCCACCTCTCAATGCTATGCATCAGATCATTGGTGAGATCGGAGTGGCAGGGGGCACGTACCGGGCCATGGAGTTCACAGGCACTGCCGTTGAGGCCATGACGGTGAGTGCTCTCCGTGATCCTCCCTATGATTTAGACATTTATTGAGAGCCATGGAGTTCACAGGCAGATCATTGGTGAGATCGGAGTGGCAGGGGGCACGTACCGGGCCATGGAATTCACAGGCACTGCCGTTGAGGCCATGACGGTGAGTGCTCTCCGTGATCCTCCCTATGATTTAGACATTTATTGAGAGCCATGGAGTTCACAGGCAGATCATTGGTGAGATCGGAGTGGCAGGGGGCACGTACCGGGCCATGGAATTCACAGGCACTGCCGTTGAGGCCATGACGGTGAGTGCTCTCCGTGATCCTCCCTATGATTTAGACATTTATTGAGAGCCATGGAGTTCACAGGCAGATCATTGGTGAGATCGGAGTGGCAGGGGGCACGTACCGGGCCATGGATTTCACAGGCACTGCCGTTGAAGCCATGACGGTCAGTGCCTCCTCGCCCCTGCCACCACCTTCTCTCACCCCCGCACTACCCTCGTTCCCCCCTCGCCAACCCCTCCCCCCCATCAGCTTCCCTTCTGCGCCATTTCACCAACTCTCTTTTTCGTTTACCAGTCCTCATCCTCGCAGGACCTCTCTCTCTCTCTGCTATCAGACTCGTATTTTTCGCTCAACAATTTCAGTGCTCAGTATTTTATTCATTCGCTTCCTTGTTAGCACCTCCCTGGTCGTACAATCCATTCTCAGGCTCACATACACAGTCCCATTTGTACCCTGATTTCCCTTATCTCTTGTCCTTTCCTGCCTGCCCCTTTCGCTTCCCCCGTCAGATGGAGGATCGCATGACGCTGTGCAACATGGTCATTGAGGGCGGAGGCAAGAACGGAGTGGTGGCGGCAGACAAGACCACCTTCGCCTACCTCGATGTACGCCCCTGCCCCTGCTCTACCCTCCTCCTCCATCTGCCCACATGCCCTCTTGCATGCTCTGCTCGGCTGCTATGCTCTAGTGATGCACCAAACTCTCTTGCATTTACGGCTAGCTCTGCCCTGCTGTCGTGCCTGTAGCCTCTGCCGGCGTCTCACAGTTCCTGTGCTATGCTCTTCTCTGACGTCTGTGCCTCTGCCTGTGCCTCTGCCTGTGCCTGTGCCTGTGTGTGCTGGCTGCAGGGCAAGACCACGTTGACGCATGAGCCTGTCTACAGTGATGGCAACGCCAGGTGAGCCGCATGTTTCTGTCCGTCCACACTCCTTCCGCTTGTTTGCTCTCGCTGTCTACTCATATCCTGGTCCACCCGTGTCTCTGGGATCCTTTTACCAACCCCTCCCCTGCCTAATAAGTGTCACCTTCATGCCTCCCCTTTCTCCTGCTTTTTTGCTTTCTCCACCCGGCCTGCAGCTTCTATGAGGAGTATCGGTTTGACGTCTCAAAGCTCAACCCTGTCGTTGCTAAGGTGAGTTACCCGGATGTTTTTACTAATGTTAATCTACCCGGTTGTTGCAATGGTGAGGTAGCCTCTTCCCCTCTCCCATCACGCTCACTACCGTGCCTCTTTTCATCCCACAACCCCTGCCTTATTTCCCACCGCCCCCCCTTTCCCCGCATCGCCTCTCTTGCTCAAACCATCAACCAGCCGCACTCACCGGACAACCGAGCAACGGCGCTGGAGTGCCGCGACAAGAAGGTGGACCGCTCGTACATCGGCTCGTGCACCGGCGGCAAGACCGAGGACTTCCTCGCCGCTGCCAAGCTCTTCCACGCCGCGGTCAGTGCATATGCGTGTTGCCAGTCACTTACGAATCATCATTTGGATGGCTTTTGAGACGTCTCAAAGGGCAAGACCGAGGACTTCCTTGCCGCTGCCAAGCTCGTCCACACCGCGGTTAGTGCGCTTGGGTGTTGCCAGTCGATCGCAGATGGCATCTGACATCACAAATAGGCACCTTGAATCGGACCGATGCATTCGAAATGGGACAGACTTTCCCTGACTCCAGCTAGACAGATCGTGTGTCCCATCTCTTGGTTTCCTGGCAGTCGAACTGACTGCATGTGGTTTTTGTTTTGTGTGTGCGTCTGTTGTGCGCGCGTGCGTGCACGATTGTTACAGGGGAAGAAGGTTGTAGTGCCAACCTTCCTGGTGCCTGCCACTCAGAAGGTGCGTCGCACAGGCAACCTGCCAGCAGCAACTTCGCATGCGGTTTTGCACAACAATCAGTCTCTTTCTCTATCTGCATCATGGATTCTCTTGCTTCCTGCATCTGCCATTGTACCACTGTTTGCCCACCACGCAGCCATGAAGCAACCAGTTCCCACCTCTTCTTGTCTCATGCCCCTTTCCCATTGCCCCATCTGCCCTTTGCCCGTTGACACAGGTGTGGATGGACATCTACACCCTGCCTGTGCCGGGGGCAGACGGCAAGACTATGGCGCAGATCTTTGAGGAGGCTGGCTGCGACACGCCTGCTGCCCCCTCCTGTGCTGCGTGCCTGGGCGGTCCCAGGGATACTTATGCCCGCATGAACGAGCCCCAGGTATGGATTCATGCTGGAATGATTCGCTTAGTCACGTGCCGTGTTGTCCAAGCATTATAAGCGGACATTTGAGTTGCTGATCTCTTTTTTGTTGCTTTGGTCTTGCCAGGTGTGTGTATCCACTACCAACCGCAACTTCCCGGGCCGCATGGGTCACAAGGAGGCTCAGATTTATCTGGCTTCGCCGTATACTGCCGCGGCGTCAGCGCTCACTGGCCACATCACGGACCCTCGGGAGTTCCTTGGCTGATTGCTGTTTGCATTGCAACTATGTGTCTTGTACCGAAATTGATTTATTACCAATTTGGTTGATGGTGCTGTTATATCTGCTAGGGTTTGGCTAAATTGTTTATGGTGACCTGAACGAAAAAAACTACTGGTGTGATATCATGCACAAGGTGTAACTGAACTCTTGCACTTTTTTGGAATGGGGTCATTTTTATCTAAGCGTAGCATGAGGTGACAAACGACCCGGCAATCGTTATAGTAACAAGTGGCACTTAGGGCGTGTCTGAAGTGCAAACGTCGAGTTTCGTCAAATTTCGTCGACGAAACTCATCCGTGGGACCCACGCGTGTTGGTGTCTGAAGTGCAGCCTGACATCCCTCGACGAAACTCGACGTTCGTGCACATGTCGAGGGATGTCGAACAGTGATACCGGGCAGCTGTTTGAGTCACTGTAGTCAGTGAGTGTTTCAAAAACAATTCTTCGACACGCCATGTCTGCATAGCTGTGGCAAACACACGTGAATAAGAACTAAGACGAGAGCGACACGTGCTAGAGAAATTTCGCTGGCAATGTGACAGTAGAATATCCGGTGTTACCAGCAACAATCTATGCTAAGCGAAATTCGCGAGATTGCAAACAATTGAGTTACATGAATGATTCTGTTAATTCCACGTCGAATTTTCATGGGCAACTTATAACAGTGTTCCTATGGCACGTGTGGGTTATTTTGTCGTGTGGGTGTCTGAAGTGAACACAGCTGAAAACGGATGTCGAGTTTCGTCAAGGAACGTCGACGAAAGTTTCGTCGGCAAACGTCGAAATTCACTTCAGACACGCCCTTATCCATACCGTCAGATGGGGTGCTTGCGACACAAGGCACAGCGAGCATCACCATCATCGCCAACATCCGAACCCAACCCAACCCAACCCCCTTTCGCCAGACCCTGAAAATCCCTCAACCAGCACAAGCAGCAAGAGTTGTGTCTTGGAGAGTTTGAAGTTGGAGCTTGGGATGATTTGTTGTGCTGGAGGACATTATTTCTGCCATTAGGCTTCGCAATCCGCATCTAGCTCCTAGGTTTTCACTTGACACACGGAGGTGACTCTGCGCGACTTACTTAGACGTAAGATACTTACCCGCAGTATTTTAGGGAGGAGGAACCTGTCGCGCTTGTTTCGCCGTAGGTGGTTTACCATCGCTTCGCTTAGTTGGTTCACAGATCTTAATCTAGTGCTTGCTGTTGGGAGTGGGCACGGTGGGTCATATTGAGTGCATCACCGAGGAAGTTAAAATAGAAATTGAGTCCTCTGTCTTCGCTAGCACGATATGGCTGCCGTGGGTCCACATTCGGGTCAAACAAATCAACGGATAACTGCTCCTTCAGCATACGGAAACCAGTCTCGGATCCAGCAAGGCGCTCTCGTGCAGCCATCTCACTTAGGCCAAGTTCAGGCGCCTGGCCAACCACTGCTTCCTCCGCCGCAAGTTCAAGGCTTTGGCGCTCCGAATCAAGCTAGCCAGCCTAGCCAGCCAAGCCAATCCGGCCAATCAAGGCATGTCCTTAGATAGGCGACTTTTTTCGTACTGTAACTTAGTTCGATCATGATATCAAACGTTTTTATTAACGCTGGTTGCGTTTTCAAATTGCAGCGATCAAGATTGGAAGTCACAGTTGAAGCTACCTCCTTCTGATACAAGGTTCAGGACCGAGGTGTGTCATGAGTTTCTAAAGACATTGATCTCATCTTTTCTCGCAGTTTTACACCCTTTTACTGACGATTTATTTATTTATACGTTTCGCGTTTCAGGATGTCACGGCGACAAAAGGGAACGAGTTCGAGGACTACTTCTTGAAAAGGGAGCTTCTGATGGGAATCTACGAGAGAGGGTTTGAGAGGCCATCCCCTATTCAGGAGGAGAGTATACCGATTGCCTTGACGGGAAGAGACATCCTTGCTCGTGCCAAGAATGGAACTGGCAAGACTGCTGCCTTCAGTATTCCAGCTCTAGAGAAGATTGACCCCTCCAGGAACGTCATCCAAGGCAAGTCGTCGTTACCTTGTGAAATGTTGTTTGTTAACGACATTTTTCAGTCTAACTCGATTTTTTTTTCCTCCATTTCAGTTGTCATCCTGGTCCCTACGAGAGAGCTTGCGCTGCAAACTTCTCAAGTTTGCAAAGAGCTTGCGAAGCACATGAGCATTCAGATCATGGCGACGACGGGTGGCACGAGTCTCAAGGACGACATCATGCGTCTCTACCAACCAGTGCATCTCCTTGTCGCTACGCCCGGCCGTGTACTAGATTTGGCGAACAAAGGCGTGTGCAACCTTAGAGAATGCAACATGCTGTGCATGGATGAGGTGTGTTTTGTTACTTGAGATCTGATCATACCTTTTACTTTCTCATCCTTCTTTGGTGACCGTGGCTCATGATTTGCTTAATCTTGTGTCATGGCAGGCCGACAAGCTCCTCTCTCCAGAGTTTCAGCCTCTTGTGGAGCGCCTTATTGGCTATCTCGCTCCAACGCGACAGATTCTCTTGTACTCAGCCACCTTCCCTGTGACAGTGAAGTCGTTCAAAGACAGATGGCTCAACAAGCCGTACGTCATTAACCTCATGGACGAGTTGACCCTCAAGGGTATCACTCAATACTACGCCTTCGTGGAGGAGCGGCAAAAGGTCCATTGCCTCAACACCCTGTTCTCTAAGGTGCGTCTTTCTGGTGCAACCCGATCTGGTGCTGAAACGGTGAAATGCTTCAGCTGATCTAATGCGTTATTTTCTTTATCTATTGCAGCTACAAATCAACCAGTCGATCATTTTCTGCAACTCCGTCAACCGCGTGGAGCTTTTGGCCAAGAAAATCACGGAGCTTGGCTACTCTTGTTTCTACATCCACGCAAAAATGCTGCAGTCCCATCGCAATCGCGTCTTTCATGATTTCCGCAATGGGGCTTGCAGAAACCTGGTCTCGTCGGGTAAGTTGTGCGTTGTCATTCTTTCATGTTCGCCTCGTTCATACTTGCAAGCTGTCTTGACTCTATGACTAATTTCTGTATGCCGTTTTTTATGCCAGATCTTTTCACGCGAGGAATTGACATTCAGGCTGTGAATGTCGTCATCAATTTCGACTTCCCTAAGACGTCTGAGACCTATCTCCACAGGGTGCGTGTTGTACCTTCTTTCTACATCCTTACATTTCTCTATCGAATGTGGTGTTTAAGTTCGCTTGTCTCCTTGTTGTGCAGGTCGGACGATCTGGAAGGTTCGGTCATCTTGGCTTGGCGATCAATCTCATCACATACAATGACCGGTTCAATCTGTAAGTCCTTGTTGCCGACTTGTACGATATTTTCCATGTTGTTTGCTTGTCTTGTCTCTGAATCTCATCGCATTTTGAATGCGTTTTGCAGTTACCGGATCGAGCAAGAGCTTGGAACGGAAATAAAGCCCATCCCTCCACAGATCGATAGGACGATCTACTGCTCTTAGGAGACCAAGGAGGAGTGGGGGGGAAAGGGGGCGCGGCTGGAGCTGTTTGGATGGATTTCTACGACTGACTGGGGTATCGGGGTGGTTAAGTAGCCGTGGTTGCAAGAGGAGGCTGTACTGTCCGATCGTGTCGAATGTGAATACATTAGGTCGTCAAGCGTCGAGGATGTCTTGGACTCGTGGAAGAGACGGCTGAAGCGTGCGGCTTCATGACACTGATTATATATGGAACGGGGTCCGGAGCAGCGTTTCTTTTCAGTGAAGATGAAGGGGAGGGAATAGCAGCTGCTGCATGGACGGGGGCTGGTGTGTGCGAGTTCAGAAGGGCATCCTGGTCTTTTTCTTTTACGATCTTTTCTTGTCTACTGACATTCAGTCTTGACCACGACTGTCCAGCTGTAGCGGCCAGTAGCGGTATTGCATCGTTTCAAGCAGTATTGGTGGTGGTGACTGTCTCGAAGGCAGGGGGGGGGGCTGATGGAGCTGTAGGAGGGGGAACTACCAGTGGGTTATATCTCTTGGCGAACATCGTTCGGCGGCGGTGTAAGGGCGAGGTGTTCAGAGTGTCGCAGCAGCAGCAGCAGCAGCAGTAGTAGCAGCAGCAGAGGCAGCATAAACAGCGAAGTCATCATATGCAGCAGTAACAGCAGCAGCAGGCAGACAGCTGGAGACCGACTCGGCTGTAGATCGCTGACAAGCAGTTTGACTCCGCCGTGCTGGGAATTTCCTTGCTGGAGCTGGCTGGATGCTGATGGTTGTGGAAATTTCAAAGGTCTTGAAGGGTTTTTTTCGTGGGAAGCGTGGTTTTAGTTTGGGAGAGTGCATCATGGGCGTCAATTTCCATCATTTTGAGGGAAGATTCAGCAGCTGCAGTCGATGATTGTGGGATCTAGGCTGGGGAGCTGATGGCAGCTGTTGGTAAGCTTCGACAGGGAAGAGGGGATGGCGTGGGGTTTTTTTCGTGGAAGCAGGGAAGAGCAGCAGACGCGGTTGCAAGCTGAGGAAGTTGTGAGAAGGATGTTTGGGAAACAGGAGGAATCTATGCTGGAGCTGTATCAGGGTTTGATGAACGGATCCGAGTTGTGAGGTGGATGTATGGAGGACAGGAAAGGCTGGTGGAGTTAGAGGAAAGGAGAGGAGAAATGTTGGAAGTGAAGGTGGTACCTGGGAAGGGAGGGCCTGTTTGTGGAAGAGAAGGCCTGGAGTTGAGACAGTGAAGATGGATTTACCACTGGCGATTCATGCGATGGTGCTGCACGGCTTCGGTGATGCAATGTTGGATCAGCAATGGTCTGTTTTTGTGCAGGTTCGGGTGTATCCGTGATGTCACTTTGGTGGTGAACAAGGCTTAGGAGCAGAGGAAGTTGTGGAAGCATGGTGAAGTCGGATGAAAGCAGGAATGTGATGAAGCTCCCTGCAGCTGAGTTCTGGGCCCCGTCTCATGCCTATGTCTGCCCCAGCACGGTGCTTCTTGGGACGCGCTGAGTCATTCTGGTACCATGTGGATGTCAGCGCCATTCAGTGCTGGTGGCAGCTAGATGCATGTTGCAGTGTTCCCAGTGGAATGCTGCCAGTCAAGGCCCTGGGAGTGGCAGGAGCCAGTGCCAGGTCATGGTTTGCTGCTCAGCCTCATATCTGGTCTTTGTGTGTCAGATTTGCTGGCTGATGTCTGGCACTGATGCTGAACCTTGAGAGAATGAATGAAAATGTTGTGGAAACTTCACAGGCAATTGTTCAATCCACCTTCCCAGCGGATCAGGATCTTGTTCAAACATGTTGGGAAATGCTTGATTACACATGTTGAAACAAAAACACATTACTCCTCATTTCCCAGCTTCACTGTTCACAATTCATCTAGAACGCAATGCAACTGTATCATTTTCTCTTCCCTTTCTTAGCAGCTGCTGCCTTGCCGGCACCTTTACCACCCTTGACAGGAGGAGGCTCCTGCACAAACAATACGACAATACGACAGGTGAAGCATGAGAAATACGGTAAGTGGTTAGAAACAAAACAAAAGGAAGCGAGGTCACAGGGGACGTGCATGGGGGACAGACTGCAAGAAAGCGCATAATAATGTGTCATGCCTTTCGTTTGGGAGTTGTGGAAGCAGGTGCAGACGACGGTTTGAAGAATGACTCCAATCTGCTCGTGAGACAACAAACACGCATGAGAGGTGCAAAAGACCGTAGTTTATGGAACAAGGGGATTCTGGAGCGTGGGAGCTATGAGGATGGTATAAACCAGAAAGGTCCCTCAAATTAGTGCTAGGGATACGTGGATGCATGACAAAATCAGCCAAAAGGTTACATAGAGCTGAAAGGCACCGGAAAGGGAACGAATGAGGTTGAGGAGGACACGAGAGAAGCATGAAAGTGGAGAAAGGAGGGAGGAGAACAACGGAGAGACGAGTAGAAGAGAAGGTGAGAGGCGTTCAAGACGGACCTTCCTTGAGATGCCTTGTTCTTGGCGGCTTTGATCTTCTCTATGGCCTGCCATCGGTCATAACAGAACACGTTAAAGCCCATGTGGTCATACGTGCGCTGTGGAGCATGATGCACAACAGTACAACAGCCATACTACGGCACAGCACTGCATCGCATAGCTCATCACAGCACGGGCAGATAAGATGCAAACGCCAGACTTTCGTGCCAAGGGGCATCAGAGGCCAACACTCATACACCTCCCCTCCCTTAACGCAACAGAGGCATGTGTTGCCCTCCTCCCCAGAACAGGCGAGTGTACCTTGGTGACTCTCTCTAGGTTGAATCCGTTCTCCTCCACCAGGAATTTCACCAGCCCCTGCAGTTTGACACACATGCATGCACATGCCAACCATGAGCCACATGAGGGGGCGCCAGGCACAAAAGGTGGTGTGAGTTATGCTTCTGCATGACTTGGCTGTTCACACGAGCTCTAACCACAGTACCAGAATAGGTTCCGATAAACCATGATCTCAGCCGTTGAAATGCATCTTACCTCTTCATCTGGTGGCGTCCATTTGATCTCAGGAACTTCCTCAGAAGGTGTGACTAAAGGCTCCTTGAAGAGCTTTCTGGCCTCGACATATGGCCACGGGTCTGGCACCTGGTACCTGGAGAGAGCGTGAGGGGGAGGGAGGAGGGGGTTGACGGAATAAGGGGAAATTCTCTAATAGGCTCAGGAATCATACGGCCAGGGGTCTGGTACCTGGTACCTGGTACCTGGAAGATAACACGGAAAGGGGGGGGGAGGGGAGATGATGAGGAGAAACTAAAAAGACGGGGCCAGGGGCCCGGCACAGGGCAACAAAAGGGGAGGGGAGAGGATGAGGAGAATGGGTACGAGTGAATGGGATGATGCTAGAGGAATGCGGAGGTGCAGCTGAACACTTTAAACGCCATCTGTTGCAGGACGAGCTTCGGAGATGTATTAATGGCGTTGTGAGTTGCAAAGGTACTCACTGCACTGACTCACTGCCTCGCTACCTCACTCCCTCACACACTCACACTCACCCGCTCACTCACTTAGAACTCGTCTTTCTCACTCGTCTCCAATACTCACTTGTCGCCAATCTTCTCGAGAATGGTTTCGATGTTCTTGTGCTGCCGAATGAGCTTGAGCGCCGTGGTGGGACCCACGCCCCTGATGGACTCGCAGTAGTCACAGCCGCACAGAATGCAGAGGTCGATGAACTCGTCCATTGAGAGAGTCAGCCCCTCCAGTACCTGGGTAAGCAGGCAGCGGACACACACTAATCTTGCTGACAATCACTGAAAAGACCTGAGAAGTCTCAAAGTAAGATCAGGGTGGGCAAGAACAGGTGAAGGGACACGGCGAAGCAAGCAAGCAAGTACGTCAGTCAGTGCTGTACTCACCTTGGCCACATCAAACTCCATGACGGGAAGCTTCCTGGCAGCTGGCTCCATGAGGTGGCGGAGGAACTTGGGTGCTCCGAAGGTGAGAGCATCCATGTCCTCCGATGCCACTCCGAACACCTGGTCGTATGGGTGGGAAGGGGGAGAATGGTGAACACTTACTGAGTTGCCTCAAAAGTCAACTCGAAGGTAAGAGCGTCCATGTCCTTAATGGCCACTCCAATCACCTGGTCATTGGGGCGGAAGGGGGAGAGAGGCGGCAGGAAGAGGGGAAAACTCAGAGGAACAGCAAGCAGCAGCAACCGGCACGCGAACGGAAAGGTGATTGCGTCCATGTCCTCACTGGCCACTCCAAACACCTGATCGCGGGGGGAGGGATAAGGGTAGAAGGGGGTAACGTTGCGCCGCCCCATAGCCCCTGGTCACCTTGTCCTGCTTGGCCTTCCTCACCTTGCCCTGCTTGGCCCGATTAGCGCATTCCGCCTCTGCTTCGGACGGCGCCTCCACTACAGGCACCCCCATGAGGCGCAGCAGGTGGCGACAGTCCTCGTTGTGCTGCCCTCTAATCTAACCCTTCCCTGCTGCCCAAAGAACCTGCTCACCTTGCCCTGCTTCGCCAGGTTCGCGCATTCAGCCTCTGCTTCAGACGGCGCCTCCACCACAGGTTACCCCCATGAGGCGCAGCAAGCGGCAGCAGTCCTCTTTGTGCTGCCTGCTGCCCTCTAGCCCTGCCTGCTGCCCACAGCCCTCCTTACCTTGCCTTGCTTAGCCAGGTTTGCACACTCAGCCTCTGCTTCAGAAGGCGCCTCAATAACAGGCACGCCCATGAGGCGCAGCAGGCGGCGGCAGTCCTCGTTGTGCTTCCTTCTTCCCTCTAACCCTGCTTCCTGGCGACAGCCCCTGCTCACCTTGCCCTGCTTCGCCAGGTTTGCACACTCCGCCTCTGCTTCAGACGGAGCCTCAACAACGGGCACGCCCATGAGGCGCAGGAGGCGGCGGCAGTCCTCGTTGTGCTGCCTCGTCACCCGCACCGTGCGCTTGCTGTACTTCTCTATGTCCTCCGCCTTCCCCTCCTCCTTCGCCTCCTCTAACCCCTCCGTTGCGCCCTCCCTCCGAGAATACCTGCGGGAAAGAGGTTGGGAGGCGAATTTGAGAGGTTGGGAGGTCAATGTGAGAGGTTCAGCTGTGAATTGAAGGGGTTGGAAGGTGAACGCGAGCGGTTGAGAGGGGCTTTAAAGAAGCTGGGAGGGAAATCAAAGGCTCGGAGGGGGGCATTGGAGAGGTCGGAAGTCAGAGAAGCTGCAGAGCAGCACCACCTTAGCAGGCGTGACAACAGATAAGTGGACGCACTAGGGCGGAAGGGGCAACGCGGAAGGGGCAAAGCGGATTGAGCAACGAGGAATGGGCAAGGCGGAAGGGGCAAGGCTGAAGGGGTAAGGCTCACCGCTTCTTAAGTTCTTCCCTCTTAAGGTCTGGCGGCTTGCCGTCAAACACATAGCTGAGGAGGGAAAGGTATAGGGGGAAGGTTGGGGGGAGGGGAGTGGACGCATGATTGCTGTAGACAGTACCGTGCCAAGTTGTGAAGGAAGCGGGGCAAAGGGAAGATGGAGGCGAGATGGGGGGACATGCGGGTAATCTACTGCACTCTTCGAGCTACAGACTGGTTGGTGCTGTTAAGAGCTTAAAAACTCATAGCTTGTGGATCTAGTGCATCCGGTAAAGCAGTGCGACGTACACTGGTTTGAGCCCCGCCTCTAAGATACGAATGGTCCGCGTGAACATTCCCTGCAGGTGACTGGCGGGACAGGCATGGAGGGGAGGGGAGGGAAGGGGAGGGGATGGAGGGGATGGGAGTTGAGGGGAGGGGTTGGGAGGGGAGGGGAGAGGAGGTGCGGTGAGGTGAGAGGAATGGATTAAAAGTGATACTTCATGACTTAATAGAGAAAAAAACAACCAGAGGTGAGTTTCTTATATTCACCCCATCGTTTATAATCAGCTGGTAACCCTGTTGTCCGGTAACCGCCTCACCTTGTGACTTCGCCCGCCTCGTTGGTGAGTGTTTCTGTGCCTTGTCTCCCCACCACGATCTGACGACACCAGGGGAAAGAGGTGCGGAGCACGGTGAGAAACGGCAGAGACGGTACCAGATGGAAGTCGCTGGGAAATTATAAACGCTACCAGGAACTAAACAAGATTTCAGGGACTCTTCGACATTACAGAAAGTGATAGACATTATCGGGAACTGCTAGACGTTGTAAAGAGCTGCTAGACGGTACCAGGAACTGTTAGACGAGGAACTGCTAGACGTTGTAAAGAGCTGCTAGACGGTACCAGGAACTGCTAGACGTTACCAGAACTGCTAGACGTTACCAGAAACTGGTAGATGCTCATGCTGGCGTCAATGGCTATCTTGCGGCCGAAGTAGCTCTCCAGCTTCTGCTCCCTCATGCACCCCGCCGCGTTGTCCGCCAACAGCTTCGTCAATCCCTGAACGCCACGTGGCAGACGGACGGGCACGCGGGTCGACATGCAGCGATCATGAGTACATCGATGTTACATCCAGCGATGTGACGAGCGTGTAGCGGATGAATCAGAAGCTTATACCGGGAATGAGAGATGGATGCATGACAGGTGGTGGATGCATTTGAAATTATGCATGTGGCAAGCGATGAACGCATTGGACGCGAAGTCTCCAACGGCTAGTGCAGCTGAACGATGAGGCCCGATACTGTCCAACGCCGCTTACTTTAATTCCCATGGCGACAGGGTATGCTCAACTAGTCTGGTGCTTGGTAACGGTCACTGAAGACTGGTTTCGCGCACGATTGCAGTTTCTGCAGGCACTCGACGATAACTTGATCGCTTTTCTTCGGAAAAACGCATGAAACTGATGTAGCCCTTGGGAGTTCTGTCACTGGAAAATGGTGTGTGGGTCTCTGAGACTTCCTGCAGACGACAGCAATATTGAATGTTTGAATTTGTACCCGCTACGAAGCAACTGCTTTCAAAATATGGAGCTTCAGAATGCCTTCGAAAGTGTTGATTTGCACAAGAATGATTGAAGACTCAGAAAGTGAACAACCCGTGGCAAACCCAAGCATTTCATTCCTTGCCCGCCCAGGTTGGTGGCGAACATATGGTTGTGCTTGCCCTGCCACACAGCGTTCTTGCAGCAAGAAGGACTTAATCCGTGAATCGACGACCCTGACTGCTCCTTGAAACTTTCTGGCCGTTTTCAGCCACTCGATGTACCCAGCCACCTTCAAGGTCTTTGTCCCCCCAACTAGTCTCGATTCTCGACATTTTCAAAAAAATTTCATTCTTCGTCTACGCTAGCCCAAACCAAACTGCCATCGATTGCATCATGTTCGTCGTCGTGATTTTTTTCCCTCATCCAAAGAACGCTGGTGGTGCAGCTGAGATTGTTTTTCTCTACCCAAAACTGCTGCAAGGTGTTTTTTAACGGGGTTTCCTTCATTTGCTTGCTAAGAAATAGTGCGTCTTTATTAAACGTCAAAGCTAAATCGCCCTGGAAACCCGCTCCTGTCCAATTTCAATACCATTCCTTGGCTAAACGCTCGATCTAGAGGGGTTCAATACAAAAGCAGAGGCCGAACCTAAGTGTACCCCGAGAGAACCTCTTCCACAAACCGGCTCTCTGTTTTGAACAGCACAACTGCTCACACAAGCGTCCGTCATCCACAACCTTCATCCATGGCTTCACCATGCAGGTAGATAGGCCTTTCTATCTTGGGACCATGGCCGAACTTTGCTGGCGTCAGTCAGCCTCATCCCTCTCCGGCCGTCATTATCGCATGCATTAGCGCCCTAATTTATTATCGGCGGAAGCAGTGTGACCGGAACAACATCGGTGTCAGCCAGCCTCCTCCCTCTCCCAACCGGCCCTTCTAGTTGCTTATTTATACGTCCTACGTTAACGCCAACACGGACGTGCAACCGATTCATGGCTAATCGATCGTACCATCGGCGCTCGGGGACGGACCTCCATGGCATGGAGGATTTCCACCGCGCGGAACTCTCTTACCCGAGTCGTCGCGACGTCTCCCCTTCTCCCGCCTTCCCCCCGTACCACGACACTGGCCGTTCCCCGCGCAACTCCCCCCTTTCCCGCGGACACGCGGAGCAGGCCCCTCCGCCATCGCAGAGGAAACATCACCGGTCTCTATCGCAACCTTTTTTTGACCCGCTGCCCGTAGAAAACATTGCGGAGCGAATCAACGCTCTTGGCATTCCGAATCTTCAGAGCAGCCCGTTGCGCGCCACCGAGAATGATTATCGAGGGAAAAGCGGAGGGAGAAAGGGGTCGACTCGGGCTAGCAGCAAAGGCTCGCATGTAGACGAATGTGACAATGTAGGGTTCGACGATGACGATTCGTCGGACGATGAGGACGAGGACGGGATCGAAGACCCGGAGGACGCGGAGCAGCCTCCCCCCGCCCGGCGCGCGCACACTGCGTCGGACGCCATGCGCGGAAAGAAGGGCGCGCGCGCCATCAGCGGGGCCAGCGGAAGCGGGAAGGACGCTGGGTTGTCGCTCAAGGGGAACGGCCCGCTGAGCCCCAGTGGCGGCTTGGGGGCGGTGTCGCGTTTCCACACCACCAGCAACGCGGAGAGACGGCACAGGGCGGAAGGCGGGAGGAGAACGTCGCTGGAGGGTGGAAACATGAGTAATCTAAGCAGCAGCAGTGGGTTTAGCAGCAGCACGGGGTCGTTAAGAGCGTCGGTCGACGCGCCGCAGAAATCGTCCTCGAGGCGCCTGTCCGCGTCGGCGTCTTTTAATCCGCGCTCCTCGCACGCTGCGACCACGTTCAACCACTCCGGACCGCACGCCGCCGCGCATTCAGGGCCGCAGGCCGCGCTCTCCCCGCGCGCGGGCGGCCCATCCGGCGGTGGAGGATCGAATCTCGGTTCCGGACCTCAGTCCAGGTCCGGTAAATCCCGAACCACGGCAAGCATGGCCGAGGCTGACGGTTTGGGGCTAGGTTTGGACAAGCTGGACGCTCTGCGGAGGGAACAGCAGCAGCAGCTTCAGCTGGCCGCTGCGGCTGCGGCAGGCCACGGGGGAACAGCGGCAGCGCGGCAGATTCTAGGGTTGAAAGAGAGTGAGAGGCGGAGAGGACCAGGCTCGGGATCGCTCGTGGCTCGGGATGATGTGGGTGGGAACCATCACCATTACCACCACGCGCAGCAGCCGCAGCAGCAGGTTCACCACCGTCATCAGCAGTTACACGCAAGCAGCAGTGGCGGTAGCGGCAGCGGCGGGGGAGGGGGCGCAGGGAGCGCAGGCGGGGGAAGCGGGCAGTTCCGGCGGGGGACGTCCGCGGATAACCGCTCCCCGCGCCACGCGCGATTCGCGTCGGAGGTCCCGCAAGGTGGGATGCACGGAAGCGGAGTGCACAGTAGCGAGGATGCGGACGACGCGGCGGCGGCGGCGGCGGCAGGCGGAGGGACGGCCGGGCGCGCGGCGAACCGAGCTAAGCTGCGGTTCTCCAAGTCGCTTAAGAAGGTCGCGGGGGAGGCGGCGGGGGACGCGGAAGACACTCCGGCGGCGGACTCCTTCCTCCGCCGCCCGCCTGCTCTCGAACTCGGGAAAGTCTCCGCGGGGGCGGCAGGAAACGCGTCGTTTTCCGGGCCAGTGGTGCTGGGATCCGGGGACGCGGGGCGGGAGGGGGCGCAAGCAGCGGGGGAAGCAGCGGGGGGCGCGGAGAGGGGCAGGGCAGCGGGCGGAGGACCAGTTTTGGATCAGAGCAAGTCGGGGCGGAGGGCGTTCCTGGGTTTGCTCAAGGGGCTGCGCTCGCCGCGGCTGTCAGGCACGTTCGACCTCGCCACTGGCGCGGGGCTTAAGAGCCCTACAGGCGGAGACGACTGGGCCGCGGGCGCGGGTGCTGGCGCGGGCGCGGCAGCAGTAGGGGTTTCGCCGCGAGGAGCGGGGGGAGGGGGAGGCGGGGTTGCGGGGGGCAGGAGCGGGAGCCCCGCGGAGGCAGCAGCAGGCGAGCGGAAGAGCGCGTCCCGCCCGTCCCTCTCTCCCCTGCGCAGCCCGCGGCTCTTCTCCTTCAGCGGATCCAAACGCTTCGATAAGAGCCCACGCGGTATAGCACACAGCCTCACAGGCACAGGCTCAATGCGCAGCCCCCGGGGGGGAGGGGATGGCGGGGGCAGCCCGGAGGAATGGACAGTGGGCACTGGCGGGAAAGAGGGCATCTTAAAACGGGGATACGCGGACGTGCGGAAGGTGTACGAGGTGGGGGATAAGATAGGCGAGGGGCGGCCGGGCGTGGTGGTGTATGCATGCACGGCGCGGAGGAGCGGGCGGGCGCTGGCATGCAAGTCGATAGACAAGAAGACGCTGGATGATGATAAGAAGGCGGAGGCGCTGCGGCTGGAGGTGGAGCTCATGAAGCAGCTGGGCGTGCACGGGGGGATCGTGTCGGTTCGAGACGCTATTGAGGATGATACGGTGAGTGATGGGTGGTACTGGGGGTGGTGGGTGTTTGAGACGTCCGAAAGTGAGGCTGGAGGTGAAGCTGATGAAGCAGCTGGGCGTGCACGGGGGGATCGTGTCCGTTCGCGATGCCATTGAGGATGACACGGTGAGTGGTGGTGTGGGTGATTTACCCCTTATTTACCCCCCCACGTCTCACGCACACCCCCTCCCCCCCCCAGCACGTACATCTGCTAATGGAGCTGTGCAGCGGGGGAGACCTGCTCAACTTCTCAAATTCCCCCTTGCCCCCTCCCCCAACCCCCCTCTCACCCCACTCTCCATCCCCCCAGCACGTGCACCTGTTGATGGAGCTGTGCAGCGGGGGAGACCTGCTCAACTTCGTGAACACGGCGCCAGCCATCTCGGAGCAGCAGGCGGCCACCATAGTGAGGCGCCTGGCGGACGCCGTGCGCTACTGCCACCGCCAGGGAGTGGTCCATCGGGACCTCAAGCCCGAGAACATCCTCATGGCCGCTAAGGGCGCCTGGTGGGACCTCAGAGTCGCTGATTTCGGCATCTCCGCCATGCTTAAGCCAGGTACAGTGCGGTACAGTGTGGTACATTGCGGTGTGCCGTGCGGTACTGCCACCGCCAGGGAGTGGTGCACCGCGACCTCAAGCCTGAGAACATTCTCATGGCTGCTAAGGGCGCCTGGTGGGATTTGAGGGTCGCTGATTTCGGCATCTCCGCCATGCTCAAGCCAGGTGGGTGAAGAGCGGTGCAGTGCGGTACGGTGCGGTACTGCCTGCCACTGGCAGGGCGTGGTGCACCGGGACCTCAAGCCAGAGAACACCCTCATGGCTGCCAAGGGCGCCTGGTGGGACCCAGGGTTGCTGACTTTGGCATCTCCACCATTCTCAAGCCAGGTGCAGTGATGTGCGGACGGGGCGGCTGTGTCTAGGTGACGTGAGTTTAATTGGAAGGCATAATGACTTTTGAGAGGTCACTTCTGCATCGCCCTACCTTCAAGTATGCGTGAATACTCTCGGATCAGCCCTCCTCCTCCTCTCTGTGCGCCACCCCTGCATCAGACGAGCGCATTCAAGGCTACACGGGCAGAACATCCTACCTCAAGGTTATACTGCCCCCAAGTTGACATATTTCAGAAGTCAGAAATCAGCCACTCTCCTCCCCCGCTTCCCCCCACTCACTATCCATCAGGCGAGCGCATCCGAGGGTACGCAGGGAGTCCCTTCTACATCGCCCCAGAGGTACTGGGCGGTGCGTACGCCTTCGAGTGCGACGTGTGGTCGCTGGGAGTGGTGCTCTACATGCCGCTGGCGCAGAAGCTGCCACTCAACCACTCTCCTCCACTTTCCCTTTTCCCCATCAGGCGAGCGCATTCGCGGGTACGCAGGCAGCCCGTTCTACATCGCTCCAGAGGTGCTGGGTGGCGCATACGCCTTCGAGTGCGACGTGTGGTCGCTGGGGGTCGTGCTGTACGTGCTGCTGGCACAGAAGCTGCCGTTCTGGCACGACTCGGATGCGGGCGTGTACAAGCTGATCCTCAAGGGCCACGTGGACACGCGCACCGGGCCGTGGACCAGCATCTCGAGAGATGCTAAAGGGCTCGTGCACCGCATGCTCACGAGTGATGCCAGCCAGCGCATTACCTTGGATGAAGTCATTGGTGAGTTGCAGCGCGCGGTGGGGTGGGGGTCGCAATGTTATGGGGTGAGTGGGTGGCAAATGGTGGATTGGGGTGGAGGGGCGCCAAGGGGCTCGTGCACCGCATGCTCACGAGCGATGCCAGCCAGCGCATTACCTTGGATGAAGTCATTGGTGAGTGGGTGGGGGGATGAGTGGGAGTGCCAATTTTTGTGAGGGGCGGCAGCACCACCTTCATCCTTCTGCCTTCCACACATCTCATCTGTTTCTTCCCTTCTCATTGACATCCATTCCCTCCACTCATTACCCTCTCTCATTTCCCCGTTCGTCTCTGTTCGATTCTTCCTCTCCATCTGCCCTCCGTCTCTCCCGCTGCCCTACTCCCTCCGTCTTTCCGTATCCTTTGCAGAGCACCCATGGGTGGTGGCGAATCAGTGTGAGGTGCCAGAAGCACCGCCGCCCCCATCAGAAGCAGAAACGAAGCAGGCCAAGAGGCGAAGAGCCATCGCCCGGTCACGGGCCAACATCATTGCCTCCTTCCGCCTGCCCTTCTGCCTCACCCCTCTCACCAATGATTCCGTCTACAGTGACAGCGAGGGTGTAGTGTAGTAGACAGGCTTTGTTGTTCTTGTGTTGCAATGGGGCTCGATGTGTTGCCCTAATTCTTGATTCTGATTCATTGTTCCCTGGGTGCTCTGGGTCTATGGGGTGCTCTCATGTTCCTAATCCGCGTCGCACTGGAGTGACTGACAGTGGGAGTGCATGAAGCCGACGGTTGCTTAGGCACTTCCATCAACAGTTGTGCGGTGAAGGTTGACTCTGGTGTCTGGGAGGTGGTAGATCTACATACCGTAGGTAACGGTCCTCATGGTTATCACTAATTATGTTTGATAAGTGGTGCAACAAGAGCTTGCATTGGGTGTGATGCTGGGGGGGCCAAAATTAGTGTTAATGTAACCTTCTAAATCAGCCCCCGCCCCCAATTTAATCCCACGCTCAAATACCCTTGGTAGCTAGTCTGCTTTGAAGATTTAAACACAGTCTGGAAAATTAGCCTAGTACGAACACAAGCCTATGCTGTTGTCAGTAGTGCTCTGTGTAACATTTTTATCGTGTGAAATGCCCTTTGTCTGTTCAAGATGACAAAAATGAAGGAAGTTCAAAAGATGACACAATCGTCCGTTTGTCGTTTCTGACCCGCGGATCTCCGGGCACAGCCACAAATTCTGTGTTTACGTACTTTCGTTTATCTGTTTATTGTCTCAACTCTATTGTACATTTGACGGGTGGTCGCTCCTTTTCGTGCCAGCGTACGTATTCTCCAAGAACGCAATAGCCTTCATTTTCTTGTCTCGTTTCCATCCCGAGAATGAAGAGCCAAGATACAAGGTGTACAGCCCTTGGAGTTTTTTTGTTTCGGTTCGGAAACAAAAGAGTTGGTGCACGCACACTCATGTCACTTTCTTCATGTGTTGGCATTCGCACGTTCAGCAATCCATTGAGCAATCGGGACTTGGAGCTTCCAAGAAGGAAGCTGGAATGAGCTTCATATCAGCTAGCGTTGACGACAAAAGTTCCCCAGCAGCCCAGCTTCTTGCAACAATCCCCAGCAGGAATGTTCACCCTGAGAAACTGAAGTGGAAAAAATTAGGCTTCATAATTGCACACTTTTCACAGCTATTCCGCATCAAACCAGTGGTCATACCATTTTCACTGATGTTCGAATCGTGCGGCAGGACCGTCGACATACTTACCTTGTTATGTGGATTTGTCGTGCTTACCGCGCTGTGAGCTCACTTTTGTTCACAATGGATAAACACTCGCCTTCCGGTAGTAGAGAATGCTCGATGTTCCCTCAGATTTGGCTGGGTACTGCAAAACACATCGAGAAAGCCTTGCTTGCTGCCCAGCACATGGCCACTGGGCAGCTGTCCATTGAATGAGGATCATACTGGGGTTCGATTCGATTGCACTTCAACATTCCCGACCTGACGAAACTTCCGAAGAAGGATCTGGAGAAGAGTTTGAGTTGAGAATTCCTGAATTTCTGAATGTCCCGGTCAGGGCAAACCCAAATTCTCCACTTGATTGGTACACTCACCACGCCTTTATGACGGGCGGTCGTTACGTATCCGCAACATTAATGTATGGAGGTTAGGCGTCTTTTCAACCGTCGATCGTGACAGCGTGGAGCTTCACTGACGGCAAGATGTCACCGAAACCCTAGTCGTGCTCTGTTCCTCCTCACACAACCCAAAGAGAGTTGCTAGGTTCATCCTCTGCTGAGCCAACTGATTCGAGCGTAGTTAATGGCGTTGGCGGATATGTGCAAGGACAGCAAATAACACTGGAGTCTGCTGCTCGGGTAGTAAATGCTCCTCACTCTCCCCAATCCTTCGGTTGGAGCTGTGGAGATCAAACCAGTTTGTTCCCACCACGACTGTTCTATGCGTAGATTGTTTTGGACGTTTGACTCTCGTGTCCTGCTGGCGAGTACGATGCCCACGTCAGCAGCAGTGACTGCCGAAGCGGCGTGTATTGCAGTTCTTCCTAGAAGAGGCTCCTTTTTGGAATTCCGTACAGTTTTTGGACCAGGCCGATGAACACGGGAAATCCTTAAGCGAGTCTGGTCAAACCGTATAATTGCGGCGGCTTTCAATCAAGTTTTCAACATCATTCATCGGCAGATTGCATCGCACATCACACCGTCGAGCGGAGGACGACTCGTCGGCGAAAATAATGGAACAGACAGGCGACAGCGATCAGGTCAGATAGCCCTCGAGGTTATACTACTACTAGGTCAAACGCAGGTTATGCGCGTCGTCCTACTCAGCCGCTAGCCCGCCCGTTGGTGGCCGGCGCGACGTGCCGCTTTCTCTACGCTGGCAAGTGCGCTTCGCACGTTCTGTTGGCCCGCTTTCATTAACAATGATGCCTCGGTTTCCGACTTGAATAGGTTCGTCGTTGGTTTGCCATCAGTCGGGCCAAAACGGGGACTACTACTAACCTGGGGTCGCAGGGGCTGAGGCTCGGCTTGACATGAGAACTCTGAAAAACGTCGTCGCTGTCGTAACGCATCCTATCATGCCTTTCACCTGACTGTGTCGTCTTCTCGCCCCCCGTTTCCTAGCTCCTTGCTCTTTTTGCTCGTTCCCCGCCCTCTCCTCGCCCTCGGCTCCTCTCTGCTTGCCCTCCGCTCATCCCTCTCGCCCCTCTGTGCATCTCCCCTTGCCCTCCGCGCGTCGCGCGTCAGGTGCTCGGTGATTTGCTCAACAATCTCCCCAGCGCGCAGGAGATTTCCGCCAACCCGTTCCCCCCGCCGGGGCCTTTCAGCGCGCCCGAGACGCAGGTCGGCGCAAACCGAGACGGCGGCGGGCGGGAAGCAGGCAGCAGCTGGGGTAGCGGGGGAAGCGGCGGGGTAAGCGCGCGGGCAGCGCAAGCCGCCTCAGGGAGAGGCGGGAGCGGAGGCGCAGGGGGGGAGCAGAACGGTGGAGTGCAAGCGGGAGTTGGGGGGAACAGAGCGGGGGGGGCGGAAGGAGCTGGCGCGGGTGGCGGGGGAAATGGGGGGGTGGGGGGGCTGGGGGGGTTGGGGGGGTTGGGGGGAGTGGGGGGGGAGGATAGCCGGTCGGGGAGCGAGGAGGATGGGACGTCGGATGGGGAGGGGATGGGCGGGCGGGACAAGAAGAAGGGCAAGCGGTATCACCGCCACACGGCCCAACAGATCCAAGAAATGGAAAGGTGTGCATGCGGCGTGCGCGCATGAGTGCGCATGCTTGTATGTGTGCTGCTGTGGATGTTCCTTCTGCCTTCTTTGCTATCTGTGATCTGCCGTCTCTGCTGTCTCTTCTGCCCCCCCGCTCCACTGAGCACCTGGCAGGTTGTTCCGCGAGTGCCCGCATCCCGACGAGCGGCAGCGGCAGCAGCTGAGTCAACGGCTGTCGCTGGCGCCGCGGCAAGTCAAGTTCTGGTTCCAAAACCGCCGCACTCAGATGAAGGTGAGTGGCCCGCTGCTGTGCTTGTGAGTGCCACTTTCTCAGACGGAGAGAGAGAGCGGAGAATGCAATGGAGAGAGCGGAGAATGCACTGCTGTGGCACGAGAATGACCGGCTACGCCATGAGGTCATGCGGCTGGCTCTCCCCGCCCCCTTCTGCCTGTTTCTGTGTGCCTTTCCCTGTGCCTCTTGCTGCTGTCATGAACAGGCTCGAACGGAGAGGGCGGAGAATGCAATGCTGCGAGAGGAGTACGACCGATAAAGCAGCGAGATGCGGCTGACTCCCCTTTACACTCCCTGTGCTCCCCCTTTCCTGAGCCTCTTGCCATCACCAGGCGCAAACGGAGAGGGCAGAGAACGCGATGCTGAGGCAGGAGAACGATCGGTTGCGCAGCGAGGTGATGCGCCTGCGCTCCGTGCTGGCGGCTGCTGCGTGCCCCGCGTGTCATACGCGCCTCGTGCCGGGCAGCGGGGGTGATTCCATGCATGATGCCTCGGCCGTGGCTGCTCAGCTCATGGAAGAGAACGCTCACCTCAAGAACGAGGTAGGGGTTAGCATAGCACCAGGACATTGGTGGCTGCGGTGCGTGCAGGCTGACTGCTGCGGTAAGTGCCCCGCGTGCCACACTCGCCTCGTGCCCGGCAGCGGTGGTGATCCCAATCACGATGCCTCGGCTGTGGCGGCTCAACTGATGGAAGAGGACGCCCACCTCAAGAACGAGGTAGGGCTAAACCGCTGACTGATGTGGTGGGACGTGAACGAGGTAGGGTAGGCCCCTCCTCGTCCCCCTCGTCCCCGCCACCGAGTGTCCATGCTGGCAGCGGGGCAGCGGGCGGCAAGGGGCGTTGTGGACTGGACCCCATGGGGCTTGGCCTGCCGCCACTGTCGCCCTGCTTCCACCTTTCTTCCATTCTCCGTTCCCTCTATTTCCCGTTCATTCTATTCCCTATCGCCTCTATTTCACAAATCACATGGCTGATAGAGCGAGTGTCAATGCTGGCAGCGAGGGAGGGGCGCTGAGGATCCCATGGGCGCTGAGGATCCCATGGGTGCTGAGGATCCCATGGGCGCTGAGGATCCCATGGGCGCTGAGGATCCCATGGGCGCTGAGGATCCCATGGGCGCTGAGGATCCCATGGGCGCTGCGGATCCCATGGGCGCTGAGGATCCCATGGGCGCTGAGGATCCCATGGGCGCTGAGGATCCCATGGGCGCTGAGGATCCCATGGGCGCTGAGGATCCCATGGGCGCTGAGGATCCCATGGGCGCTGAGGATCCCATGGGCGCTGAGGATCCCATGGGCGCTGAGGATCCCATGGGCGCTGCGGATCCCATGGGCGCTGAGCATCCCATGGGCGCTGAGGATCCCAGGGGCGCTGCCACAATCGCCCTGCTTCCACCTTTCCTCTTCCCCACTCCCCTGTCTCCTGCCCCTCTCGCGCTCTATCTATCAGCATTGGCACGCGCTGCTGCTGGCGGCGTGCATTCACCTTGCCTCTTCCTACCCCACCCCCCAATCCTTTCTTCTCCCCCATCTCCTCCAATCACATGGCAGATAGAGCGAGTGTCCATGCTGGCAGCGCGGCAGCTGGCATCAAGAGGCGCTGTGGACCCGATGGGGCCCGCCACAGTCGCGGCTCTCAACGCCGCTGCTGCTGGCGGCATGCAGGCTGCAGGCATGGGCGCGGGGGGGGGGAACCCCACTGCTGCCGGGAATGCTGCTGCTGGTGGTGCTGGTGGTGCCGGTGGTGCTGGTGGGGGTGGTGGTATGGATGGGCTTGGAAGCCCTGGGATGATGCAGGATGGTAGTGGTGTCATGGGGATGGGAGGCAGGGATTTCGGCGCTGCTGCTGCTGGTGCTGTTGGGAGTTTTGGCATGGAGTCGAATGCTAGTGCAATTCAGCGTATGCAGCAGTTTCAACAGCAGCAGCAACAACAGCAACAGCAGCAACAGCAACAGCAGCAGCAACAGCAACAGCAGCAGCAGCAGCAACAGCAGCAGCAACAGCAACAGCAACAGCAGCAGCAGCAGCAGGCGATGGGAGGGTTGCTAGGGGATATGGTCCCCTCATCCCGGTTCAACATAGATGCAGCTCAAGGAGGCTTCTCTGCTGCTGCCGCGGCTGCAGTGGCGGCAGGGAGAGGTATGAACGAGCATGGCATGATGGGCCTATTGGGTGGTGACGCAGCTGCTGCTGCTGCTGCCGCGAGAGCAGCAGCAGGGGGGGGATCAGCAGGGGCGGGAGGCGTGGGGACGAGTGGGATGGAGGGGATGTCGGATTTCCATCGCAGCAACACGGGGAGAAGCAACCACTCCAACGCCTCTCCTCATGCTGCTGCCGCTGCGGCAGCAGGAGCGGGAGGAGGAGGGGGAGGGGGAGGAGGCGGAGGAGGGAGGGGCGGAGCAGGGAGCAGCAGCAGTGGTTTGCTATACGACATGGGGGGGAATGGAGCTGCTCGCACTGCTGACGCCGCTGCAGCAGCTGCAGCAGCAGGGGGGGGAGGGGGAGCGGGAGGCGGAGGAGCGAACGGGTCTCTTTTCGGCCTGGCTAGCGGGTGGGGGCTAGCAGCAGGAGGATTAGGAGGAGGAGCGGGAGGAGTGGGAGGAGCGGGGGGAGCAGGAGGGGGGGCAGCAGCAGGGGGGCCACTAGGACTAGGCCCGGGTTTCTCGGCATCATTGCGAACAGGGGGAGGCATGATGAACCCAGTGGGGGGAGAGGCAATGGGGGCCCTACTAGGCGCATCAGGGGAGGGCGGAGGGTTATCAGACTCAGAGCGAGACGTGGTCATGGACCTCGCAGTCTCCTCTCTAGAGGAGCTCGTAGGCTTGGCGCAGATCAACGAACCTCTCTGGCTCCCGGGCCTGCTCTCCCGAGCCTTCGACAGGCACGGCAGCGGCGGGAGCGGGGGGGGTGGGGGCGCTGGGGGCGCCGGGGGTGGTGGTGGGGGCGGGGGGAACGGAGGGATGGGTAGTGGGGGAGGGGGCATGGCGGGGAATGGCGGCGAGCAGTTGAACCGCACGGAGTATCGGCTGAGGTTCCCCAACTGTGTGGGGGACGGCCCTCCGGGATTGTCGATAGAGGCATCGAGGGCACGGGGAGTGGTGTCCCTGAATGCCCTCGCGCTCGTAGAGCTCTTTATGGATCCGGTGAGTTTGGATGGCGCGTGGCTTTGAGTATTCATGGATCCGTGGGTGTTTGGCGAGTAGAGGTGTGATGTGTAAATCCATGTGGTGTTTGTCACATGGGTTGTCCGTTGAGGCATCGAGGGCGCGAGGGGAGTGGTGTCTCTGAACGCCCTCGCACTCGTAGAGCTCTTTATGGATCCGGTGAGTGTTGAGTTGAGGCTTGATGAGTGACTCTGCAGCACTGAGGTGTGCTTCCATGTTTTGTTGCTCGCATGGGTTGATGCTTGTGTGCCAAGGCTTTCAGACAGGCTTCATGTGGAGCATGCCATCGCTGGTGTTGCCGAGTGCCCTCGGCCTTGTGGAGCTCTTCATAAACCCTACGCCCTCGCCCTTGCTGGTGCTTGAGTCACTTGGTATTTTTGGAGTCGACTTCGAAGGACGATTCCCACTTTCCTCTCCCCTCTCGTGCCGCGCCCAACTGCTCCTTCCCCCTCTCCCTCCACCCCTCACCAGGTGAAGTGGGCGGAGATGCTGCCATCGTTGGTGTCTCGAGCCGTGGTGGTGGATGTTATCTGTGTGGGCAACGAGCCCACCCAGCGCAACGGCACGCTCCAGCTGGTGGGTGGCCGTGCAGGGGTGGGGTTGTTCTGTGAATCTTCAGGCATATGACGAGTGAGCTGCGGTACTGAGCAGTGGTGGTGAACCTCATCTGTGTGGGCAATGAACCCACGCAGCGCAACGGCACTTTGCAGCTCGTGAGTTGCCTTCAAGGGGTGAGAGAGCTGGTGGGTTGTTGTGCAGGGGGTGAGAGAGCTGGTGGATGCCTTGTTGCCATCGTTGGTGTCTCGAGCTGTGGTGGTGGACGTCGTCTGTGTGGGCAATCAACCCACGCAGCGCAACGGCACTCTGCAGCTCGTGAGTGCCGCGCGCGTGGACCAAGGCGTGCGCGTGGACCAAGGCGCGCGCGTGGACCAAGGCGCGCCCGTCGACCAAGGCGCGCGCGTGGACCAAGGCGCGTGCGTGGACCAAGGCGCGCGCGTGGACCAAGGCGCGCGCGTGGACCAAGGCGCGCGCGTGGACCAAGGCGCGCGCGTGGACCAAGGCGCGCGCGTGGACCAAGGCGCGCGCGTGGACCAAGGCGCGCGCGTGGACCAAGGCGCGCGCGTGGACCAAGGCGCGCGCGTGGACCAAGGCGCGCGCGTGGACCAAGGCGCGCGCGTGGACCAAGGCGCGCACGTGGACCAGGGCGCGCACGTGGACCAAGGCGCGCGCGTGGACCAAGGCGCGCGCGTGGACCAAGGCGCGCGCGTGGACCAAGGCGCGCGCGTGGACCAAGGCGCGCGCGTGGACCAAGGCGCGCGCGTGGACCAAGGCGCGCGCGTGGACCAAGGCGCGCGCGCGAACCAAGGCGCGCGCGCGAACCAAGGCGCGCGCGCGGACCAAGGCGCGCGCGCGGACCAAGGCGCGCGCGCGGACCAAGGCGCGCGCGCGGACCAAGGCGCGCGCGCGGACCAAGGCGCGCGCGCGGACCAAGGCGCGCGCGCGGACCAAGGCGCGCGCGCGGACCAAGGCGCGCGCGCGGACCAAGGCGCGCGCGCGGACCAAGGCGCGCGCGCGGACCAAGGCGCGCGCGCGGACCAAGGCGCGCGCGCGGACCAAGGCGCGCGCGCGGACCAAGGCGCGCGCGTGGACCAAGGCGCGCGCGTGGACCATGGCGCGCGCGTGGACCATGGCGCGCGCGTGGACCATGGCGCGCGCGTGGACCAAGGCGCGCGCGTGGACCAAGGCGCGCGCGTGGACCAAGGCGCGCGCGTGGACCAAGGCGCGCGCGTGGACCAAGGCGCGCGCGTGGACCAAGGCGCGCGCGTGGACCAAGGCGCGCGCGCGGACCAAGGCGCGCGCGCGGACCAAGGCGCGCGCGCGGACCAAGGCGCGCGCGCGGACCAAGGCGCGTGCGTGGACCAAGGCGCGCGCGCGGACCAAGGCGCGCGCGTGGACCAAGGCGCGCGCGTGGACCAAGGCGCGCGCGTGGACCATGGCGCGCGCGTGGACCAAGGCGCGCGCGTGGACCAAGGCGCGCGCGTGGACCAAGGCGCGTGCGTGGACCATGGCGCGCGCGTGGACCAAGTGCAGGTGGTAGGGCAGGGCAGGGGAATGGTAAGCTGCAGCTGGCAGGGGACAATAATGGTACGTTTGCATCTGCTATTTGGCCGTGCGAACTTAATGCTGCCCATTTCTCGTCCCCACGTCACTTAATTACTTTGTTGCCTCGTTCCCTTACCCCTCGCCCCCCTCCCCACCAGCTGCAAGAAGCTCTCCCCCACCTGCTGGGCTGTCACACCTTAGACAGGCCCTCATTCCATCGGTCACTTGTGCCCCCCCTCCCCTTGTGCCCCACCTCCCCTTGTGCCCCACCTCCCCTTGTGCCCCACCTCCCCTTGTGCCCCACCTCCCCTTGTGCCCCACCTCCCCTTGTGCCCCACCTCCCCTTGTGCCCCACCTCCCCTTGTGCCCCACCTCCCCTTGTGCCCCACCTTCCCTTGTGCCCCACCTCCCCTTGTGCCCCACCTCCCCTTGTGCCCCACCTCCCCTTGTGCCCCACCTCCCCTTGTGCCCCCCTGCCCCTCAGATGTATTTGGAGACCCAAATGCTCACACCCCAAGTGCCAACGCGGGAAGCCTTCTTCCTGCGCTACTGCAAGCAGCTCTCGCCCACCTGCTGGGCCGTCACACACATAGACCCTCCCCTCGTTCCCTCGTTCACTCTCCCCCCTGCCCCTTCAGATGTACCTGGAAACACAGATGCTCACACCGCAAGTACCCACAAGAGAGGCCTTCTTCCTGCGCTACTGCAAGCAGCTCTCCCCCACGTGCTGGGCCGTGGTAGACGTCTCTGTGGACCGCCTCAGGAGCGAGCCCCCTCCCGTCATGCTCAAGTGCCGGCGACGACCATCGGGGATCCTCATACAGGTGGGCTGGGAGGGATTTTTTTTGTTCTCTAGTACACCCACCCACATGCTGCCCTCTGCTGTCCTCCCCCACTTAGAAGCGAGCCCCCACCCGTCATACTCAAGTGCAGACGACGACCATTGGGAATCCTCATACAGGTGGGCTGGGGCGGACGTGGGATAGCTGTGGGCAACCCGCTTGGTATTACCTTGTGTGCAATCCGCCTGGCATCTCCAGCATGCCGCTGCAAGCAGTGTGCCGGGTGGCTGGCTGGCATTGTATGGTCCCATGCACCCACTTGCTGCCACCTGCTTTCCTCTCCTGCCCCTTCTGCCCTCCTTTGTAACTCTTCTCTGCGTCCCTCCTCTGCTTCTCTCCGCTCCCTTGCCCCACTTTCCATCACCAGGAAACACCCAACGGCAGCAGTCAGGTCACGCTGGTGGAGCATGTGGAGGCAGATCCCTTGGGAGTGCCGCCGCTCTTCAGGTGGGCTTAGGTGCAATGTTTGCCTCTGTTGCAGTCAATTGTTTGAGTCAGCCCTCCCTTTCTTGTTCCTCCAAGTATCCTTCCTTCGTGTCAACTTTCGTTCAAGTCAACCCCTGCAAGGCAACCTCCCCAACTCAACCCCTCCGCCTACTTCCCCCTCCCTCTTCCCCTTCCCAGGCCAATCGTGGCAGCAGCGCTGGGCTTTGGAGCAGCGAGGTGGATGGCAGCGCTGCACCACCAGTGTGTGCGCTTCGGGGAGCTGCTGGGGAACCCAACTTGCCTGCCCATCAACTCAACCCTTCCCCATCCCTCTCCCTTCAACTCCCCATTTTCCGCTGTTTCTGCCCTCTCCCCGTACCTCCGTAGACCAATCGTGGCAGCAGCGCTGGGTTTTGGAGCAGCGAGGTGGATGGCAGCGCTGCACCACCAGTGCGTGCGCTTCGGAGAGCTGCTGGGGAATCCCACGTTGCGGGACAGTGGCATCGTGTCGCAGCAGGGCCGCCGTGCCATGCTTCGCCTGGCTGGCCGCATGCTCTCCAACTTCTGTGTCGGATTGTCCTCCTCCACCAGGTGACGCCCGCCCACGTAACGCCTACAACAAGTAGTTGTTTAATCGAATCAAAGGGCGCTGCGCCATGCTTCTCCTGGCTGGCCGCATGTGTTTCCCTCCTGCCTGTGCTGCCGTCCCTCATCGTCTTTACCTTACCTTCCTCCATGTCATGTTCTCATGCCACCCCTCAACTCTGAGAGAGCTTCTACTGCCAGAACCGCTGCAGAGGGTCGGGCCTCCGCTCCACAGGTGCTTTTGAGTCGCCTAAAAAAAATTCGAGACGTCTCAAAAATAACCTCATTACACACTGCAGAGGGTCGGGCCTCCGCTCCACAGCTGCTTTTGAGTCGCCTAAAAAAAATTCGAGACGTCTCAAAAATAACCTCATTACACGCTGCAGAGGGTCGGGCCTCCGCTCCACAGCTGCTTTTGAGTCGCCTAAACAAAAATTACCCTCCCATCCCATCCCAACCCCTCATGTGACCTGGATCACCCCCATACATTCCTGGAAGGTGATTGACAACTCTGACAGAGCCTCTGCTGCCAGTACCGCTGCAGGGGGGGGCGCCACACCCGCTGATTCCTGCTCTTTCCCCACATCTTGTTCTCATCTCACCCTTTCATGTCACCCCTCAGGCATTCCTGGAAGGTGATTGACAACTCCGATCGTGCCTCTGCCGCCACCTCCGCTGCAGGGGGGGGCGCCACACCCGCTGGCGCCAGCACTGCAGGGGGAGGGGGGATGGGGGGCGAGGGGGAGGGCATGGGGGGCGCGGGTGGGGCGTCAGCAGCAGCGGCAGCGATGGGGGCGGTGGAGGTGTGGGTGGCGATGAGGCGCAGTGTGACGGGGGCGGGGGAGCCCCTGGGAGTGATTCTCAACGCCGCTGCCTCTGTGTGGCTGCCCGTGCCCATGCCGCTTGCATTTGAGTTCCTGCGCAACGAGCAGACCCGGCGCGAGGTGAGTAAGGGAGGGGATTGGGAGGGGACGGAGATGAGGGTGGTGGAGATGAGGGTGGTGGAGATGAAGCGCACACCCATCTCTCGTGCCTTGTGCTGCATGCACTCAACTCAACCCCATTCTTGTCTTCCCGCCCTCTTGCCTCGTCCCCTCCCTACGAACCTTGTCCCCAGTGGGACATCTTGACAAGCGGGTCGGTGGTGTCGGAGATGGGGCGCATACCCATAGGCGTGGACCATGGCAACTGTGTGTCGCTGCTCAAAGTGCAGGTCAGTGCGTGCTGCGTAGCGGTCGGGCTGTGAGCTCTCTCATGGGCTCAGCAGATCAAATCCTTCGTCATGGTGCCTCAAAGCATAGGCCTACGGATGGGCATACTGAGGTCTCTCCCTATTCTTCCTTCTTCCTCCTTTCCCCCCTCCGCCCTTCCCCTGTCCGCCCTCACCCCTCCGCCCTTCTCCCCTCCTCCTTTCCCCCCTCTGCCCTCACCCCTCCGCATGTCCATCCGCCCTGCCCGCTGCCCTATACCAGCAGGCGGCAGCAGGCCCTGGAGCACAGACCAACATGCTCATCCTCCAGGAGACCACCTTCGACCCCTCAGGTGCGCCCAGGTGGATCCTCAGGTGATCTTCAGGTGGTCTTCAGGTGACTCACAGGTGATTCTCACTTGATTGTTTGGTAAACGCCCTTTCCTGCGCCCTTTCCTGTGACCAGTGTCAAGCACTGTAGTTCCATTCCAATCTTTTCCTCCTTCCTGCCCTTCCCGTTCTATTCGCCCCTTACCGCTCTTCCCTCCCCCTCTGTTTCCCCCTCTCAGGAGCCCTCATAGTGTACGCGCCAGTGGACATACCGGCAATGAAGGAGGTCATATCAGGCGGCTCCTCCGACTCCGTCGCCCTGCTCCCCTCGGGCTTCTCCCTCCTCCCCGACTGTGCTCTCTCCTCCGACCAACGCGTAGCTCTCTTCCACGCCGCCCCCGTCCAGCCCACCGCGGGCGGCGCCGCCTCGGCAGCATTCGCCGGGGGGGTGGCGGGGAATGGCCGGTATGGGGGGGCGGAGGAGGGATGGCAGCAGGGAGGCGAGGTTGATAGTTTGGCGGCGCAGGCCATGCGGAGTGCTGCGAGGAAGAGAGCACTGGGGCATGTGCCTGAAGGGTCCATTCTCACTGTCTCGTTCCAAATCCTCGTCAGCCCTAACCCCCAGGTATGGATGCTGGAAGAACTGGTATATGAATTGTGATCGTAATTATGGATTCTGATCATAACTCAAAGGACGAACTTTGGGTGGAGCGATCGGCATTCTTGGCTTCACTGTTGGGCAGGAGCAATTTGATATGCTCGCTGTGTTGCTCACATGGAGATTCAGAGCGCATGAGTGTGCTAGCACCCCCCCCCCGCCCCCCTCCTTCCACTTCCCAACATTGCACCACCCAACCACCCCACTACCCCCACTACCCCCACCATCCCACACCCCATCGTCCCCCCACGAACCCACACCACGGGCGTGGCATGGCAGGCGAAGCTGACAACGGAGAGCATGGCGACGGTGAACTCCCTCATCTGCTGCACCGTGCAGCGCATCCGCCAAGCCATGGACGTTGCCGCCGCCACGCTCTAGCTGCCTCAAGCTGCCTCTTCAAGAAGCGCATAGCTCTCACCCAACCAAGCCTTTTCCCTCCCACCTGAACCTGAGCTCAGCCCACCTGTCCACCGTCAACAACTCTCCCTCATCTGCTGCACCGTGCAGCGCATCCGCCAGGCCATGGACGTCGCTGCTGCCCGCTCTAGCTGCCCCATTCACTGCTGCCACACTCTAGCCCTGCCGGTTGCTGCCGCCACACTCTAGCTGGCTCAAGCTGGCTCGTCAAAAAACGCGAAAGCTGGCACCCTGAACCACCGGTATCAGACACTGTCTACTATGTACCCCTCGGAGCTGCTCTCCCAGCCTCCACAAGTGCGCTGATTGAGTCGTACGCTTCTCTCGACCATCTTACAGCCATGTCATTGCAGTCTGATAGCCATCTTAGCCATCTCCTAGCCATCTCCTAGCCATCTCCTAGCCATCTCCTAGCCATCTCCTAGCCATCCCCTAGCCATCCCCTAGCCAACTCAGGGCCACCTGACAGCGACCTGATACCCTCCTCATAGCCTAGCCAGCCCCTCATGGAAGCTCAACTGCCATCAACACACAGCAGCTGCACACCTTTTTGCTGCCACCTGTGCAACCCTGCCTGCACCAGTATTGCCCCAGGGCGTGGCACCACCACAATGTGTGTAGGGTATTTATTTTAGTTTAGGTCATTGATCAGGGCTGCATACATGTTTTGATTTGAATCGGTAAAGGTTGCATTGATTGAGCTTCACAAGTATTTTAGAAATCTGAGTTTTCTTTCAACCAACAAACTATGAAACCATGTTCGCGTAAGGGAAACAGCAGCTCCATCAACAAAATAAATCTACCTTTCTAAATTCTGCTACCGGTAAGTCACTCTAAATCAGACAAGGTGAACTATAACCCAGACCACGTAAAAATCAGGCAGCAAGAGCTGTCCTCAAAACCAACAAAATTGGTGCCGGAATTACAGCAAAATGGGACAGCATTGAAGTCCAACTACACTACACCTACCCTACCATTAACTCCAATCTCTGCTACAATTACGGTACCAGAAAGAAAAACCGGGTAGGGTTCAGTGTGGAAAACCTTTATCACCTCGAGACCTCCGGCGCAGGCGAGGGAGGCAGGGCGTAGGGGTACATAGACATCGGCGACCGCCCAGCCATGTGATGCGATGAAAACGGCGGACCCAGCGGCGGCGCTAGGGAAAACGCGAGAGGGTCAATGTGCGACGAGCCTAGACCACCACCAAGGCTGGACCCGAGGCTCGATCCGAGGCCGAGTTGCGCGTTCATGGGGTGACCGTGCGCGGCGGCTGCGTGGTGCAGGCGCTGCAGCTGGCGACTGAGCTCCATGGCGTGCGAGCGCAGCACGCGGTTCTCCTCTGTCAGCTGCGTGTAGTGCCGCGACGCCATGTTGTACCGCGTCGACATCTCGCTGTTCTCCGCGCGCAGCTGTGCCACCTGGGGCGGGGAGGACCGGGGGACGCGGAGGGAATACAGCGCGCAAGAAAGCGAATTGGGATGAGGAGGCTGGAATGACGGGTGATGAGGCAGTGCGAGGGGGGTGACTGTCGGGTTGTTGCGCGGAAAGGTTCAGGTTGTGGGGAGACTGAAAGAAGCAATAACCAAGGCGATAATCAAGAACCAGTAACGGGACGGGAGATTCCGAACAGACTGTCCGCAGGCGTGGATAACCCGACGCGAGGATGGGACGTGACGGACCTGCTGGCGCATCTCGTCTAGGTGGTGCTGCTTCTTGAGCCGCGACCGCCGCGCCGACTCGCGATTGCTCAGCATCCGCTTCTGCTTCCGCTCGTCTACCACCCCCGGATCTTCGTCCGACAACGGATGCGACATTCGCGACCCGCCGTGATCCTGCTGCCGATGCTGCTGATGCTGCTGCTGCTGCTGCTGATGCTGGTTCCTCTGCTTGACGTCAGCGTCGTGGGAATTGTCGCCATTGTGGTCTCTAGCTTGGCCAGTCTCCCCTGGATGGTGATCGCCTCTGTGGTCTGTTTCATGGCTCCTGCCCGCGGAAACATTGGGGGAGTTAGCTACGCCGCCATGGCCCTTCCCGAGTTCATCTGAGTGGCAACTTTGACTATCGCAGCCTTCCGAACTGGGCATCCTGAACGAAATTAAATCTTCCTGCTATAACGTTGCGAAGTAAGGTAATTCCCTCGTTTGGAGCAGGGTCCCAACAATGCTTTGCTGAATAAAGAAACGATCTTGCGGTGGACAGAATCTAGGAGGCAGGGAAAGGAGAGTGTAAGTGGGAAGATATGATGCTGAAGAACGAAGACCTACTCCGGCAAAGACAATGCCGGTCAATGCACGCCTAAGGAGTATACGGTCCTGCGGAAGATAACGGTAATAAATCTTTGCTGGAAAGTAGACGTCTAAGTTGTAGTCAAGCTTGCACTAACGGCAGGGCATTGTGACCAAATAAAGCGGTAACTCGAGTAATTCGCAAAATGCAGGCTAAGGGCGAGTCAGTGAGCTGGAATCTCTACAAGTCCTCTCTGGTCTCGTGTTTGGTGAAGCTTGATTGGGGTTTGGGGTTGTCAGCAATGGCTGCCTGTGCTGAGAGGTGCTTTCACGTTGATGCGTGTTCAAGTTCAGATCGAGCCCAAAGCGGGCACCACTCCCGCTGATCTCGTGTAGAGGGAATCGAGGGAACCGTCAAATGGCAGTGTTTGAAAGAAAATGTTTGTTCGACGTCGAAATAAGCTGCCCAGCAACATTATCTCAAAAATGAGGAGTAAAAATGACGGCGGTGGGGAATCAAAAAGGTCGTGTACAGTGTTGCGAAGTAAACAATATTCCGCCTGTCGGTTGGGAGAAAAGGTCCTCACCTGCCCGAAATGTAGGTTTACAGCTGGAGGGGTTTGGAGGGGGCCTAGAAGGCCCCACCGGCGACCACGCAAGCCTGACGTGTAACACTGCGCCATTCGTGGCGGTTGCCGAGCCATCAGGAGCCATCCGACCAAGGCCCGCTTTTCATGCGTGGCGCAGTCACGGTGGTGCATCGCTGAGGTGAACCCGCTTCTTTACAGCTGACGGATGGCAGGCGTGGTGGACAAGGTCCTGACGACAGCTGAGTCGACGCCTTGTCATGATCGTCAGATCAAGCGGCAGGAAGTTCCACGCAATAACGGCTGGTTCTCGAGTTCGAACTTACCAGTGTTGCACATTTTCTAAGAACCTACAATATATTTCAGCTTTGAGGATGTTTGTAACGAGAATATGTATTGCATTGCCCATCATCCAGCTGCTATGATCTAAAAATTATGCTTTTGCCTTGGGCTTGGTTTTTGCCTTGAATTTAGGCCGTAGCTGCAGCCACATTCGCAGAGTTCTATCCTCATTGCCAAGCCATGTCCGCGTTGCGTCTCGCGAGTAGCCTCGCCTCTGTTAGCAACATTCGCGGCGAGTTTGCCGCGAATCGAGCCAGCAGCTTCACAGGCAGACTTGCCGATCCATTCTCCGGAACCGATCCGGCGAAGCTTTTCGCCCGGAATGTAACCCAGCGAGCATCGCGAAGCGCAGGCGAGAGCTCGTCCTCTGCCGCCCGCTCCTCTCGCAATCTGAAACTTGTCGCCCATGCGAACATTGCGACGACCCCTGCGACGGAGACGGCTACGACAGTGGATCCGACGTCGCCCGACTTTTGCGGCGAGGACGGAACAGTGCTCGTGCGACCGCTAGCGGACATCCAGGCCGGCGACAGGAAGGGAAAGAAGTTTCACGTTCACACTTTCGGATGCCAGGTGGGTTTGAGCAATTGGCGTGTCTCGGGATGCCTTGGAACGAGGCCTTCTATTGGAATGCCCTATAACGAGGTCTGCTATTCTTTTTCCACTCAGTTCTGGTGCTCTCGAGTGGCATTTTCACCCTTTGAATCCGTTAACAACGTCAGAACCCTCAACCCTGCCAATTCGCTTCCCCCTCTCCATTTCGCTCGCAATTTTTCGATCTCTTCTGAACTACATCCCTTCTCCTTCCCATTCCCCGTCCCTTCCCTTCTCCACTCCCCCCAATCCAGATGAACATGGCGGACGGCGAGCGCATGGCGGGCGTGCTGGAGGCAACGGGGTACGATGCGACCCGTCTTCACCGGCCCTGTCCCCCGCCCCCTTCCCCCCTCCTTCCCCCTTCCGCAACCCAGATGAACATGGCGGACAGCGAGCGCATGGCGGGCGTGCTGGAGGCGATGGGGTACGAGGCGACGGAGGACCCGGATCAAGCCGCCGTGCTGGTCTACAACACGTGCAGCATCCGCGACAAGTCCGAGCAGAAGGTGTACTCCGCGCTGGGGCGGCAGCGCGAGCGGAGGAGGCGGGATCCGAGCATGCGCGTGGTGGTGGCGGGGTGCGTGGCGCAGCAGGAGGGGCACGCGCTGCTGCGGCGGGTTCCTGAAGTTGACATTGTGATGGGGCCGCAGCACGCCAATAGACTGCATGAACTGCTTGAACAGGTGGGTGCAATGAGGGTCTTCACTGGTGGGGGTTGGGTTGCAGCAGGAGGGGCACGCGCTGCTGCGGCGGGTTCCTGAAGTTGACATTGTGATGGGGCCGCAGCACGCTAACAGACTGCACGAACTGCTGGAACAGGTGGGTGGAAGCAGGGGAATGCGGTTGGGCAACACAGGGATGAGGCTGGGCGGCACAGGGATGAGGCTGGGCGGCACAGGGATGAGGCTGGGCGGCACAGGGATGAGGCTAGTCGGCACAGGGATGAGGCTGGGCGGCACAGGGATGAGGCTGGGCGGTACAGGGATGAGGTTGGGTGGCACAGGGATGAAGTTGGGCGGCACAGGGATGAGGCTGGGCGGTAGCACATCAGGTGCCTTTGCATGTGAACAGTGGCCAGTTGTAACGCTTGGCCTTGTCTTCTCATGCCCCCCTGCCTCAGGTGGATCTGGGGGCGCAGGTGGTTGCAACAGAGCCAATCCACATCGTGGAAGATATCGCCACGCCCAGGAGGTCAGTGGGAACACCTGGGTTTGGGCACCTGGGGTGGGGGCACCTGAGGTGGGGGCACCTGGGGTGGGGGCACCTGAGGTGGGGGCACCTGAGGTGGGGGCACCTGGGGTGGGAGCTCCTGGGGTGGGGGCACCTGGGTTGGAGCTTGCTTGCTTTCGTGCTGTGTAATCAATGCGATGCTTGTCCGTGCATTCAGCATGCTGCTGTCCTTGCACTGATTCGTGTCCATGACGTGTTAAGCATGTGCTCCTCCTGTTCTTGTCTCTGTTGCTGTTGTGCTGTTGAGGTGACAGGGAGTCCACGATCACAGCATGGGTCAACGTCATATACGGTGAGTAGTGTGCTGTGTTGATACACGATACAGTGAGTGTGAGTGATGCAGTGGCACGATTTCAATCAGCCTGCAATGCTGCCTGACGCCTCTGCTGCGTCAGTGGCACATGTTTGTAGTATTTCATCACATGTCGCGTTGTACAGGTTGCAAAATGATGTAGTCCATGCAGCTTCCGTCGTCCCAGGCAGTCAACTAAACTCTTTCCGCCCACACTACTCCAGGGTGCAACGAGCGGTGCACGTACTGTGTGGTGCCGGGGGTGAGGGGCACGGAGCAGTCACGAGAGCCGGATGCCATCCGCCAGGAGATGCAGCGGCTGGCAGCAGCGGGGTACAAGGAGGTGACGCTGCTGGGGCAGAACATTGATGCGTATGGACGTGACCTGGGAGGTTCGGCAGAGGACGGGTCGGGCAGGAGGAGGTGGACTCTCACTGACCTGCTGCGCTACGTGCACGATGTGGAGGGCATTGAGAGGATCCGATTTGCTACCTCCCATGTGAGTCACTCACTAGGTCGCTGGCAGGGTACAGGGAGGTCACGCTGCTGGGGCAGGAGGAGGAGGTGGACTCTCAGTGACCTGCTGCGCTACGTGCATGATGTGGAGGGGATTGAGAGGATTCGCTTCGCCACGTCGCATGTGAGTCACCAGTTCACTGTGAGCCCGCAAGCCCGCCAGCCCGCCCGCAGCACCAGCAGCACCAGCAGCAACTGGCTTCCCCCATCGCCCCCCGCGGTCCCCTTCGAATCGTCGCCCCCTTTCCCCCTGTGCGCTGCCCCCTAGCCGCTCCTTCGACCCTGGGGCCTTGGCATTCCCGCACAATCAGCCTGCCTCACGTCACGTGCATACTCTCACCCCTCTCCCCGCCCACTTCACTGCTGACCAGGGCGTGCGCAGGCTGCCCAAAGTGTGACACTGACCGCCCTTGTATTCCCCCATTCCCCCCTTCCTCCCCATGTCCCACACCTCACCCCTCTCTCCCTCTGTGCGTGTCAGCCGCGCTACTTCACAGAGAGGTTGATCAGGGCGTGTGCAGAGCTGCCCAAAGTCTGCAAGTTCTTCCACATCCCCTTCCAATCCGGCGACAACGACATTCTCAAGGTATTTTGAAAGGGTTGTAATGGGGTTATGAGGGGTTGCAACGTGGTGATGGGGGGTGTGACGCAGCAAAGGTGCACTAATTCTGATGAAGTCCCTGCTGTCTGCTTTATAAAGTTTGTGCTCATACTCATTTATGTAACTGTGAGCAAACCCGTGGCTGCCTCTCCCTCCCCATCCAGGCCATGGCACGGGGCTACACTAGGGAGCGCTATCTAGACATCCTCGCTACCATTCGCCGCTACATGCCGCATGCTGCCATCAGCGCTGATGTCATCGTCGGCTTCCCTGGTGCGTCACCGTTACGATGCTGTTGCTGACTTTTGTGGAAGAACAAACTTCCCTCGTGCCCTTCTGTCCTGATGCTACGCTTGGCTCTGTCGACAAAAGCAAACCTCTTCCTTCCTCCCTGTCCTCAGTCGAAGCAGCAGATTCGGTTCTCCACCCAACTTTACTACCCCGTTTGCTCCCATGTGTGCGTCTGCAGGGGAGACGGAGGAGCAATTCCAAAACACTCTGCGGGTACTGGAAGGTGCGATTCACCTCAGGTTCATGCAAGATACTATTTAGTTTCATGGAAGGTGCATTTGTTAAAGGCAGGTGTTGCGCACAAAGCACTTAGGTGCCTTTCACACTTTGCCATGTCGTTTGTAGGATGCACATGCATGGGTGCAAGTCCTCTCTTTTCAACCAGGCAATGATGTCCATCCTTCCTCCATCGCTTCCCTCATCATTCCCTTCCTCCTCCAAAACTCAACTCGTCCTCCATTCCTCAATTCCCCACATCCCTTCATCCACCCCTCGCCCCATCAGAGGTCCGTTTTGACCAGGTCAACACAGCAGCCTACTCGCCTCGCCCCAACACACCAGCAGCTGACTGGCCCAACCAGGTACCCATACCTTGCTCATCCCCCACCCCACCTCTTTCTCCCAACCCTCTCTCTTTCTTCGTTTATAGCTCCTTCCCTCCCCCCTCTGCGCCGTGTGTCACATACACTCATCATGACCCCTTCCCTGTGTGCATGCAGGTAGCTGAGTTGGTGAAGATTGACCGACTACAGCGCATCAACGAGTGAGTCTTGCGCTTCTGCAAATCATAAGCTCTCACATGCTGCGTATTCCTCCAGGTTATTTTGAACTTCCTTATGTCTGCCTGTCCACTTCTGTCAACCAGTCTCTCGTCATTTCCCAGAAGACCGGAAGTAGTTGTGCTGCTCAGTACATCTTTCTCACTCCTTCCCCCGCCACGCAACCTCTCTCTTCCCCCGCCACGCAACCTCTCTCTTCCCCCGCCACGCAACCTCTCTCTTCCCCTTCCAGGATGGTACTGAAGCACTGGTTGAAGCGTAACCAGCGGCACTGGGCATAATCACTCGCATTCTCCCTTCTTCCCCCTCCTCCCTGTCTCCTCCCTTCAACCCCTTCTCGCCCTGCCAGGATGGTACTGCAGCACTGTTTGGAGCGCAACCAGCGGTACCTGGGACGAATTGAGCCACTGCTGGTGGAGGGAGTGAATGCGCGGGCAGGGCGAGAAGGAGAGGTGAGAGGGGCAGGGAGGGCGGCACCGGGACAGGGAGGGTGAGAGGCAAGGAGTGAAAGTGTGGGTTGGATTTAGTGGAGGGAGGATACGAGCTAATGGGTAGGCAAGGAGAGGTGTGGTGACAGATTGAGAGTGGTGAAACGTTCTATGCAGACAGATTCAGTTCTGCATGTTTTTGCGTATGCTTTCATGGGATCTGCTGTTTTATTCAATTCGCTGCATGGCATGGCATGGTGTCACATGGCAGGTGATGGGCCGCACGGACACCAACCGCCTCACTTTCTTCAAGGGCAGCCCGGAGCTCATCGGGCAGATAGTGCCGGTCAGAATCACGGATGTTCGGGCAGTCAGCCTCACTGGCGAGCTGGTCTCTGCTGCTGAAGCAGCTGCTGCTGCTGATGCCGCTGTAGATGCTGCTGCTGTTGCTTGAAATGGTGCGGTGCAATATTGCTGCTGTTACTGCAATAAGAGCTAACAGATTTGTGTGCACTGCTGGCTGCAGTGTTGCTGCTGTTACTGCATGCATGTCCATTGCAGGAGCTTGCTGCTGCCTACAGCTGTCAGTAGATCACTACTCACAGTGAATGATAACTGGTGCTCTGCCTGTTATCATTACCTAATGAGATAGCCGTTCGTCAAGCAGCTTTGCTTGCACTAGAAGGGCCAGCTGGCTATGCATCCGTCCGTGGTAAAGTGGTTCTGTGATGTGAGCCACACTCCTGCTTCATGAGATGCATCTGGCTGCACTGCACTACTCAGCTTGCAAAACACACACGCAAATAACATATGCCGATCATTTATTTCTGTTACACCTCTATCCGCCAATTCCTCCGTATCACCAGCCGCCACATCGCCATCAACTCCACACCACACTCGCCATCGTGCTCCCGGCCATCAGCCACTGGGTCGGAGCAGCAGCTTTCAGCTTCACCGTGCCTCTTCTGCACTGAGTGTAGCACCCCAACACCAGCTCCCATAATTATTTTACTCCTCTCCTCTGCCTCCTCCTCACCAGCATCCCCGCAGTTCCACAGCCAGCAGGCACACGCAGCACCAAAGTCCGCAGCGTTAGAGCCCTCCAGCCACAGGTCCACTCGCCTAAAAAACTAGCTCCCAGGACTAACTCTTTTTCTCCTCTTCCTCCTCCTCACCAGCATCTCCGCAGCTCCACGGCCAGCAAGAACAATCCGAACCATAGTCCGCACCGGGAGAGGCCTCGAGCCAGGGCGTGCACTGCTCCTGAGAGTGGTACCCCGGTGGCAGGTGCTTGTGAAACGCCTCCACCGCCCCATCCACCCCGTCCTCCCTGGCTATCTTGCCAGCAAGCTCCCTCGCTGCTGCCACCACCTGCGATGTGGGGAATAGAGAAGTACAGAATGAGGGAATCTAGAGAATGAAGCCTCCGCTGCGCGTGAGAGGCCTCCAGCCACGGTGTGCATTGCTCCTGGGACTGGAAACCAGAGGCAGTGCCTTCTGAGCACTCACCTCTCACATCTGGACACCCCTTCCTCGCCTAGCCCTCTTCTCACCTCATGTCAGATCATGAATTCTATGGACGAAAGCCACATCACCTCATCTAGCGCGAGCGAGCCAATGGGAATGGGCTGGAGCCACATCACCTGCCTCCCTCCCACCCCTCAACTGTCCCATCCATCGTCTCACCTCATCTCGGATCATGAATTCAATGGCTGCAACAATCTTGTCGAGTGTGAGCGAGCCGATGGGGATGGGCTCTGGTCCCACCCCCGCTGCATGCACCCGCGCCCCCCAAAAGGGCTGATCGCCAAAGAATGGAATGATGGTCGTGGGGCACTGCAGGGGGAGATGGGGAAGGGGAAGGGGTGACGAGAGGGAGATGGGGTTTGGGTGATGGGAGAAACGAAGGATGCTGCATGCATGCGCGTCCCCCAGGAGGGTTGGTCGCTGAAGAAGGGGATGATGGTGGTGGGGCGGCAGTGGTGCCCCCCCCCCCCCCCTGTTGCAGCAGAACCCTGCATGGTTGCGAACTGGCATTCAGACCACACACCCCACGCTGCAATGCACACACCACTCACCCCCCCCCTCTTGCCCCACTCACCGCCGCCTTGAGCCCAGCAGCAGTGGTGCCCGCGCCACCGTGGTGCAGCACTGCTCTGCAGCGCGGGAAGAGCCAGTCGTGCGGGCAGTTGCCGATCACGAGCACGTTCTCATTGGGTGTTTCCACTGGTGGAGTGCAGGTAAGGTAGGCCAAGGGAAGGGCCAGGGGACGTCATACGAGTGTGAGAAGGTAAAGCTAATCGTGTGGGCAGAGGCTTCAAGATACGAGCAGAAACATGTAGCCTGCGTATGCATGAGAATGCAGCAGCTCTTAAGCCCACCCGGAACAATGATTCCCTGCTTCTATAGCACCCACTCACTCACTCACTCACTCACGCACTCACTCACTCACTCACTCACTCACTCCATCCCACTCACTTCACTCCATCCCTCCATCCCATTCGCGGAACTCACTCTTGCCCAGTCCCCCCCAGCCCTCCTGCAGTATCCCCCGCTGCCCCGTGCGCTGCAGTGCCTCCACAAACTTCTGAGTCAGCCCCTTGGGATCTGATACGGGCTGCAGGGGGGACGAGAGCGAAGGAAGAGGGGCGAGGAGAGGGGGGCGGGCAAGGAGTGGGGGGAATGCAACATGAGCAGAAGTCAGCATTGGAGAAAACTCCACGCTGCCGCATCCCCAGCTCGTCGTGTGAGAAGAATGACGTACCACGGTGTAATGGTGTGAGAATGAGAGACAGAGAAGGTGCAGTGAGTGATGTGACGCACCAGGCTACCGAAACCGATGAAGATGGGGGGCGGGCCCGAGTCAAGCCATTGCTGGATGTGCGCTGGGGGCGAGTAGTGTTCCGCTAGGTTGAGAAAGCAGAACCCCACCACGTCTATTAGGTTTCCCCAGTCTGGGTTGCGTTGAGACAGCAGGAGTGCAGGACGGGAAAGGCAGCAGGGCAGGTGGGTGTGAAAGGGGAAGTGAAGCAAGTTGAGAAAGCAGAATCCCACCCACCACGACTAACAGATTGCAGAGCGTTAAGGTTGACTGGGGCAATGGGAAATTAGGATTGCAGAAGTGACATACCATGGGGTTTGGGGGCGAGCGTTGGGCTCCAGATGTAGCCGAAGGGAATGCGCATCTTGGGGCGGTTGCGCAGAGGGATGGGCGGCAGCTTGAGCTTCTTGCGGAAACTGTTTATGAAGTCCCGCACGCCCAGCCACATGAGCCCCTCCACCACCACGTATGATAGCTGCAGATGGGAACATGGAGGCACATGGGTGAGGGGTGGGAGGAAAGGGATGAGGGGAGGTCGGTTGGTGAAGTTCCTCACTCCCAGCCACATGGCCCCTCCACCACCACGTACGATAGCTGTGCAAGGGAGGATGGAGGCATCGAGGCATGGGATGTGGGAGGGGGGAATAGAGAGGGAGTGTGAATGGTTGGTTGATGAACGATGCCTGAGCAGTTGATAGAGAGAGAGCTGAGAAGCCGAGAAGTTGGAACAAAACAGAAGGTTCTCAAAGCCATGTTGATCATATGAGTGAGCTGAGAAACTGAGAAGCTGAAAATGGAAAGTTTGTTGGAGCGGTAAAAGCTGGGAAGTCTGTGCGCTTGTGTCCTATCCAAGTCTACGCATGCATGGTAACAGTGAGAACCGTTCGCCTAACTACTGAAGCCTGCGGCACCTCATCTGTTTCGTTTATGCTGAAAACCGCATTTACTGCATGGATGCCCAGCAAGCGTACCTGGTTCTCGTAGCCTGTATAGGCAGGCATCTCGCCAGCCAGGGGATGAGGGTACTCTGTCGTCATGCTGACCACGCAGTCAGAGAACAAAGAATAGGGAACGGAATGGAATGAGGGGTGTGTGGGTGTTTGAGAGAAGGACTATGCGTCTGTGAACGCGTGGGGGGGAGCCTTGGGAGGAATGATAAGGGATGACTGAAGGGTGACGCGTCTGAAAGAGTTACACAGAGATACATGAAGAGAAGCACGGAACTGGTACCTAGCCTGATGGTATGGTGGGGAACACATGCCAGTGCCTTGAGGGCATGAGCAGTGCGTTGCGTACCTCCAAGGCATGGTGAAGAACATGTGCAGCGGCACTTGCAGCGCCTCTGCCACTGTGGTGTGACCTGCATGCATGGACGCACGGGGCACATGGAGGAGCGAGCACGCGATGGGGGCGCATGGGGGCATGTGTTTCATGGGCGTACGTGTGAGTGGATGTGTGCAGGGTTGGACGTATTGGAATCTAGCTACATGGGGACAGGAGAAGGAAGGAGGCAGCAGGCTGCAAGTTACTGGTCTGGAAGCCTTTCTAACAGCGCAACCAATCACATGTCCAGGGCACCAAGCCTTCACCACCCTTCCCTGTCTCCCCCCCTCTCAGTCACTCTCAGCCAGTGCTGCCGCTGCCAGCCAATGGCTGCGTTCTGCAGGCACGACAGAGGGGGGGGAGGCGGTAAATGGGAACCTTCCCCCAACTGCGTTTTTTGGATCAAAAGAACGGTCAGCCCGGAAAATGGATCCGAGCCTCCCATTTACCCTCCGAACGTAAACCAAGGTAAATGGCAACAGAACAGCCATTTACCCTCGCGGATATGAGGTCGTAGGAAGCTGCCTATTTCCCCTCCCCACCTTCCTTCACTGGCAAAATTTGCCTCCTTCGCCCCGCCTTTCGAAAACTGCTCTTGCCCGGGATGTGAGACGGAGGGGGGAGGGAGGCGTTGGGTTAGGGAACACCACACCTGAACCCTAGAAAGCAAACAACCCCTCCCTCGAGTAGCCCAAACAGGGACGCAGCAAACTAACAGGTAAAAAAAACAGCGAGGTTTAGGTGGGTGTGCTTGGGGGCGCTTTTTTTACACGTGGTTACCCTTCTCTAAACTGCAACCCTTTTTCTGATGTCGCGCAGCTCTATCTACCCATGTTCTGTGCAGTGGAAATTGTGGCTGTTTTTTCGTCATTTACCTTCAGAAGCTTCGCACCGAGCAACCGAAATTTCCCACTTTCGATTGTAGCGAGGGGGGGGGGGGGGGGGGGGGGGAGAGGGGGGGGGATTCGAAGGGGAAACTGCTTCGGAACCCTCGTCATTTCCCTTCGCCCCCCCACCTCCCTCCCAAGGGAAATGCCTACAGAACGCAGCCAACGTCTTAAAACCCCACGTTTCCATGCATACAGCCCTTTCTCCCTCCCTGACCCCACAGACTGGTCCTTTCCTCCCCCCTTCATTGCCCCCTCCTCCTCCCCCTGCTCCTCCCATAGCAGCAGCACATACCGTACACGGGGGGGTTGGAAATGATGGCATCGGCACGGAAAGGGGCGCCGTTGCTGGCGAGGTCGGGCTGGGTGCAGGCGATGCCTTCACTGCCCCAAGAGTCCATCCATACATCCCATTCCCACATGCCATGATGAAGGCGGCGGCACACACATACCGTACACAGGAGGATTGGCAATGATGGCGTCGGCGCGGAAAGGGGCGCCGCCGCTGGCGAGATCAGGCTGGGTGCAGGCGGGCCAGGTGGAGAAGATGATTGACTTGAGCTGCTTGCGCTGCTGCAGCACCTCCTTGCGGCTGGACGGCAGGAAGCCCTTGTTCTTCACCATGTCTGCGTGTGGGGAGGAGAGGGAAGGGGGAGAAGGAAAAGTGACAGGGAGAGGAATTTGTGGTACAAGGCCTCACATTTCCCCCCTTGTACTCACACTTCCCTTCTCTCCGCACTCACATTACCGTCTTGGCCCCCCATTCACATTACCCTTCGATGCATTCACATTACCCTTCGATGCATTCCCATTTCCCCTCTTCCCGCCCAAGCTGCACACACATTCAGCAAACACCTTGGGATCGCCGCCCAGAGGGCAGAACCCGAACCGAGCCCGTGGTGAGGGCAGTGGAAGAGAGTGTTCAGTGCACTGGATGACTGACTTGCTCCATCTGCACTCACAGTCCTCCACCCTTGTACTCACATTCCCCTTTCCCTCCCCCCACTCGCATCTCACCTCTCCCACTCTCCGCGCACTCACATTCCGCGAGCACCTTGGGATCGCCGCCCAGGGGGTAGAACTCGAGCCCGCCCGCAGTGACGAACTCGCGGTAGTTGCTGTGCGACGCCAGCCGCACGCGGTGCCCGTAGCCCTGCCATGGGGCGGGGGAAGCGCGGATGGCACGGGGAAGCGCGGATGGCACGGGGAAGCGCGGATGGCACGGGGAAGCGCGGATGGCAAAGGGGGAGCGCGGATGGCAGGGGGGGAGCGCGGATGGCAGGGGGGGAGCAGCGCAGATGGCACGGGGGGTGACGAGGGAAGAAAACGACTCTTCCTCTCTCATATTCTCTCCCCCAATCACTCCTCCAACCGCCCCCAACCCATCACCCAGCGCTAGTTCGCCGCCGCGCGCCGCACCTTCAGTTTCTGACCAATGGCGATGAACGGCTGTACGTCCCCGCGGGTCCCCACGATCAGTATGCATATGTTCAGCTTCCCCACGCTCTCCGCCGCGCGCGGCGCAATCACCTCGCCTTCGTGCCCCGCCTGGTCCTGCGGCTGCGCGAACATGTGCAGAAACTCCTCTTGGAGTTCTCGAGGGAAATTATCCGTCAGAATCTGAACCTTGTAGTCATCTCCCACTAGCGTGTTCCGTTTCAGCTCGTTGTAAAATCTCGACGCGACGGCCGCGCGTTGCCGGGTCGTCAGGTACGCGGACCGCCGGGTGTACGGCGACTTGGTACGTGGCAAATCCGTGGCCGCTCGTCTCATATTAGAAGCGCCTTCTCTCGTGTCCCCACTGTCCGACCCTTTCTCCCCGTCCATGTTTCCGTGCCCGCTGCCTAGAATCATGCTGTCGCTAACCCTAGAAGACGTGCCGTCGTCATCCTCGCTATGGGGCTGTTTCGCCATAATGGGCAACGAGTACACTCTAACGGTATCTGTGAAAGATGTCGTCGGATCGGATTGGGTGCTGTTCCGAGAGTCTTGCTCCCAGCCGGTCGCGGAGCGCACTGCGGTCGCGGGTTGATCCATGCCCGCGAGCGGTTGTGCTTGAAATTGCGGGGGGATAGCTACGCCTCCTTTGTTAGCGCGACTCGCTTCGTTAGAAGACGGATCTTGAATCACAATACGAGGCTCAGGCGGGGGATTACTAGCATCGGCCGCGGAAACGGCATCATTTGCCGATGCTGCAGCTCCTATAGAGGCATCGTTAGTGGACGACGGTGGTCCTGGAATGTCTGCGGCGCTTTCCCGGTCAGTGACGGAAGGCTGTGTCATTTTGAGCCAGAGACTGGCGTTGTGCCAGAAACGGCTTTTTGCGACGCGAACAAACGTCGAGTACCCTACAATCTATGACGTCCCGCGTATTGAGGTGCTCGCTGGGATCGACTCTTTACGAGAAACATGTACTTCTAATTAGTTATAGGGAAACTCCACGGTTGACAAAAAAAGGACTCGCCGGAGAACCAACAAAGGAAGCATCGACGCAACGAAACGTCGACGCGGGCCTTGCCTCCTTTGCCGGAACCAACCAGCAACGCCGTTTCTTTTAGGTGGTGCCGGTGTACTGTGGCATCAAACTGGGCCTGGTTCGCATGCTCTCTGCGTGTCCGTACGTACAGAACAGAACTAGGGAGTGCTTGCCGTATCAAAAATCTAGGAGCGCTCGGTGTACACTCCGCAGCACGTCACCTCGCACACAGCTTCCATTCCATACATCAAAAATCGAGGAGCACGGCACGGCACAGCACCCAGCACCGCACCTTGGTTGCGCCGTGCCCTGAGGTATCAGAACGGACGCTTCTCCGGCATTGCGCAAGCCAGTGTTCCATCCTAGCCACAGAAGAGTCACAGACTTATCCACGGCTTCTGAGGCTCCCCGAGGATGTCGCCTGAAACTTCAGCTATTGGTGGTTGGCTGCACATTTGTCTTGGCTACAGCAATGTCACATCGAGATTCTACCGACCATTATGCTGGCTATGAGCCACACGGAAGGGGGAGCACTAGCGCAGGGATCCGCGTAGGTGCTGAGCTTTGTAAATGTCAAATCACTTCAGTCGTATAGATATGTATAATTTCTTTCACTTCCATATGAGATAAATATCCACATCTCTATTATTACCAACCAAATGCACTCCTTCAAATTTGCCTCCAAAATATCAATTTTAACAGGCTAGACTACATACTCAGCACAATGGTATCGATACAATCAGGGAGCCTGCTGAACAATTATTTAACCCAGAAGGGTCTTATGGGTTTTCAGTCCATACTAACTAACCACACCCAAATCAGGCAATAAGCCCGTCACAATACATTACAATACAACCAGTTGTACCACCGTGTAGGTACCACCGAACCACCGTTGTACAGAACAACTGTACCCACCATATATAATACAGACAGCATCACACTATGGCATGAGGGATCCAAGTGTCTCCACGACCTGCACACAAAACACACACAATATCTGAAATGCCACTTCCACTGGAAAAAACATATTCCGTTGCAAGAACATGCTAACAACCTCACTATACTCTACACATCAAAGACTTGTCCTCCCTCTCGTCTCCCCCTCTTACCTGTTCCATTGTAGGTCTCTTGGACGGATTTGACTGAGTGCACCGAAGAGCCAGCTCTGCCAATCCTTCCACCTGGACAAGGGGGGGAGGGGGCGATGGAGAGGGGAACAACAAAGGCCATACAATCTGTTTCCATGCTTTCCCTTGCTAACACAACGCTGTGATGAAGCGAAAGCAGAGACTCAAGGCATCAGAACTTATTCCCTCTAACAGGGCTTGACCGATGCTATGGAGCAGGCAGCAAGCAGCAGGCCGCAGGCCGCAGGCAGCAGGCAGCAGGGCCACAGGCAGGCAGCGCACCTCATGAGGGTCGAACTCGTCTGCCAGTCGCGGGTCCACCAGCGCTGCCAGGTTGTCCCGCCCCACCCACAGCTTCTGCCGCGCCTGCCATCGGGAGCCAGAGGGTAGAGGGGCGAAGTGGGGAGATTTGGAGAGGAGAGTTGCTGGGGCCGCAGGGTGGAGGTGAGGGGCAGAGGCGAGGAAAGGGAAGGAGTAGGAAAAAAAAAGATGCGGCAGAGAGGCATGGGGCGGAGGAGGGATAGGGGGGAAGTCGAGGGGGGGGAAAGCACGTGCGAGAGGCAGAGAGCTGCTCACCCAGTCGACGAGGGAGGCCGGCATGCGGCGTGGGTCGTGTGGGTGCTGCCCCGAGATGATTTCAAACACCACCACGCCGAACGCAAACACGTCTGTTGCCTCCATGCCCCCCCGCCCCTTGCCGCCTGTAGCAGTGCCAGGAGGGGAGGAGTTGGCGAAGGGGCTGCGGGACTTGGGGGAGGTGGAGGGGAGCAGCTCTGGGGCGGCATACCTGGTGGGGGGTAGACGTGGGGGGGGAAGGGGCGAAGAGGGAAGGGGAGAATTGGCAAGAAGGGAGAGGCATTGGGTGGGTGATTGACCAAGATGGGTCGGTGCGGAGGATTTAAAATCGCGGCTTGCATAGGGCATATCATATTGAAGAAGCGTTTGTGGAATGTGGAGCGTCATCACAACCATATTCAGTTGGGTTTCACGCCTGTATTGGAAGGCAAGTGCCTGCCTGCAACCGATTCCAGTGCCTTTCTATCAGAGGAGGGAGAAGCATGTAGGTGGCGAGGCACACTCACGCATCAAGGTACGTGTCTTCCGCTGTCCGCTCTTCTGCGCTCCCACTCCCATTCTTCCCACCGCCAGCAGCACTAGCACCACCAGCAGCAGCACCAGCGGCAGCACCAGCAGCGGCGGCGGTGGCGCAAGCAGGCGCATGTGGGGTGAAGTGGGGCATGCCAAAGTCGGAGAGCTTGGGCGACACGTGGCGGTCCATGAGGACTGCGCGCGAGCTCACACGCCCGTGCACCATGGGCGGGTGGCAGAAGGAGTGCAGATGCAGCAAGCCCTCTGCCACGCCCTCCACCACTCGCACTCGTACCTCCCAGGGCAGCACTGGAACTGCCTCGTCTGGAGGAAGGGATGCAGGGAAGAGGAGACGGGTGAGCCTAACACATGCACATGCAGGCTTTTGAGACGTCTCAATAAGCACATGCGCACAAGTGGGTTGGCACCCAAGACACACGTCCTAACCCAACCATGTAGCACACGCAGAGACAATGGGTGTGCAGGAGGTGCGAGAGCGAGGGGAAGGGTGCGGTTGGATACAAGTTTGCCACGCAGCCTGACCCATACGTCCACCACATGCACTCACTATCACATGCACACTCACCGTCGGTGTGCAGGAGGTGCGAGAGCGAGGGGAAGGGGATGTAGTTGAATACGAGCACGCAGTAGTCCGGGCCGATGCTGCACCCCAGCATTGTCGCCAGGTCCGGATGGTGCACCTGCATTGAGAGGAGCGGAGGGGAGGGGGAGGAGGAAGAGGAGGGGACACGAGGAAGCAGTGAAGGTGAGGAGCCGCTTCTGCTGCACCCTCCTCTCCCCTAACCTTCAAGAGCCTTGGCGCCGGCAGCGGTTTGATTTAACCACACCTCTCAATTTACCCTCTCTTCCGTCTGCGTCCTCTCTTCCCTCCCCCTCTCCTCACCTTAGCAAGAGGCTTGGCGCCAGCAACGGTCTGGTTGACCCACGCCTCGCCACTCCCACTCTGCCGCACCACCATCACATCGCTCCCCGCACCCAGCGTGCCCTGATACACCTCCCCCAGGTAGCTCCTCCGCATCCACCTCTGCTTGCTGAAGCCCTTAGTCGCCTCCACCAGGTCATAGTACGAGAACTGCGACTCGTACAGCGGTGCGACTTCTAGCCGCGAATCCTCCGCGTATTCGTCCTCGCCTATATCCACTATCGAGACGGGCTTTCCGGGGATGGCGCCAATGGAGGCAGAGATGGGCATAGCGCCAGAAGCAGCAGAGAGCGCGGAAATAGTCGACGAAGGGGCGGAGGAAGGGGAACGGGAGATGGAGAGAGCGGAGGAGAGGAGAGACGGGGCCACGTCCGCGCGGATCTCGTTCAGGAACCGGAGCACGGAGGCGGAATCGGGGCGTTTCCGCGAGTGCCGCGCCACGCACAGCACCGCGACGCCCGCGAACCGTTTGATCGCGGCCTCGGGAACTCCGTGGTCCATCCGAGGGTCCACAACGGCCGAGACATCCGAGGCGTTGATATGCCGCACCGCCCACTGGATATTGATATACGATTTCCGCGAGGCCTTTTTGGAGTCGTGGGATTCGGCAAGCTGCCCCGTGAGCAGCTCTAGCAGCACGACGCCGAAGGAATAGACGTCGGTGGCGGCGGTGGCGCGCAGAGAGTGGAAGTAGTCCGGGTCCAGGTACCCCGCGCTGTTGCGCACGCGCTTTGCCGTTGGGGTGGAGGGGAGGCCCTTGATTAACCCCACGCTCGTTAGCATGGCCTGATGGTGGGTACAGTGGCGCGGGGAGGGGATGGAGGGAGAAGAAAAGGGAAGAGGCTGTGAGGCGGTGGAAATAGTTGGGGTCTAGGTACCCTGCGCTGTTGCGCACGCGCTTTGCGGTCGGGGCAGCAGGGAGGCCTTTAATTAGCCCCACGCTTGGCCTGGTTGTTGGTTGGGACGGGGTGGAGAATGGGGGGAATGTGAGGTTGTGGAAATCGTTTGGATACAGACTGCTGTGCAAGAGAGAAAAGGGAAAAGGCAGCAAGAAGCCGAGAGCAGCACCCAGTGAGCAGCACTCACGGCGGGCGACCCTGGCAGCAGCAGCACGTTGCTGGAGCACACTTCGCGGTGCAGCAACTGCGGCTGGCAGTCGCGGTGCATGTAAGCCAATGCCTCCGCCACAGCAATCGCCACGTCGAGGCGCTCCAGAAACGTCAGCGCGCGCCCGCCGCCGTCCTCCTCCCCGCCGCGCTCCTCGCGCTGCAGGCGCAGGCGATCCGCGAGCGTGACGCCCTGCCGCATCGCGAACACCAGGATCCGCTCGCGGCGGTCGTCGCACCAGCCTAGCAGCTGTGAAATAGCCGGATGGGACACGTCGCTTAGACGGTCCACCTGGGGGATTGCGGGATGGGGAGGTGGGGGATGGGGGATGGGGGAGGAGGGGGATGGGGCGGGGTGGGCGTCGCACGTCACAAGCCCCGCCAAGGAACGATTGCGGCGCACAGTCTCGCGCCGCTCTCCCCACCTCAAACTCCCCCCACGCACACCCCTCCCCCCCCTCCCCCCCCCCCCCCCCCGGCATCCTCCCCACACTCTCCAGTTTCCAGCCCCCAGCGCGCGCACCCCTCTAGATTTCTCCCCGCCCTCCCCGCGCGCGCACCTCTCGGCGGAACGCGCGGCCGTTCTCCCCGGAAGACGTGCCGCGCACGACGAGCCAGTCCTCCCCCTTGGGCCCCACGCACGCGTACGCTTCGCCGAAATCCCCCGCGCCCACCTGCGCGCGGCGGAGTAGCACGGAGCGCGAGAGGAGAGAGGGGGGTGGTGGGAGGTGGGAGAGAAAGGGGAAGAGGCGAGGGGGATGTTAGCACGGGGAATGATAAAGGTGAGCACGACAGAACACCTTAGCAGGCAAGTATTGTGAAAGAAGGACGCACCTTGAGCGATGCGTTGAAATCCGACGTGGCTTGTAGCACCGGCAGCAGCGCGAGCTTCTGCGCCTTGCGCTTCTCCGCGCATGGCGGCTTCCGTGGAGCGCACAGGCTCCACAAGATGATCCCCGCGATGAGCGCGAGGCACGCCGCCGCCGCCACCAGTGCTACCAGCACCGGCACGCTCGCGAGCGGACTGGCGCCGCCGCTCGCGCTGCCTGGAGCAGGGAAAGGGTCGGCGCAGGCAGCGGAGACGCGGAGAAGCGGGGAGGAGAAGGAACGGAGTGGGGGAGAAGAGGAGAAGAAGCGGGGAAGCGGAGCGAGGGAGTTTGGGAAGGAAGAAGCGTGAGGGCAAAACGAGATGACTAGCGAGTGCTGTAAAGAAGGGCAAAGTGTGTCTGGATGATGCGGCGCGGCGCCTCCACCGGGTTCGTTTGCAACGGCTACACGGGGATGGGTTGATGTGGAGAAGCTGACGCGTACCTAGAAATCGTCGCGGTATACTGGTCGTGGCGAGTAGTAGCGACCCATATGCACCCGTGTTAGCCGGTGCTTCACCTGTCGCGTCGCCTGCGAGCGGGGACGGTTCGGAAAGGAAGAGGGGACGGACGAGAAGTGAGTCGCGGCGAGTCTCGTCTGTTTGACGCTGGAAGCGCCGCGGGATGCGTCGCGGAATGCTCGCTTAATTCGCAGCGCGACAAGCGACAAATAAACCCCCAACTGCGCGTGTGACAGAGAGGCTCATAACAGACGCATAAACGTCGGTCGATACGCTGAATTCATACGCTTCGCTTTTCGGAACAGCGGCTGCTGCACACTACTGCGGATAAGGGTGTACTATGTCGTCGGCAGTAATCTTCGAGATCTTCAACCTTGGCGATCTCAATGAAAGCGATCCCGCGACCTCGATTGACTGCTGATGCGGCTGAAGAGCCACATGAATGCGAAATCGAAACTGTTCATTGCTACTCGAGTGATAGTGTCAAGGTACAAATCCGTACTGTCGTAACCCTCTAAGAGGGTTCACAGTCATTCTGTACCTCCTACGGAGCGGCACTCAAGCATCGTCAACCAAAGCAAAGACAACGAGGTTCGTCGCTTTGTACTTTCTACGAAATCTGACGAAGTTCCACAAAAGAGTCGTTCGGAAGAAGCTGTCACCGCTAAGAACCGTACCGCTGTGAGCGGCGGCGAGAAGTAAAGCTTCTGATGCAACGAGGCAGACGAAAACAGGGAGAGCGATCGAGGAGATTAACCGACGCCGGGCGGCCATTCTCGCCCGTGGAACCTTCATCTAACCGCCACGATACCCTAAGACACACCCAGACTGTCGAATATCAGAGGCAACTTCAAGACTAGATTCATTAGAGAGGATTACTGACTCGAAGCCGACGTAGTCAGAGAGCACGGAGTAGCAATAAGATGAAGAGGAAAGGGGCGGTGAGAAGGATGGTTTTCCAGGCGGAGATGGATGGCAAGCTCAAGAAGACGACATGAAGAAAGACCTGATAGCATGAAGAGAAACCTGCGGGCAAAGGAGGGATGGCGCGAAACGCGATAATCAGGTGATTTCAAGATTCGAAGGCAGGGACAGATCCAGCCACCGACGGAGGATAGCGGTCATTTTCGACGATGTAGTGTGCGATTCTTAACGACGGGTTTGCACGAATGTGGATACCCGATGGGAACATCGACGGGGGACGTTGCTATTGCCCGTGACAACTGTCGTTGACATGAATGAGCGAGCCTTGTGCGACGATGTGGCACCACTCAGCACGCTGGGGCACTTCAGCACACCGCCAAAACTCTTGACCTTCGAAAAATTGCGACTGTGTCCAGGGTCCCCGCTCGTGGTTGAGTACAGTTCTGTACTTTCTCGGACAATCTCCTTCCTCATTTAGCGCCACACATTGCGGTCAATGGATTTGTTTTTGCCTCTGATCAAAGCGCAGGTGACACGCAAAGGTGTACAGAACAGCCGTGCCTGCCGTACATTTGTGCGCCTCGCTGTTACTGGTTGGCGGGAAGTACAGTAACACCCTGATCTTGCACCTTGGGTTGATTCAGGGCGAGGCATTCTTTCCTATGCATTGCGATTTAGCTGTTATCGACGGCATACGGTATGGCGAATACATTATGAGATATGTAATATACAATAAAAGACAGGGTAAAAACACCAGCATAGCCTCGTGATGTATTGCAGATTATTTATGAGTTGGCCAGAATGTTTCACATACGAATGAACATACTGTTCATAATTTCAGGGATGACTGAATTGGAGAATTTTGATAAGCAACAAAGAAGATAAAGAATCAGTCAACAAACTAACAAGTCTACACCCTAGCCCGCAGTTTCCGACACCCTCAGTCTACAACCATAGCAACCCATCTGATTCTACCCACAGCCATCGCCCAAACAACCCACATCCCATCCACAAGTACCGGTACCCAATCCTCTCACAGCCACCGGTACACCGACTACAAACCCTCACAAACTGCCCACTACATACATACCACTCCACCCAGCCGCATCGCACCCACCCATCTCCAACCACAAAACACCCATCAACCTACCCATCCCCAACCAAAAAAACACCCATCAACCCACCCATCCCAACCACAACTCCAACCCAACCACAACCACCCACCCACAGCCTCAAATCCACATCCTCCATCCACACCGTACCATTCACCACCCAACCAGGCACCTCCCAACTCATCCACCACCGGCCCACAAACCCCCAACCACCCACTCCCCAACACCTACGGTACCATTAACCCACAACCACCCAGAAACCATACACAAAAACCCCACCCACCTACCCATATCCAGCAACCCAGCCACCTAACCACAACCGCCCAGTCACCCCCAGTCACCCACCCACCCACCAACCCAAAACTACCCACCTGATACACCACCCACCACCCACATCCACCCACCTTCAGCACCCAGTCGCCAACCGCACTCACACACACACATTCACACACATCCCACAATAACCCACCCAACCCCAACCACCCCTCCTTCGGCCCTGACTCAACTTACCCTGCGAGATTTAAGACGCCCGTTGCCCCCCACTCATCTCCATGCACCCCTGGCCTTGCTCCTAGCCGCCACTCACCCAATCCCCAATGCACCCACTCACTCACCCACTTAACGACACACCTACAACCACCCACCCACCAACTCCAAGCACCCAATGCTTACACCCAACACCCAACGACCCACGTGCCCGCCCACCCATATATCCACAACCAACCATCCACAACACCCTACCCAACCACACCCAGCAATCGAGCCACAAACACCCACCCACCCAACCTCAATCACCCAGCAAACCACCTAATCAAATCGCCCAAGCCCAAACACCCCCGTCCATTCCCCAAAACCCACCCACCTACAAACAACCAGCCACCCACACTCACCCTCCCATCCCCAACCGCTCATCTACCCAGAACCAGCCATCCACACCATCCAGCAGTCCTCCAACCTAACCCACAACCACCCAGACCCAGTCTCCCACCCAGCCACGACTCACCTACCCACAATCAACCCTCCAACACCCTCAACCATCCACTCCCAACAAATTACCCACCTAGCCAGGACCATCCACTCACAATAACCACCACCCATCCACACTCACCCACCTACCTTCCCACCACCCCAACCTACCCACCACCCCTCCAGTCACCTACCCTTAACCACCCACCACCCACAACCCAGCCACCCACCTACCCATCCCTCTCTCCCACTCACTCAACTAAGGGAGATAAGCCCCCACCCCTCACACTTCTTACAAACACACCTCTGCGGTGCTAAGCGGTGCATGGCAGTGCGTGGGGGGGCGAGGCGGTGCGTGGGGGCCCGAGGCGGTGCGTGGCAGTGCGAGGCAGTGAGAGGCGGTGCGGTACTTGGCAGTGTGAGGTGGTGCGTGGTGGTGCGAGGAGGTGCGTGGTGGTGCGTGGCGGTGTGTGGGGAAGGCATGGAACTAACCAGCTGCAGCTCAGACTCCACATGCTCTCCCTTGCACTGCCCTTTGTTGCTTCTGCTGCCGTCGCTGCTTCAGTTCGCCTGCAGAGAAGCAGGTTGCAGAAAGGGGAAAAGGACAAGGGGGGTTGAGAAGGAGTAAGGGAGGAGATTGCAGGTACATGAAGCAGGCAGGTAGCAGAATAACAACAGAAGAGAAAGCTAGGCCAGAGGCGAAGCTGTGCGGTGCCGTGGCGTGCAGTGCGGTTCCGGCGGTGCGCTGCGGTGCCTTGCGGTGCGCTGTGGTGCGCTGCTATGCCGTGCGGTGCCGTGCGGTGTGCTGCCGATCCGTGCGGTGGGCTGCCGTGCTGTGCGGTGCGCTGCAGTGCCGTGCGGTGCGGTGTCGTGCTGTTCGCTGCGGTGCCGTGCCGTTCGCCGCGGTGCCGTGCACTGCGCTGTGGTGCCGTGCGGTTCCGTGCGGTGTCCTGCGGTGCGCTGCGGTGCCGTGCGGTGCGCTGCGGTGCCGTGTTGTGCGCTGCAGTGCGTGCGGTGTGCTGCAGTGCATTGCGGTGCCGTGCGGTGTGCTGCGGTGCCATGTGGTGCGCTGCGGTGCGCTGCAATGCCGTGCGGAGACCTGCGGTGCAGTGCGGTGCGCTGCGGTGCGATGCAGTGCAGTGCGGTGCAATGTGGTGCAGTGGGACTGATAGGGGGGACTGTGATAGGTGGGACTGATAGGTGGGACTGATAGGTGGGACTGATAGGTGGGACCGATAGGTGGGACCGATAGGTGGGACTGATAGATGGGACTGATAGGTGGGACTGATAGGTGGGACTGATAGGTGGGACTGATAGGTGGGACTGTGATAGGTGGGACTGATAGGTGGGACTGATAGGTGGGACTGATAGGTGGGACTGATAGGTGGGACCGATAGGTGGGACCGATAGGTGGGACTGATAGATGGGACTGATAGGTGGGACTGATAGGTGGGACTGATAGGTGGGACTGATAGGTGGGACTGATAGGGTGGGACTGATTGGTGGGACTGATTGGTGGGACTGATTGGTGGGACTGATAGGTGGGACTGATAGGTGGGACGGATAGGTGGGACTGATAGGTGGGACTGATAGGTGGGACTGATAGGTGGGGCTGATAGGTGGGACTGATAGGTGGGACTGATAGGTGGGACTGATAGGTGGGACTGATAGGTGGGACTGATAGGTGGGACTGATAGGTGGGACTGATAGGTGGGACTGATAGGTGGGACTGATAGGTGGGACTGATAGGTGGGACTGATAGGTGGGACTGATAGGTGGGACTGATAGGTGGGACTGATAGGTGGGACTGATAGGTGGGACTGATAGGTGGGACTGATAGGTGGGACTGATAGGTGGGACTGATAGGTGGGACTGATAGGTGGGACTGATAGGTGGGACTGATAGGTGGGACTGATAGGTGGGACTGATAGGTGGGACTGATAGGTGGGACTGATAGGTGGGACTGATAGGTGGGACTGATAGGTGGGACTGATAGGTGGGACTGATAGGTGGGACTGATAGGTGGGACTGATAGGTGGGACTGATAGGTGGGACTGATAGGTGGGACTGATAGGTGGGACTGATAGGTGGGACTGATAGGTGGGACTGATAGGTGGGACTGATTGGTGGGACTGATAGGTGGGACTGATAGGTGGGACTGATAGGTGGGACTGATAGGTGGGACTGATAGGTGGGACTGATAGGTGGGACTGATAGGTGGGACTGATAGGTGGGACTGATAGGTGGGACTGATAGGTGGGACTGATAGGTGGGACTGATAGGTGGGACTGATAGGTGGGACTGATAGGTGGGACTGATAGGTGGGACTGATAGGTGGGACTGATAGGTGGGACTGATAGGTGGGACTGATAGGTGGGACTGATTGGTGGGACTGATTGGTTGGACTGATAGGTGGGGCTGATAGGTGGGACTGATAGGTGGGACTGATAGGTGGGACTGATAGGTGGGGCTGATAGGTGGGACTGATAGGTGGGGCTGATTTGTGGGGCTGATTTGTGGGACTGATAGGTAGGACTGATAGGTGGGACTGATAGGTGGGACTGATAGGTGGGACTGATAGGTGGGACTGATAGATGGGACTGACAGGTGGGACTGACAGGTGGGACTGATTGGTGGGACTGATTGGTGGGACTGATAGGTGGGACTGATTGGTGGGACTGAGAGGTGGGACTGATAGGTGGGACTGATAGGTGGGACTGATAGGTGGGACTGATAGGTGGGACTGATTGGTGGGACTGATTGGTGGGACTGATTGGTGGGACTGATAGGTGGGACTGATAGGTGGGACTGACAGGTGGGACTGATTGGTGGGACTGATTGGTGGGACTGATAGGTGGGACTGATAGGTGGGACTGATAGGTGGGGCTGATTTGTGGGGCTGATTTGTGGGACTGATAGGTAGGACTGATAGGTGGGACTGATAGGTGGGACTGATAGGTGGGACTGATAGGTGGGACTGACAGATGGGACTGACAGGTGGGACTGACAGGTGGGACTGATTGGTGGGACTGATTGGTGGGACTGATAGGTGGGACTGATTGGTGGGACTGATAGGTGGGACTGATAGGTGGGACTGATTGGTGGGACTGATAGGTGGGACTGATAGGTGGGACTGATTGGTGGGACTGATTGGTGGGACTGATAGGTGGGACTGATAGGTGGGACTGATAGGTGGGACTGATAGGTGGGACTGATAGGTGGGACTGATAGGTGGGACTGATAGGTGGGACTGATAGGTGGGACTGATAGGTGGGACTGATAGGTGGGGCTGATAGGTGGGACTGATTGGTGGGACTGATTGGTGGGACTGATAGGTGGGACTGATAGGTGGGACTGATCGGTGGGACTGATAGCTGGGACTGATCGGTGGGACTGATCGGTGGGACTGATCGGTGGGACTGATTGGTGGGACTGATTGGTGGGACTGATAGGTGGGGCTGATAGGTGGGACTGATTGGTGGGACTGATAGGTGGGACTGATAGGTGGGACTGATAGGTGGGACTGATAGGTGGGACTGATAGGTGGGACTGATAGGTGGGACTGATCGGTGGGACTGATCGGTGGGACTGATCGGTGGGACTGATCGGTGGGACTGATCGGTGGGACTGATCGGTGGGACTGATTGGTGGGACTGACAGGTGGGACTGATAGGTGGGACTGATAGGTGGGACTGATAGGTGGGACTGATAGGTGGGACTGATCGGTGGGACTGATCGGTGGGACTGATAGGTGGGACTGATCGGTGGGACTGATTGGTGGGACTGATAGGTGGGACTGATAGGTGGGACTGATAGGTGGGACTGATAGGTGGGACTGATAGGTGGGACTGATAGGTGGGACTGATAGGTGGGGCTGATAGGTGGGACTGATTGGTGGGACTGATAGGTGGGACTGATAGGTGGGACTGATAGGTGGGACTGATCGGTGGGACTGATAGCTGGGACTGATCGGTGGGACTGATCGGTGGGACTGATCGGTGGGACTGATTGGTGGGACTGATTGGTGGGACTGATAGGTGGGGCTGATAGGTGGGACTGATTGGTGGGACTGATAGGTGGGACTGATAGGTGGGACTGATAGGTGGGACTGATAGGTGGGACTGATAGGTGGGACTGACTGATCGGTGGGACTGATCGGTGGGACTGATCGGTGGGACTGATCGGTGGGACTGATCGGTGGGACTGATCGGTGGGACTGATCGGTGGGACTGATTGGTGGGACTGACAGGTGGGACTGATAGGTGGGACTGATAGGTGGGACTGATAGGTGGGACTGATAGGTGGGACTGATCGGTGGGACTGATCGGTGGGACTGATAGGTGGGACTGATCGGTGGGACTGATTGGTGGGACTGATAGGTGGGACTGATAGGTGGGACTGATAGGTGGGACTGATAGGTGGGACTGATAGGTGGGACTGATAGGTGGGACTGATAGGTGGGACTGATAGGTGGGACTGATAGGTGGGACTGATAGGTGGGACTGATAGGTAGCCTCACCGGTGCAGCATGAGTGGAGTGGTAGGTGATTCAAAACAGCAGAGGTGGAAGAATGGATGGTGGCATCCACGTAGCGGCATATATCCAATCCAGAAGGAGGCATAGGCATCTTACCAAAGTGTAGGTGCGGGCAGGGCAGTGCTCCTCCCTCCCGTCTCCCTTTCCCTCCCTCCATCTGGGAAGTTGGGAAGTTGGGGATTTGGGGATTTGGGATTTGCATGCACTTCCTTCAACCTGGGACAAAGTACTGGGTATGGGAGAGATGACACCTAAAGGGAGGCAACACAAGAAATGAGCCTAGAACGAGGACCGGTACCATAGCAAGTGACAAACATAGCATTTAAAAAAACACAGTGCAGGAATCACAGCGAGGACAAAAGTCAGTCATGGAAATGGAAAGCAAAAAGGATGTGAAGAGAAGCGAAGGTGGAACAAGTCGAGAATGGACTTGAGCGACATGGATAACGAGGAGAAGAAGTGACGAGCAGCAAGCAGGGAGACTTACGTTGCCCTGGCCTGTAGCCCCCCCTCTCGCCTCTTCTCAGTCAATGCTGTCGTTGAACTGACAATCATTCCACGGTGTGATGCCGCTGCTGTAAGAGGAGCAGAAGATAGGAGGGCAGCAGAAGAGAAGAGCGCAGCAGAAGAGAGGCGGGCAGCAGAGCATGAGAACGGATTGAAGTTGTTCATTCAGATCAATGGAAGCAGAAGAATGTGTGAAAGGAGAGACGAGTGATTACAGCATGAAGAGGAAGAGGGACGAACGGGCAAGGGTGGAAGACGCGGAGTGCAAGAGAAGGGGGCATGACGAATGTCACCATGAGAAAAAGAGGGGTCAATCGCTCTGTCCCTTGCTCGTATTCCCTTTGAACGCTGCTCCTATGATGGCCACTCCTGTCAGAGAAGGGCAGGAGGGAAGAAGATAGAGAGGTGAACCAGAATATAGAAAAACAACAAAAAGACAGGACGACAAGCAAAGATAAAGGGCTGACGGGAGCCCAACAACAGCAATGGAATGGAACAGAATGGGACAGCTGGAAGAAAAGGAAAAGAAAGTAGGTCAGGAAGTCATACCACGAAAAATCCCAGTTGATTTTGTACCTACAGGCAGTAGCAACACCACAGCACTCCGCTCATCCTTCAGCTGCAACTGCGCCCTTCTCTTGCCGTTGCTTTCTTGAGTTGCATCTCTCTCATTTTGTTGCTTCTGCTCCGTTGGCCTACTGGGATGGGAGGGGCGGAAGCACAGAGAGGGAAGGCACAAGTGGATTACGCTGAGAGAGGGAGTGAGTGGGTACATGAGAGGCACAAGGCGGCAGCAAGCGACGAATGCATGAGTGCGGAACGATAGGCACACGACACAACAAGGACGGATGAATGAATGATTGAGGGTTGCAGTTCTTTGAGTATCCACCTTGGAATTGAGGGTGTGGTGGCAGTGGCCCACTGTGCGTCATCCCACTGCCCTCCCTCCTCCTCCCCTGGGACAAGGAAATGCGTTTGGGAGAGAAGCTAGAGCAGAAGGAGATTAAAATCCTGGTTAGCATTGGAACAAGTGCAAAAATGCGGAGACAAAAATGAAAACGAGGGTACATATTGTGACAAAGAAGAAGAGACAAAACAAACAAAAACAACCACTCTTGGCACCAGGAAAACAAAAAGCGGTGGTAGCACACAGCACTTCGGCGGCGAGCTCGCATGCGAGGGTGGACTAGGGGTAAGAAAGAGACGCGAGCATGAGTATGAATGCATTCTAGCCCCCTACAACTCTAGTATGAGCTCAAGCCGCCCCAGTGCCATGCGCTACCATCGCCAAACGCCGCTCATCTCTCACTCAACTTTTGATCGCTCCGTTTCGAAAATGGGCTCATTTGTTTCGAGCACGCGGGGACGGAAGAATGCGGTACAAAAGTGGGCAATGGGCAACGACTACGGTTAACCCTAAAAGGTTACTGGTTCGCGTCACGAGACACAGCCATGGATTGAAACGTTCAATGATCTCCGTCTTGACGACCTTGAGATAAACAGATATGAAGGTTACGAAGACTAAAACTACTAATGAGGACCAGTAATGGTTTGTAACAAAATGGCGACAGCCATAGATTTCAGATTAGCGATCTTATCCTCGAGTACTCTATGACTAAACTGCCGTGATCATGGTTAGAAGGAATCGCATTCAGGGAAGGTGGAGAATGGACTTTCAGGAAGGAGAAAGGCGTCCATCAGCAAGAAACGTCGGGTTCGTGGTGAAATCCAGGGGATCTAGACGGATACAGAGTGGTGAAGAAGGATTCACAGAATCGAGGATCTATTCTCCCTGCTCTTGTGCAGGCCGCCGCACCGTCGGCAGAAAGTGGCAATTTCGTAAGCGGAGCATTCTACTCGCGTTCCCGTGGATTGAATGGAGCATGGCGGTCCCAGAGCTTACCGTTTACGCGGGAATTGTGTGTCAGAAGCGCATGCCCCTGACACAACGCCATGATGTCATGTTATACGCCATCGCTCATGACATGACGGATGCAGAAGCTAATAACGGGATAGAGATATATATTTGATTAACTTTCTAGAAGCTAACTAACTCTGACAATTTGTACGTTATTCCAGATGGTAATCAATACAATGCACAGTAGAATTCTGAAACACAAGTCGTTGCAAGTAATTGCCTATAGTCATTGCCTTATTTGAGGTCTAGCAAAAAGTATGGCACAATCAATTCTTTACATCCATGCACCACCACGTGTGCATCCAATACAGGTTTGACACCACCACCCTTAACACTCCTCTTTGCTCCCTTGCCCAACATGATATCCTCCCCTTCTCCTAAGCCTACCAGATTTTACCACCCACACCCAACCCAGCTACGTAACCACACCAAATCATTCACCCAACCCAACATTTAACACCCTTCATCCCTCCACCAACCCACACCCACGAACCTACCCACCTACACACAACCACCCACATACAGCGCCCTGCCACTTCCACCGACCCACCCACACCCATCCGAAACCACCCAACACCCATCCAACCCAGACATCCAACCTCCATCCCTCCTACCACCCAACCAACCCACACGACACACCCAATAAGCACACACACATGCACTCACTCATGCTGCACACATGGTGATCGCACACCCACATCCATTATGCACGCATGCACACGCGGAGGAGACTGTAAGCCACCCCTCAGGTGTGACATGTCAGCCAGCCACAGATCGACTCCCGGGACTTTCCAAGTCTGCGGAGCCTGGTGGTCTTTAATGCACCTCACCTGCCCCCACCTGGTGGTGGTCACCAGGTCCCAACTACCCCACTTACCTTCCAACCGTCCACACCTGTGCACCCACACATGCTCCCCCATCCCCCAACCATAACCACCCATCCCAAATACCCACCATTCACCCACAACCACCCGCCCACCAACCAACCTCAAGTCCCCACACCACCCACCCACACCCAACAACGTTGCTCACCTACCCACAACCACCCACCTTCACCACCAAACCACCACCCACACTCACGCACCCACAACCCATCCAAAACCACCCAGCACCCGCCCAACCCAATCACCCACCACCCCACACACCCATCAACACCACCAGCACACCAAATCCCACCAACCTGAACACAAGTGCCCCACCCACTACCAACCAACACCCATCCACAACCAGCCACCCCTATCAACCGGCCTACCCGCCCCACTCTCACAACTATTTACTCACGAACACACACCTCCCAGCTCAACTCCCTACCCACCCATTCCAAGTAACCCTCCCACCTATCCACCACCGCTCACAAGAAGTAACCACCTATGACTCCTCACCCCATCCATACCAAAAAACCCACCCAACTCCCTACACCCACCCACCAGAACCACCCATGGACCATCCAACCACAAACCTCCCACACATATCCGACAACCCACCCACGCTCACCCACAAACCTTGGGGGATTCAGGCCCCCACCATTGCCCTACACTCCACTCCACTCGCCCTCTCACTCCACTTACCCTGGGGGATTCAGGCCCCCACTTTTGCCCCTCACTCAACTCACCATGGGGTTTCAGTCACCCCTTTCTTCTCGCCCTCTCACTCCACTTACCAAAGCCCTGGAGGATTCAGCCCCTTCTCTTCCACTGACCCACCCAAGGGGTTTCAGCCCCTTCTCTTTCACTCACCCACCCAAGGGATTTCAGCCCCTTCTCTTTCACTCACCCACCCAAGGGATTTCAGCCCCTTCTCTTTCACTCACCCACCCAAGGGGTTTCAGCCCCTTCCCTTTCACTCACCCACCCAAGGGGTTTCAGCCCCTTCTCTTTCACTCACCCACCCAAGGGGCTTCAGCCCCTCCTTACCTTCACTTGCAGCAGTAGGAGCAGCAGACAGCCCACTTCCTTAAAAAACAGCACTCTCAGGGGCTGCGCCTTGTGGGGCAAAGTGTGGTAGTGAAAAATCGCTTCCTGCACAAGACTCAAATCCCACCCCCGACGTAGCTAGAGCTGACGCGAACCAGAGCCGCCGGCCGGTCGGCTCTGACGGTGTCCATTAAGCTTTGAACGCCAGTTCGGTTACTTGAGCACCGAGTGCCGTGACGCGTAGATTCCATCCACCACACCCCACCCACAAGACACAACACCAGAGGACGCTGCCCCTAAGGCAGTGACCTGACTGCATGCTGCCATGCTCCCCCCCACCCAACCCCCCTTACACTCACCCCCATGCCTCCTTACCTCTACTTACCTGTACTTACCACAGCCGTGCAGAGCGCCATGATGCTGAGGCTGCTGGGAAGTGGAAGGGGGGGGGATAGGGGAGGGCGGGACTCCACTGTGGTCCAGGAAAAGAGCTGCTGGGAAGGAAGGAAAAAGGGAGAGAGGGGGAGGTGAGTGAGAGGATGGACTCCACATTCCTCCCCTTGCTCCAGTGCTCCCATACTATGCCTGTAGGGGTGATGGGGTTGAGAGAGAGGAGAGAGGATCAGATCACCATACCTCACCTCTTACCATACCATACCACACCTGTACCAGACCTCGCCTCACCCACAACTACACCTAGCCTAGCCTGCCCCCTAGCCCCCAGCCCCGGTGATGGAAAGTGGGATAATGGGGCGGGTGATGGAAAGCGGGAGAATGGGGCGGGGTGATGGAAAGAGGGAGAATGGGGCAGGGTGATGGAAAGCGGGAGAATGGGGCGGGGTGCTGGAAAGCGGGAGAATGGGGCGGGGTGATGGAAAGCGGGAGAATTGAGCGGGGTGATGGAAAGCGGGAGAATGGGGCGGGGTGATGGAAAGCGGGAGAATGGGGCGGGGTTATGGAAAGAGGGAGAATGGGGCGGGGTGATGGAAAGCGGGAGAATGGGGCGGGGTGATGGAAAGCGGGAGAATGAGGTGGGGTGATGGAAAGAGGGAGAATGGGGCGGGGTGATGGAGAGCGGGAGAATGGGGCAGGGTGATGGAAAGCGGGAGAATGGGGCGGGGTGATGGAAAGCGGGAGAATCGGGCGGGGTGATGGAAAGCGGGAGAATGGGGCGGGGTGATGGAAAGCGGGAGAATCGTGCGGGGTGATGGAAAGCGGGAGAATGGGGCGGGGTGCTGGAAAGCCGGAGAATGGGGCGGGGTGATGGAAAGCGGGAGAATGGGGGGGGGGGGGGGTGCTGGAAAGCGGGAGAATGGGGCGGGGTGATGGAAAGCGGGAGAATGGGGCGGGGTGATGGAAAGCGGGAGAATGAGGCGGGGTGCTGGAAAGCGGGAGAATGGGGCGAGGTGATGGAAAGTGGGAGAATGTGGCGGGGTGCTGGAAAGCGGGAGAATGGGGCGGGGTGATGGAAAGAGGGAGAATGGGGCGGGGTGATGGAAAGCGTGAGAATGGGGCGGGGTGATGGAAAGCGGGAGAATGGGGCGGGGTGATGGAAAGCGGGAGAATGGGGCCGGGTGATGGAAAGCGGGAGAATGGGGCGGGGTGATGGAAAGCGGGAGAATGGGGCGGGGTGATGGAAAGCGGGAGAATCGGGTGGGGTGATGGAAAGCGGGAGAATGGGGCGGGGTGCTGGAAAGCGGGAGAATGGGGCGGGGTGCTGGAAAGCAGGAAAATGGGGCGGGGTGCTGGAAAGCGGGAGAATGGGGCGGGGTGATGGAAAGCGGGAGAATGGGGCGGGGTGATGGAAAGCGGGAGAATGGGACGGGGTGATGGAAAGCGGGAGAATGGGACGGGGTGATGGAAAGCGGGAGAATGGGGCGGGGTGATGGAAAGCGGGAGAATTGAGCGGGGTGATGGAAAGCGGGAGAATGGGGCGGGGTGATGGAAAGCGGGAGAATGGGGCGGGGTTATGGAAAGAGGGAGAATGGGGCGGGGTGATGGAAAGCGGGAGAATGGGGCGGGGTGATGGAAAGCGGGAGAATGAGGCGGGGTGATGGAAAGAGGGAGAATGGGGCGGGGTGATGGAGAGCGGGAGAATGGGGCAGGGTGATGGAAAGCGGGAGAATGGGGCGGGGTGATGGAAAGCGGGAGAATCGGGCGGGGTGATGGAAAGCGGGAGAATGGGGCGCGGTGATGGAAAGCGGGAGAATCGGGCGGGGTGATGGAAAGCGGGAGAATGGGGCGGGGTGCTGGAAAGCCGGAGAATGGGGCGGGGTGATGGAAAGCGGGAGAATGGGGGGGGGGGGGGGGGTGCTGGAAAGCGGGAGAATGGGGCGTGGTGATGGAAAGCGGGAGAATGGGGCGGGGTGATGGAAAGCGGGAGAATGAGGCGGGGTGCTGGAAAGCGGGAGAATGGGGCGAGGTGATGGAAAGCGGGAGAATGTGGCGGGGTGCTGGAAAGCGGGAGAATGGGGCGGGGTGATGGAAAGAGGGAGAATGGGGCGGGGTGATGGAAAGCGTGAGAATGGGGCGGGGTGATGGAAAGCGGGAGAATGGGGCGGGGTGATGGAAAGCGGGAGAATGGGGCCGGGTGATGGAAAGCGGGAGAATGGGGCGGGGTGATGGAAAGCGGGAGAATGGGGCGGGGTGATGGAAAGCGGGAGAATCGGGTGGGGTGATGGAAAGCGGGAGAATGGGGCGGGGTGCTGGAAAGCGGGAGAATGGGGCGGGGTGCTGGAAAGCGGGAAAATGGGGCGGGGTGCTGGAAAGCGGGAGAATGGGGCGGGGTGATGGAAAGCGGGAGAATGGGGCGGGGTGATGGAAAGCGGGAGAATGGGACGGGGTGATGGAAAGCGGGAGAATGGGGCGGGGTTATGGAAAGAGGGAGAATGGGGCGGGGTGATGGAAATAGGGAGAATGGGGCGGGGTGATGGAAAGAGGTAGAATGGGGCGGGTTGATGGAAAACGGGAGAATGGGGCAGGGTGATGGAAAGCGGGAGAATGGGGCGGCGTGATGGAAGGAGGGAGAATGGGGCGGGGTGATAGAAGGAGGGAGAATGGGGCGGGGTGATGGAAAGCGGGAGAATGGGGCGGGGTGATGGAAAGCGGGAGAATGGGGCGGGGTGATGGAAAGCGGGAGAATGGGGCGGGGTGATGGAAAGCGGGAGAATGGGGCGGGGTGATGGAAAGCGGGAGAATGGGGCGGGGTGATGGAAATGTTGGTGCAACCCTACGGTTTGCACTCGGCTTGTTGTCCGTGTGCGTGAATGTGTGTGTGTATGGAATGGTATAAGGGCATGGGATAATATATATTTCATGCTTATAATTGTGTGTGAATGTTGAGTCATGATGTCGAGTGTGTGTGTGGAGTCAATAGCGAGTTATCGCTAGACGCGTGTTACGCGGTCGTTTGTGTCTCGCGCGCGGTTTCTATTTTGTCGTGCGCGGTTTCTATTTTGTCCTGTGTCGAACGTTCGGCGTGTCGCAGGTGTGTGCAGAAGACCCATCAAGAACTCAAGGATGAGTTTGTGATGAAGAGCCCGAGCCTTGGTGTCAAGCCTCAAGTGATTCCGAAGCTCGCCAAAAGGGTGCACCTCAAGATATTGAAGATAGTTACATTACTTTGTGTAGTGTAACATTTCACTTGGTGTAGGCCCTAGTGAAGGGTAGTTTCGAGACCCTTCGTGGTTGGGGACAGTGTGGCACTGTTCCACATCACTGTACCTCGGCTCTTGGGGTTTGTAGGAGCTGGGAGTCATTCCCAACTCGTAACTCTTCCTATCTTGTGTTCTAAGACTATAGTGGCTGCCATAGTACCGTTCGTTCAAACCGACGCTGTGTCGTCAATTCTTCATCAAATCGTGCAATCTAAATTGCTAATTGTAGACGACGTGAAGACGCTCCAGATCCAATTTGAATCAAGTCATTTGCAGCTGTGAGCAGAACGCTATCAACGTTTGAAGCCGCTGTGCAGAAATCCATCTGTGCTCTCTATCTTTCGTTTTAGGCACATTCAAGCCTATTGTGACTATAACAAGTGGTATCAGAGCCCTTGGAGCAGTTTCGACAATTTCTGGACCTGAGGAAAGGGGTGGCAGAGGTGCTGGTGGCAGTGGAGAAGCTCAAGCTCAAGGCCAACCCCGTGATTCAGCCATGGCGCCCATGCAACCAAGTCTTGGCCCACCTAGGGATGAGCCTAGGGTGTTTGGGCTTGACAAGTTCAACGGTGACAACTTTGCTGAATGGTCCTTCAAGATGGAGAACATCTTTGACCACTATGACCTGCTGGAGGTGATGGAAGGAACGGAGAAGCGCCCCGAGAACGACCCGGAGAAGAGCCCGTGGGTGCGGAAGAGCGCACAAGGCTATCTCTTACTTGGGCAAGCGTTGGGGAGCAGTCAGATCCGTCACATCAAGCCATTCCAGCGTGAACCAGAGAAAGGACCAAAGGCATGGGCTGCTCTCAAGGGTGTACATGCTCCTGCAACAGCGGCGGTAGCGGTGGTGTTGGAACGGCAAATGGCGGCACTACGAATTGAAGAAGACGAAGCGGTTGAAGAAGGGGTGCAGAAATTCTTCGACTTGTTGACGCGGCTTGAGGGAGCTGATTTGAACTACAGTGAGCTCCAAAAGAAGACCAAGTTGCTGGCCTTACTCCCAGAGTCATGGTCCTCGCTCATCATCAACCTTAATCGCGACTTGCCCCGCCTCTCGCTTGAAGACGTGAAGCGAGCTATCCTTCAAGAGGATTTCCGCCGCCGTGAGTTGGCGAGTGCGGATGGCGCTGGGGCAGCGAGCATCGGCCGTGGATATGGTCGAGGAAGAGGCAGAGGACGGGGGGGAGGAAGGTTTGGTGGCAGCAACTTCGGCGGAGGCCGCAGGAGTGGCGGTTACGGCAGCGACGACAAGAGCTACGGACGCGGTCGCGGCCGATTCGACGGCGAGTGTCACTATTGCCACAAGAGCGGACACATGTGGCGCGATTGCTACAAACTCCCTGATGGTTGGACCCCTGCTCAAGGCCAAGAGGGTAGAGGAGCAGGAGGAGGGAGAGGACGAGGCCGTGGAGGCCGTGGCGGTCGCGGTGGCGGAGCTGCAAACATGAAGAGCGGAGACAACGACAAGGACCCGAGCGACGATCGATACCCGGGTCTATTCTACTTCGTGTCGACGCAAGTACCGGCTGGTCCAGAGAAGGATGAAGGCTTTGAGGAGCCAGCAGCTGTGGGGAAGGTGACCCTACACCCCCTGGACTATTGGGTGATTGATAGTGGCGCTACCTATAGCATGACACCTCGCCCGGACTTGCTCACCGAACTCGAGCCGTCACCGGTGAAGCATGTCACATCGGCTTTGGGGCAGCGAGCAGAGGTGAAAGGCATGGGCAAGGCCATGTTCAAGGGTGCTGATGGGAAGATGGTGGGCCTCAAGAACGTGCTTTGGGTGCCCAGCCTTGCTGCAAACCTGATTTCCGTGCGGCGGTTGGCAAAGGCCGGCATGGACACGAACTCGAAGGGAGCCAAGACCTACACCGCAAGGCTTGGCGATCGAATTCTTTGGGACCTTCATGAGGACAGGGATGTCTACAACGAGATGTGGCAGATCCCAGTGGTCCCTATGCCTAAGGAGATGCAAGTGGCAGCAAGCATCAGCACCAAGGATGGAGCGGTCGGTAGCGACGATGGCGCGAACGGTCGCGCTAAGGAGAATGAGCTCAAGAAGAGCAAACCTGGAGGGACCAGCAAGTTCAGTGAACCTAAGGAGAGTGGTGCAGCAACCAAGGAGCAGCAAAAGGGTGAGGAGAACCCAGAGGCAGCAGCGGAGGAGGACTACGGAGAGAGTATGTGGGGCGCTATTGCGAGCGCGGCATTCTCCAATCCAACTTCGGCTACGGGGGAGTGTGATTGGCTCACCTTGCATCGGCGCATGGGGCATGTGGCCCTGCCCATCTTGCAGCAGCTAGTGAAGAATGAGATGGTTGCTGGAATACGTGTGAAGGGGGAGCCTGATGAGGTGCTTGGCTGCCCGACGTGCATTCAAGCCAAGTTCACCCAGTTTCCGTTCCCTAGTTCGGAGGCAACGGCAAAGGCACCGCTTGATGAGGTGGTGATGGACGTGGTGGGCCCCCTGAAGCTTGGAGCTGCTGGAGCTGAGTATTTTCTCACCATTGTCGACGTCTACACCCGCATGACTTGGGTGTATGTGCTGGCCAAGAAGAGCGACGTGGCTGAAACGTTGAAGACGGATTGGTTCCCGATGGTGGAGCGGCAACAAGACCGTCTAGTCAAGTCAATCCGCACCGATCGAGGGGGAGAGTTCCTGAGCAAGGAGTTTGGGTTGTGGCTGAAGAAGAATGGTATTCGGCACTCCCTCACCATGCCATACTCCCCTGCAATGAACGGCATCGCCGAGCGAGCGAACCGCACAATCACGGAGGCGGCACGCGGGTTGCTCATTGAAGCCGGGCTACCCGACTATTTCTGGCCTGATGCGGTGCGGAGCGCGTGTGTGGCCAAGAACAGAGCCTTGACTCATGTGGGAGCAGACAAATGGGTGCCCTATGTGGAGTGGCTAGGAAGGAAGCCAAAGGTGGATATGCTTCGGGTGTTCGGGTGCATGTGCATGGCGCTCGTGCCTAAGCATCTTCGGCACAACAAGCTTGGTGCCAAGGCGGTGTGGGCCGTGCACTTGGGCATGGCTCAAAACAGCAAGGGATGGCTTCTTTGGGACCCATTCACCAAGAAGTTCTTGGTGAGCAGGGACTGCAAGTTCATGGAGAACTTCATGTACAAGGATTGGAAGGCGGAGAATGAGGCGAAGATAGGCGTGCGGTTTGGGGAGGTGAAGAGTTCCGGTTTGGAGCATGTGGAGCTGCCTTTGGAGCTGAGCAGCGGCAGCACAACCACAAGGCAATCCTCCCTTGTGAATGGGGGAGAGGAGGCCAATGATGCAGAGGAAGAAGAGGAGGAGGTGCAGCAAGTGAGCGAGCGTGCACCGTCACTCCCTTCCCGTACTACGAGTGCTCCACGGATTCGAGCCACACCGCAGCAACGCCAAGGCCCTCAAGTCCCTGCAGCTGAGGAGGAAGGAAGGGGGAAGAGGAGAGTTCAACCCCCTAATAGGCTGACCTATGATGCGCCGGGAAAGCAGGGCAAGACAGCCCTGGCCGGAGCGGCAATGATGGTCGGAGACGACGAGGAGAGTGACTACGAGGAGTGTGCCTTCGCGTTCTTCTCTCCGGTGGAGATGCCGGGAGAACCAGCAACTCTCAAGGAGGCTTTGGAGAGTAGTGATGCTGAGGAGTGGAAGAAGGCCATGGAGAGTGAGCTGAAGAGCATCGAGGAGAATGACACGTTTGAATTGGTGGAGCTACCGGAGGGGCGTACGGCGATAACGTCCAAGTGGCTCTTCAAAATCAAGTCGGATGCCGACGGCAAGATCGAGCGCTACAAGTCTAGGCTTGTAGCCAAGGGGTACCAGCAGAAGGAGAAGGTGGACTTCAAGGAGCTGTTTGCCCCTGTGGTGAAGCCAACGACGCTGCGAACCCTATTCGCGGGAGCCGCCATCAAAGGATGGGTAGTAAAGCAAATGGACATCGTAACGGCATTCCTTAACGGCATCCTTGAGGAGGAGATTTTTATGGCGCAGCCAGAGGGGTTTGATGATGGTAGTGGCAGAGTGTGGAAGCTGAAGAAGGCCCTCTATGGGCTGAAGCAGGCCCCTAGGCAATGGTACATGAAGCTGCGCGAAGTGTTGGAGGGGATCGGCTTCACTCCCTCAACGGCCGATCACTCCTTGTTCATGCTTGGCGAGGGGGAGCAGAGGAGTTTCATGGTGGTTTATGTGGATGACATCCTCATTTTCTCACCCTCTTCTGACCTTGTGAAGGAGGTGATGCTGAAGCTTCAAGACAAGTTCAAGTGCAAGGCCCTTGGTGACGTGAGCTTCTACCTTGGGCTCCACATCGAACGAGATGTGGAGAAGCGGTGCATGCGGGTGCATCAACGAAAGTACCTGGAGGCATTGGCTGCCAACTTTGGGCAGAGTGAAGGCCATGTGGCTACACCCTTTCCCTCTGGGTTCAAGTGTGTGAAGGGACCAGAGGAGGAGAGCGTTGGTGAAGAGGAGAGGCGCCGATTTCACTCGTTGGTGGGCAGCCTCATGTATGCGGCGGTAAACACCCGACCGGACGTCGCGTTTGCTACCGGGCAGCTGGCTAGGGTTGTGCAATGCCCTAATGAGGAGCAGGTAGCAGCTGGAATGAGGGTGGCCAAGTATCTTGGCCAAACACCGACCGTTGGGCTGCAATACTCGGCGGCGGCACAAAGGCGCCAAAAGGGCGCGGATGGTGTTGAACCCGGGCGTTTGTTCCTCACCGCCTACTCGGATGCTTCATATGCATCAGAACCAGAGGACATGACAAGTGTGGGAGGCTTCATATGCTGTGTTGGTGGAGGCCCAACTGCTTGGGAGAGCAAGAAGCAGGTTGACCAAGCTTTGAGCTCGGTGGAGTCCGAGTACATGGCACTCTTCCGTGCCGTACGGGAGATTGTGTGGCAGCGGCGTTTGTTGGCTGAATTGGGGGAGGAGCAGCAAGGACCTACCCCACTGTACTGTGACAGCCAGGGTGCCATTGCTCTTGCTAAGAACCCTGTGTTGCATGGACTCACGAAGCACATGAGGGTGAAGTGGCATTGGACGAGGAGCATGGTAACCGCGGGTGAAGTTGAGTTGCGCTACGTGAAGACCACGGGGCAGC